GAATAAATTTAAAAAATGCATTCAATTTCAATTCACTTAGTCATTGTGCCCAGCGCTCAGATAATATACATTTCGTAATTCCCAGCATAAAACTACTCGTCGAGAGTGGGTTTTAAAATTATAAAGTATTTTACAGCGTTGTGTTCATTTTGTCATCAATCAGATTGCAGTGCAGCTGGCCTGCATTTGTTTGGATATACATAGTTTCGTGGAACGAAAAAATAGATCAAGATCTATCAGTATATTCAATACAATTTATGTTGGACTTTTTTAATGTGTACTTTTATACACTTTTTCTTAAACTTTTTGTTCAACTTTTTGTACATTTTTGCCTTAACTATTTGTTCAAATTTTTGTATGTGTACTTTATGTACATCAAAGTTGTCAAGTCATCTCACATGAATTCATGTTCAAAAAAGAAAATTAAAATTTATTAGTTTTCTTTCCCAACTATGTCTATATAAAAGATCAAAATATCTTTATAACAGAGCAGCAGCTGTGTTATAAGTACAGCGAAGTAATACAGCTGAACGTCTATGCGCTGATAAGCCTCCGAAGCGAGGATGCTTCAGGAAAAAATCATCATTCAAATCAATCACCTACGAAACAATGAATTTTCGGAGCTAAGAGATTTTTAGGAATGACTTGGTAAAAAACGAACGTAACTATCGAGACAGCGGTGGTACAGCCGAACACCTATGTACACTGATGAGCACCTGCACACGCTGCTTCTAGCCGGACAACACACACTGACCCTGTTTGAGTGACTCGGACAATGAAACACAGACTCTCTTTGTCCAGGCGGTAGGTGATCGCGCGCGATGACGCATCCCGAAAAATAAACAGCGGTATAGCCCATTGATCGCCGAGAATATGCTCCGGTGTTTGCTCAAGTGGGTATCGATGCCCGAGCGATTGTTCCAGTTTGAATCAAAGTTGGCATAGAAATTAAATCTACGGATATAAATATGGGCTAAAAATCAGTCGAAGAGTCAGATTGATTTATACAACTGGCCATGGCGGAGCTACGCCGGTTCTTGTAATGGAGTGCCTTGTGACCGCAACATGATTCGAGTGAGTTTGAGTGACCAATAGTAACTTCTAAGTGCATTAAGAATGTACCAAACGCCGGGTTCTCATTTCCAGAACCATCACCAGCTTCATTAGACTTATCGCCGTTCAACCGTGGGTCGCCGTCGTTCAATTGGACTCATCCATCCACCAGCAACAGTGCTGGGGTATCCACCAACGGTCGCGTGTAGTCTACGCATCAATAACCGCGCATAAAATGTACGGCGGAAAACTTACTGCATTCCGAGAGGAGGTTCGACTTCGATCTTCTTGCCGAGTGAATCATCTGCTGCTGGCGAATTCGACACTCAAAATGGGGTTTGAAATTTTGGCAAATCAACTGTTATCAACTGAGTACTAGACTGAATGTTACTGCGTGACTGGTGTAGCTCCGCCATGTCTTATAACTCAACCAACGATCGATTACCAATAACGCACTCTTTATTTATTACCACTTATACGCGTATGAGTTACAAATATCGGCCCGACTGGGCTTACCGTTCACGTCGCGTTTCCGGGCAATCCGCCTCTGGGCCCTCGCGCCCTCCTTCTCGCTCGGCCGACACACTCCACTCAAACCACACTCTACAGTTTGCTAACTTATGACTTATACTACCGCAATAACCACATTTTTCTACTTTTTCGTTATTTTTTTGTTTCAATGTATCGCAGTCAATCGTCTCATGATCCGCCGAGTTGCAGAGTGTGCAACATCGCATTTTATTTATCCCGAATGAACCTGGCATATCTCTGTTTCGTTGAATCCATCCTCGCGTTCTAATTTTATCGCTTCCTTACGCGCACCCTCAAGCGTTTTTACGTTGTTTAAACGGACTTTCAGTTCCCAACGTAATCCTCGCTTAAATGTTACTAATAGATCGTTATTTAAATTATTTTCGAATAGCGGGTTATTTTTTCCGTCGCACCTCGCTGCTGCTGGTATATCTCTTCCTAAGACTTTCAATCGCGCGTAAAATGCTAGTACTCCCTCTCTGTTTCCCTGCTTTAGCTTAGATAGCTCTCCGTAGAGCTCATAGAAACGTTTGTTCGTCCCGAAATTTTCTTCTATAAAATCCGTTAATAAGTCGATTGTATTGTAATTTGACTTGTCGATTGTCTCGAGCGCGATCCCCGAGAGTTTCATCGGTAACAATTTAATGAATTCCCCCTGTTGAGCTACGTCTACTAACTCTTTTGCATGTCTACAGCCTTTTACGAAGCTTATTGCTTCGTTCTTATCTCTACCTGAGAAGTTTGGGACAAGGCGTAAGATATCTTTAAATGAGGGGCCTCTGTTGTTATTTTCTGCCATCGTGACGTTTAAGGTGTTATTTATATTTAAACTATTTTCTATTTTAATATTTGTAGGTGCTACCTGTTCTTCTTGTTCGGTTTGTTTTACCGTTTTATATGCTTCCGAGTATTCGGATTCTGCTTTCGCGTAAACGAACTCGTAGAATTTATTGCGTACATCCTGCCAAAATCCTGTTGTCGGTTTTTGGTCTAAGATACTCGCGTGTAATGCCTCTTTCTTTATTTGCTCAGTTTTGTTGTATCTGGTAGATAATTCACTAACCTCTAGCTTGAAGTCCTCAAGAAAATTAAGAATTAATTTTGTTTATCAATGAGAATCGCATATAGCTCCTCATCAGTTTCTTTAATGGCTACTGGCTACGCTGTTGGCTGCTGCGTTGTGTTATAACAATAGCCGTACTTTTCGGTTTTTTGCAAACATCCCAAAAATCTGTGAGAAATCGATCACTTCACTGATTATTGTCATTACTCGGTTCTATTATCATAAGCAATTTTGTAAAATAGATAATATGCAAATAAGTTAATTAAAGTACATGCAAATGAATGTATCTAAAATTAAGAAACTGAAACTATTCTTTTTAAATTCTGTAAAACATGTAAATTACAATTTTAAGATAAATGAACCTTGTTACATAAAGACAATAAAAAAACAAAAACAAATAACTGATGTCAGCTTTTTGCAACAAATATTATTACAAGTTTACCTATGGACGCTTTTTTGAATTACATGGTAAAAATATTTCATTTAATTATTTTTTCATTTGACTTTACGTTAGCTAATAAATCTCGAAGATGCATGGTAAATAGCTATATGGCTGGCTGGCCATTAATGGATATCTCTCTTTTCGATGCTGAACTGAAATGATGTGTGGCTCTTTAGAATCCTGCCTCACAAACGAATAGAAATTCGCTATCTGAAAACAGTTTAAATTGTGATTAGATGTACCAGCTCATCGTGGTTACTCGGACTGCCGTAAGTCCTATACGTCCAAGATTTCATTTCCCTATCGGCGATCCGCTGACAGTGTGAATAGATAATTTCGTCGAAAAATTGACTTGCCGTCAGTTCTGTCGGAACTAGGTAAAATGTACAGCGGGTATTGTCATACAGGGGCTCTGACTGACATTTGAGTACTTTATCGTGACACATCTTGTAGCTTTAGCATGGTACGTCATATAATATGTGAGATATGTTATAAGGATGAGAAATATAATTTTACTAGTTTTTAGGACTCTGCTGAAGTGAAGTCTCAAAACATGTATTTCTCATCCTTGACTGTAAATAACACAATTATAAAACTAAATCCTTGATCAAATAAAAAAAAATTCGCTGCGGACAGGATTCGAACCTGTGCGGGTAGAACCCAATGGATTTCAAGTCCATCTCCTTAACCGCTCGGACACCGCAGCTGTTGGAAGAGATCTCATTCTGAGCATTGAAGTTTTTGAATTATTTACAGTGAAAAAATAATGGAGAAATTAAAACAACTTTTGAAACAAAATTAACAAATTACGTAATTTACATAACCCAAAAAACTATTCATCGATAAAAACTTAATAATTACTCACGTAATTATTCATTGCTATTATTTATTTATATTTTTTCTTTTTTTAAAAAATTTTGAGTAAAGCTAAAATAAAACCTTTTAAATGAGTTAATGAAATCGCGCTTCAGCTTTTGGATAATTACAAAAGATATTTTTTTCTATTTAGTTATCTGAGGCCTATAACATTTGATCAAACTATTGTCAAACATTTAGAGGCCAATGACCTTACGCCTGTGGTATATTTTAGTCCTCTCAGGGTTAAGGAGCTCAAAAATCAAATTTCCAATCGTATTTTTTTACACATTCATCCAAAATTTCTTTATCAGGCTCTATGGCGATTGTATTGCATAAAATCATTATTTCAAACGATTTTCGTTGCATTTTTTACGTTACGCATCCAAAAACTAGAATTTTAAAATTTTCTGATAAAATCTATTTAAATATATATGCAAAGAAATAACAAAATCATTTTCTAATCATTTTAATTTAAAAAAAATTCAATTATTTAACTTTCAATAGTGATCAAAAAAGAAATTTTAATAAAAAAAAGTTTGTTTTATGGTCAACGACGACGAATTAAAAATTTTGCAGTATTATTTTCATTAAATTTTTTAAAAAACTTCAGTTCACCCATTGTTTCTTCAGAAATATTATAAATAGTTTATTTCCTGGTAATAATTGGCTGAAAGTAAAAGTGAAAAACAAATACGTAAAAAGGTATTTGTTTTGCGTTTAACTTTTTAAATTTTTAATACAATTTTATTTTTCAATAAAGCTTATATTCATTTTTGGAAGAAATGCAATAATTAGATCGTTTTTATAGAATTTATTTATCAACTCATGTGACTCATAAAATTTAAGAGTTTCAATTTACGATTTATTAAATCTAATTCATTAAACAATTTTTGGATAGTTTGCAGTAATGTGGAATCATTTTGAAATTTGTTTATTCAAATTCGTGCGAATTTTGAACTGCTAATATGACATAACATGTCTAATTCTTGGTTAATAAATTTTGACTATTCTCACATATGACATAGGAACAATACACATGGCGATTCTTCTCAGTTCACATATATTGAAAAACGGTTGACGTTTGGGTTATTGTACAAATACCTATACTTGCAAGTTGCACATTGCATGCTGAACGATATACACAGCATACACGCTTTACTATAATTTTATCTGTGAGTACAAGATATAAAATGCAGAATTGTAGATACATTAGATAAAGATTTCACGCTGCTTTGCGCGTACTAAAAACGTCAGTCGAGTTTGTTTTCATGTGATCATCGTTGCTTTTGGTACCTTGGCAAATTCGAGAATGTGTGAATAACATAGACTGCAAGTATATACATAATACATATCTCGTAATGTGGATTATGTTTTCTTTAGCAGCGGTCAATGCTTTGAATCAATTACATAAATGAATTCAAACCTAAAATCTAATTGTTGATACTCGCTACAGATCCACAAAGATTTCGTTGTGCTATTGGTGAACGACTTCTTCGAATGTTACATACGACCTTGGGCAGCGACATTTTTAACTTTCCTAAATATTTGCATTAATTAAGTGCGTGAGTGTCCGCAATCCCAGTAGTGTTAGTGATTAATATATTTATCAATCTGACAACTGTATTACTCATGTTTTTTGCAAGTTCTGTTATTAGCTACTTTTGTGGCCTCTATTTTTAAAGTATATAAAAGCTGGCAGCAACTCCTACAATATGTATGCTTTTGAGGCATTTGTTTTTACTAAACACCAAGTCCAGGGCTGCAGTAGACCTAAAGCTCGTAGTGGGCACAGAATTGTTTGCGATGAAAAGAATCTCTATTCATTTGGGGGATTCAATCCAAATATTTCAGCTGATGATCCTGATATGCAAGATAATCCAAGTTGGTCGTATAGTAGACCATTGTTCAAAGAAATATGGAAATTTAATTTTGCTACCAAACGATGGAAACTGTTACCCTGTGAAAGAACTATGCCTAATGAGCTAGCATCAAATGCTGTTATCCTCACAGGTGATAGTTTGCTAGCTCATGGTGGCACTGGTGTACCTTTTGGTGAACATTGTAATAATAACATTTATGTGTGCAACATAAATACTGGAGTTATGCACAGTATACCAGCAACTGGGCAGCAACCTGATCCACAATATGGCCAAGCTATTGTATTCCATGGACAATATTTATATACTATTGGTGGAACTACTGGTTTAGACTATACATGTGATGTACATAGATTTGATTTCAAATTACGTGTTTGGGAATCTGTTTATATTTGTGGTGGGCGAGATCCTCTAGAGCCAAAAGGTAGATATAGGCATGAAGTTGCATTTGATGGAAAAATGATTTATGTGTTAGGAGGAGGTACAGCAATTGAAGCTTTTGGATTTTCAGTACGTATTAAATTTAAAGTATTAAATGTGATTTATATATGGAAATAATTGATTATAATCTATATGTTTAATGTTTTAATTACATGAGAAAATATTAATTTAAATATCATAAGTTTAATTATTGTCAGCTTAATATTTTTTCTTATTACAGGAAATTCCTGCTTTTGATATTTTAACAAAAAAATGGATGAAATTACATGCACATGGGGACATGGGACAACTCTTTCCAGCACCAAGACGATGTCACGGTCTGGTTCAGTTTGTTGATGATAAAACTAATTCAAATATTGTAGTCATATCTGGAGGTTATAATGGTACTCAAGTTTTTTGTGATCTGTGGCGCTTAGACTTGAGTAATTTACAATGGACTTGTTTGAAAATGTGCAAGTTACCCCAACCCACTTACTTTCATTCTACAACACTTACACCTGCAGGACAAATGTTTACATTTGGTGGAATTGTAAAAAAAGGCAATGAGGTAATAATATATTTTTAAATATTAAAGTCAATAATGAGATCAATTTTTTTTTCATTAAATTATAAGTAAATAATTAAAAAAACATTTACAACTTTTGATTCATTGATTTTAGGTTGCAAGAACAGATGAAATTTTTTCTGTATGGTTAACAGTACCAAAAATTACTGAAATGTGTTGGGAAGCATTAAATTTCTACTACCCTCATTTAAAGAAAGTACCGTCTCTTGATCTTTTAAAAATTGGAATACCTTCAAAATTTGTTCAAAGACTAGAGTGTGCTAATAGAGATATTTCTTCAAGTGAACATTTCCTGTAGTCTTATTTAATATATTTTAGAATAATATTTACTAATTTTAGTTGAACAAGAAAATATGATTATCGTAAGCAAAATTAAATTTTTGCCCATTTTCATATCAGCCTTAATTGAATGTGATCATCGTTACATCATTAATAGAAAAATTGTAAATAATCTTGAGTTGAGTGACAAACCAGAAAATGTATATTGAACTGAAAAATATGTTAGTAAAGTTTAGGCAGTTAATTGAAATTATAACATGAGCTCAAATGAAATCTCATATTCATATTTAGAGCTTTCATGACCTTCATATTACATAATATATTAATATGTTGAGAAAATGTGATTGCTATAAATGCATCGATTCTGGCTTTTTTATTTTGACAAATTAAGATTTCTTTGATATAACTTTTTTTTGACTTGGATTATATATACTTATAGTAAAACGATCTAGGTGTGGATAATTCATCCTTTTATTCAAATCATGTAAATATAGTAGTAAAACTATTTTCATACTTAAATAGACGGTCAGTAAAGTCTTGTACTGATATTCAAAGAGTTTATCTTCCAATTTTATTTATGTAAAAGTAAAAATTTTTCTGTTAAAACAATTAAATTAAGTCATGATTGTAATTTTTAATATTTTACCATTGTTCTAACATTAATTTTAAGATTTTTTGTAAAAACATGACAGATTTATATCATTGTTTTTTAAATTATTATAATAAAATAAACAAATATTATTTATAGTAAATGAGAAAATAAATCTAATGATAGTTATTAATAAATCGTGACAACAAGTAATATTATTTATAGACCGAAAAATAATTTCAATGGGCTTGTTAAATGGATTTTGCTTTAAATTTGAATAAAAAGTAAACTTCAATGTTGTATAAAATTAAGATTTTAGATAGAATATCAATCGTCACTATTTTAACAGACAATTAACTGTGATATTTAAATTCTGTTGTATATAAACTAAATAATTTAGAGAGATTTTTCCATATAAAATTGATGCATTGTATGTTATTAAATATTTCATAAAGAAAACAATACAAAAATTATAATAATATGCTTATCTTCTTCTATGTTATAATAACAAAATCAAATTAAAAAAATTTTCACCACAAAGACAAAGAAACTAGGTAGTTTTTAGAGAAAAAACAATATCAGGCAACTTCTATTAGATATGCATTTGTTATGGAAGTTATCTAATCTAATCTAACTCCATAAGAGACTCATTAGAGTATAAACAGGTTTTTGAATTAGTTAAGAAACTAATAAAAAAGTCGATTGCAGCAATAATTAAGGCTAATACTTCTTTGTTTAATGTTTATAGTACGTTAATGATGATGTCTGAAATAAATCATTTACCTCAATTAAAATTATATGTCGCTCTATTGACAACGAATTTGGTTCTGAAAGTTTTAGTAAAATGTTTTATTTTGATCACTTAACCGCATATCTCCAACAAATTACTTCAGATACGTATAAGTAATACATAATATCCAATCTATTATAAATGCAATAATGTTGAAATTTTATAAATAATTAATAAAAATCGAAGTGTTTCATTAACGATCATTTTTTACCGCCAACATTCATCGCATGAATTTTCCCATACAAACGTTTGCAGTGGGAAAAGAAAGATAATTGGCGTTAAGGTATTTTCCTCTTGTCTTTTTATTATACTGCTTTGAACCAAATATTTATCATTTAAAAATAAATAAAATGCGTCTGCGAAAATCAATGTAGTCTACGTTCATAAAACATACAAGCTTGTTCAAACGATAAGTACGGCACTGCTACTGTAAAAATGAATCATGATGAGCCAACGATATTAACAGTCGATGGGGAAAAAGGTGAATTTTTCAGCTGTTTATACATTATTTTCAAACGCACAAGCTCGAATGCGTTAGAGTCATATTAATTGAACATTGATTGGTAATAGTATACGCTCGATTGCAAGTAATAGCGTTTCAGTTATAAACAATGGACGATGCAGGCGCAGCGCAGCGCGCGTAATTCAAGAAGCGAGCAATATATAAGCGATCATCGTCGCTGCCACTCTCGCTCGGCCCAAGTTCGAAGTAAATAACAGTATAAACGAATTAAAAGAAGACCGAGAGAATTGCCCAATCGAAGCAATAATATAGGATGTCTGATGATGATTGCCCGTGGTCACGAGCTTCGGGACGACGTTTATTAGCCACGCGCCCGTCTCGAGCTCGTGACTCGCCGCGAGACTTCAATTTTGATCGCTTTGACCGACGACCGCGAAGCTTGCGCAGTGGCCCCCGCAGGTAGGCGCGCGCGCGCGCGGGTGGATCCAACGCGGCTGCAACAATGTGTGCAGTTGCTGCAATCGGAGAAATCATGCGTGTATGCAACTATATCCGCAGTGTGCCAATTCAGATTTCGAATAGGTATAGGTGCACATGTGACCGAGTGTGGCTCGCGGGGTGGGTAGTGCGCGTGCTCCGCAATTGAGCGTGTGTACAAGCAGTACCTGCAGCCCGCAGCAGTAGAGTACTCGCAAAAGCAGTCAGCGGGTCCGTAACAGCAGCGAAACTCGTGCGAAATTCGTGGATCCGCGCGTAGTATGCCTATCTCTGGCAAAGCTGAGTCGCGAGCGCGCGCTAATATTCAGTAGGCGGTGAGAAGTAGTGTCGCCCGGGCATGCTTGCCTGGCCTGTGCAGCGATCAGTTGTCGCGCGAGTACAATAACGAGCGGCCTGCGTCAGCAGCACGACGCTCGCCGCCGGGGACAAATTACGGAGCAGTAATCGGATATATCGCGGACTTATCAGTGTCTCCGAATCAGAGTCCAGCCGCCGCCGCCGCCGTCAGCAACGCCGTCTTCGACTCGCTGTCCTGCCTCGTGCTCCGCTTCGTGCTTGTTAGCTATGATATCGAAAGATATGTGCGCGCGGCGTGTGCCGCTCTTCGCGTAATCGTGATTCCTCGTGCGTCCTCGTAACGAATCGTTCGGACGTTTACTTGTAATACAGTGTGTATAGTAAGCACCACTGGCAGCTCGCGCACAACCATAAGTAGCTGTGCAGCGCAAATCGAGGCTTATTACGATACTAGCCGCGCTACAGCGTCGAGCTATTCTATTTTGTCCAACTATAGTAGCTCCAAATCTAATTCTCGCTCCGGTACATTCTCGTCATCGGGTGTTTAATTGCCGTCTCACGTTACAACACACATATACACACGCGTAAATGTCCATCAATCAACGGCGCATACATTCGTTTCAACGCCGCGCGTCAGTCTCTTATTTGGACTAGCTCATTTGGACGTCTTACAAGCGAGTCATCGCGCGGAGGAAACAATTCGCGTGTGATTATATCAGAGTAGAAGAATTTCGGAGACAGTGCACGACGACGGTAACAGTGGGAGCTGTGTCATCGTCATAATTCTGGACAGCTACGCAGGTTCATTGGTGTGCGCATTAGGCCACATCAAGCTCGGCGAGCAGACAGCTCAAGCAGCAGCAGCAGCAGCAGCAGTGTATACCCGGTACCTGCGCGGAGCGATCTTTCACTCTGCTCATTCTTGACCCCTGCCCAGCCGTGTACAACACTGTGCGAGTGAAGCAGCCTGCAGCGAAAGTAACGCCACCCAAAACAAATAGTACTACGCGGTCCACACGTGCGCGAGTGCGCCCGAGACTTTTCTATTTTAAATCGTAGGCAGAGCCGCGTCGTCTGCGTCTTTTTTCCCCATTTCCTCAGCTTTATTCAAAGCGAGCGAGTACAGACGCACGAGGATTAGTATTTTATTCGACGGATGCTCCGACCAATTGATACGTCGTTAAAATTCAATTGAGATCTTTCGAGATCCGTCCGTCTCTGCGTTCACATCTTAAATTGGTAGTGGATCGATCTGGACGGGTCATTTGATTTTCTCGTGGCCAAAGTAAAACACGTTGGTCGGCTTGAGCACAAGTGCGCGTAAAATTCAACTATTTCATCAGAACCGCTATCTACGTCGTTATGGACCAAAAGACCATGGACCAGAAGAGGGTGTACAAACTGGTGCTGACTGGAGGTAGGCTTTTTCGTACTTTTTACAAAGTTAATCATTCACTAACATAATAAAGCTCTCCTCAACTTTTTAACCTATATACGAGAGAAAAATTCTAATGGTCGATACTCACCCACGTGTTTTTAAAATCTTTTCAACTGCATTATTTTTAAACGCTATTATTATAAAAAAAAACCAATTTTAAAACATTCAATACGTCGATTATTCAGCTTCGATGTCTTATTTATGAAAACAGCTTAAAACAATACTGTCATCTGGTAGGAACACGTGGGTTGGAGTGGGTGTGAATGTATATGCGCGTTCAAATCAGTAAGGCGATGCGTAGAACATAGACATCGCCATCGGAGCATTGTCGTGGCTTTAAATATGGACGGCCGCCACGATATTGATTTTCATTAGCCGTGGCCCTTGAGTCTCGAATACCTGTGGCTTATTCCCACACGTATAGATATTCATAATGATGTATTACATCAAGTCAGTCCCTGTCACTTTTTTTTTATCGTTTGATTCATTTTTCAACCTCGTTTTGACATGACTACTGACTCGTTTGTTTTGCGACGTCATCTCCGAATGTAAATATTTTGCGCCTTATCTGATAAACATCAGACGAACTTCCTGCATGAATAGCTTCTGCGCTCGATGCTTTTCAATTCGAACAATTAAAAAAAACACAACTATTGAGCAGACTCTATTGATAAAAACCAGAGAGCCGGAAATATCAAACAGAAAATGAAATTAAAATCATTTCAAAATTGTCTCTGTGTGTTGCGATGAAGCAAGAATGCCAAAACGGAAGCTCACAGCTTCATCGTATTTTTGTTTGCTGTTACGAAGTCTTTGGATGTATAAATATCGTGGGTGGTGGCAAAACAACATTTTACATCCATTATATTGTTTAAGCACAACTATTATTTGACCGATGTATTGAAACTTTTCGATTCTTGATGGAATTTTTTTTTGTTTATTTTCGTTGTTTTTTCTTCTTTTTTCATATAATTACATACTCATGTTACAGATCAAAATTTTATGTTTTATAATCAGAAAGTAAATAAATTTTTGACGTTAATTGATTTCAATTTGCCGTTACGTTGTTCAAACAATTTTATCCAAGTCTGTAAGATGAATAATTGGTTGTAATAAACCACTCTATTCGAGACTTCAATCGGGTCGCTTGGAATTAAATGCCAAATATTCCTAAGTTTTATTGATTCTTAGAACAATCGCTCAAATTCGAGTCTGAAAATTAAATGATTGTTAAACACGCTAAACATTATACTCTTTTACGCTTTAATAATATAGTGGCAATACGAATAAAAAGGATTTAAAATTTTTAAATAACCTTTATGAATATTTTATCAAATACTAAACTATTTTTCCTCCCTTCCTCTTTTAATATATTTTAAATTCATTCGATGTATAATTTTTCATGCACGTGATATACATAACAGACTTAATCATTATTGTAGGTCATTAGCTACTGGTTTCGAGACTAATGATCGTGTGATAAAATTGAACACTTCATGATAAGTAATGCTACACCGCTTGTATAAATATACTCGCAATATGATATCTATCTATTCATTTTATACAAATTGAATCATTCAATAGATAACAGTATGACAAATTTCCATCGCATGTACTTGAACTGATAATTTATTCATAACAATTAAAAATTATTTATTAATTAAGGTAAAGTGGGGGGAAACGCCAGCTCAGGGAAGACGTTACTTTGCTATATTATTGTTATAAAAAAGAAAATTTAAATTAGAGACCTATTGGAATTTGCGTTATGATAATCCGATTACATCAACACAAAATAGCTGATTTTTTACAGCTATTATCAGTCGATTATTAGTCGATTATCAGTCGATTTTCAAGCATCAAAATTTTTCGTAAAGTTCAATGTGCAAACATTCGTTTAGTTTTCAATAAAATGTTTAAGTGGAAATGGTAAACGACATCTAGATAATGACAATACATCATGCAAGCTTGGCCCTGGTAGTGCGCTAGGAGATCACGAAAATGAATTATATTTCATTTTTTTCATTGTATTCAGATTAAAGGCATATTGCTCCAATCGGGGTGGCGTCTTCCCCGCATGCTTAGGGAAAGCGCCACTTTTGAACCAAGTTGCTAAATTTATTAAATGTGCACAGTTATACTCAATTTTTAGGTGTGTTGAGCAACACCCATCCGTGAATAGCATCTGTTATTGAACACAGCTCTAAATATAAAGACTGAACTTCCGACAATGCACGTCAAACTTTTTGACGTTTACTCGAGTCAATTTACCATGCAATTGAGTTTTGATGCTGCATATGAAAGATTCTAAAAGTTTGAAAATTGAGTTTTCCTATCACAATATCTTTTTGTATCATTTTTTTGAAAATTTCTTTAAAAAGTATAATTATTGATACATTTATTGAAGAGTAATTCAAAATATTCACTATGAAAAAGGCAATAGTAATTTATAAATTCTTGAATAATTTTATAAAACTGTTCACTACCCCAAAAAATTTTTTTACATCCATAATTAATTGAAATTTTTATACAATTATATCGTTAGTTCTTAGAAATCCAAATGTTGTTGCGTCATACTCTAGGTGATGCAACGAATTTTGTAAAATGATTGGTTTTCTCTTAAATTATTAAATGATAACACTCAGTCCTACATTCTTATAATCTATAAAAAGTCATTGACTCATCTATTTACACTGATTAAACTTCACATGGATTATAGTGATCTCTGTTTGATGTGTCATCAAAAGTTTGTGATTAAATTGAAAGTACATTGCGTTTTCACAAATTCCTTCTATTATTACTTAATTTTAGGAGACATAAGTAATACAATTATTAATGTTGAATTATGTTTGCATGATAATCACTTGATTGATTAGACTTTAAAATACAAAACCAATTTAGAAAACGTAGAGTAATTATTTATCTTTACTCACTATTTTTAGGACCCTGTGGTGGAAAAACAACAGGACAGACTCGCATATGCACATTTTTTGAAAATCTAGGATGGAAGGTGAGCATACTTGACTACTTACATAATTTTTCCGATTTGTATTCGTGATTAAGAAACTTATAAGCTTTACATGAATTAAAATATACTAAAAGCCATATAAATATAAAATTAAATTATTTTTTCTATCATTAAAATTTTTTATAAAATTTAAACTGTAAAAAATCAACTTTTTATATTCGAACCTATAGATTCAATTCGGATTATACTCAGGAAAAAGTCCATTAAGTCCATAATGTAGATTTCAGAAAATATTAGAAACGCATTTTTTTATTTTCAATCAATTATTAACGGAGATTGAACATTTAGAAATGAGTGTAAAGTTACTATCATAAGAAAAGAGTTCACCCCTTCTATTTTTTGTATGGTTGTGATGTTATGTTCATTATTTTTGATGACACATCTCCGTTAATGATTGATTAATTGAAATACAAAAGATTATGTGTAAAATGATTTTCAGAAATCTGCATTGCGAATTTAATAGCCTTTTTTGTGAGAAATACGAAATGAGTTAGACAATACGTCCTTTGCTATGTTAAACCATTATATCGAAAGAATTCTCAAAATATATTAAAATAAATCGTTTTTTATTATTTTTTTATATAAAATTATCTACATGAATCGTTGAAACGTGAATTTATTAGCCTAAATCAATAAGATTAGGAAAAAACTAAATTGTTCACTTAAACTTCACGAAAATTAGAAAATGTAAATTATTATTTGTAAATTTGATGAAGTAGCCAGTATATTGTGAGTGTTTGATTTTTTTTTTCAAATATATTAAAACTAAAAAATCACAAAATGTGTATTACAATTATCCGTTGTAAATGATTTTAGTTTTCGATTCATTAATCAACACAGAGAAAATCTTTTTTTTAATTTTTTAATTTTATTGTAAGTGATGGAATTATCAAAGTAAAGTTAATCCTAAGTTAAAATCGAACTTTGAAATTGCCTTCAACTTTTTAAGAACAAATATTTATACCTTATATCATGAATTATTTTTCATCAAAACTTCAGGCTGATATTGGTCAAATTCAATACACGATTTATTAAATATTATTTTTGAATTTTAGCACCCATAAATTTAATTAAAAAATGGGACTTTTAGGCTCAAAATATAAACCTAGGATTAACATTCTATAAAATCACAGACTAAAAATATTGATGATTTATTACTTATTTACTAAAATAAAGATAAGAATCTTATTGATTTATGCCTTTTTAAATGCATTGATTCGCAAAATGACGATTTTATGCATGCAATTGTAAGAGAAAACTGGTCTAATGAACAAGTGAAAATGCTCAAAGATATTTTCTACATCTACAATTTTGAATAAATTCAGACACTTAAAAGCATTTGAAAATTTTCACTTTAACGGATTCTGCTTTCATTAAAAGTATACAATAATACGAAAAAGCACATATTTCGTGTGCGGATGTTCTTTTAACGAATGACGAGTGCTAATATTCAATTCGTTAAAATATCATCTTTTCAAGTAAATTTATTACAAACAGTATATTTTTCAATGGATTCAAGTATATATTTTTTTAGCAAATTGTCTTTCTCAAAAAGCCATGTGGTTTTTCAATAAAGCTCGTCTTTGAGTATGTCAAAAATTATACTTTTCAAAATTCATTGATATATTTGACAAAATTTTTGTTCAGAATTTCATTTAACGTTTCGTATGAGTTTAATTTTTAACATGTAGAAAATGGGAAATACTCAATTTTATTCTCAATCTGTATAGAATAGCGTATTTGAAAACTTCGTAAAATTTGATCGTAAAATTTGATTTTCGTATTTCTTTTCTTACTATTATATACTTGTATAAGCATTCGCAAAATTGTCATTTAGCGCATTAATGAGCAAAAATTGAACGTTATTTCGCAATTGTACTATATCTTTGGCTACAAAAATTCGCCAAATAATGGTGTACGGGATATGAGGTTGTCATCTTCGTTGTGGATTCGATCGAGTTCTTCGTTGTCTTTTTCAGGTGTTCCGTGTCCCCGAGACAGCGACCGTGCTGCTCAGGTATGGCAAAATTACAAGCTAACTTCGCATAATATAAAAAAAAATGTCCCAAGCATAATTACATGAATATATATTGATTTCTGAAATAACATTTAAATTCTTGCAATTTGCACTTGATTAAAAATTTAATGAATACTCGCTAAACTATAAAAACTTTTATGCAACATTAATAAGTTTATCAAGTTACACTTGAAGTAAAAAAACGAACATGAGCCCTAATTTTATCAAATAAACAATATATTATAAATTCATTTAATATTTAATTAATATAAAAATATCAAAATAAATTGTTTTTAATTTTTAAACTGTTTAAGATCAACGATATTATTTTGAGTAAGAATTTGAATAATAAGTTTTATTGAAGATGTTATTATTTAATTTTTCTGTTAAATTTTTTGTTTACTGATTAAAATAAATTATTTTCATCAAACTTGACATTTTCATAAAAGTAGTTTTTTTTGAGAAAATAAATTAAAATCACAGTTAAGATATATTTTTTGCTTGGACATTGCGATTCATTTTGGGCATGCTTTTGCATTTCAGTGGCGGCATCAAGTTTTCTGATCTGAACGCTGAGCAGGGTGAGTAAAGATTTAAAAATATATATAACTTATGTTTTTTAAGTTTACTAAACTAAACAAGTGGCTAAATGAAAGCTTGTTTTTGAGTATGCAAAAGTGAATTAGAATGTATAAAATGAGCAGTCAGATTACAAAAATTTTTCGAAGTTGACAATTGTTGAACGGGTTTTTATTCCCAAATAAAAATGTACATTAAAAAAAACTCCTACACTACAAATAGTAATTCGAAATAATTTTCATAAATCTGTAAGTTATAGCAGATTTCGTTCAAACATTAAACTTCTCTATTCATACTTTTTTTGAATGATCTATTTCATTACAGCTAATAAATCAAACTATATTTAATCTAACTAAATTGGATCTAGTTGTACAAATATACAAATAACAATTAAATATGAAGATGACTATTTGATAATCAAATATGAAGTAATTCTAAAGTACTAACTCGAAATTTAACACTTCCGTTATTTGTTTGATGAATCTAGTACTGTTTTGATAGTGTTAAATGATAAGTATCGAGATCAATTTCATTAGCTATCTTTTTACATGATGTAAATCACTTTTGCTTGAATCCTACTAACTACTTTTACGAGAAGTCTGCTAAATAATATTTTATCAACTGTCGGATTGTATGACGCGAGTAATATGAAGAAAACATCGTGCAATAGGTTTTTGGACTTCCGCCCGTAATGTTTAGTACATTATATTTTCAGGTACATTTACAAAATCATGAAATATTACTGGTAAAAATAGTACAAAGTAATTATTGTCCATTAATATTTCCGACAAACATTTCATTTAATTTTTAAGGTTTTCAGCGATATTCAATATAACGCATTGTCTATATTTATTGATAAAAACACCCGTAACGATAAAAATAATCGACCTTGGTTCTGAGATACATAATTTTTTTATAAAATTTTTTTTTATGTTTAGAAAGTATAGATACTTGATCTTTATGAAAAGCCGTACTTAAAAATAATTGAAGAATAAAAAAATATGATCTTCAAAATATGTTTTATTAGTTTTCAGTAAATGTGTCTTGACACGAATATGTCGACCTTTGCTAATATATCTTATAATACGGATACATTAAAAGTGCATTATACAGTTTAGTTTATATTATTTCCTTATTCAATGCGTAAAAAATCTATCCAGTCTTTAATCTTATCTTTCTTGTGTGTGTAAAATTGAAATATATTTTTGCTGACACAATGTACAATAATAGCTACTAATTTTTATTTATTGCATATGGTAAAAACTAACGTCATATGAAATGTCTTTAATTGTACTCATCTAAATATTCTACAATTTGTATAGAAAGAAACTTTTTGAACGAACATTACAGGATTAAAGTTTGAATTTTTTTTATTCTTCATTAATAACACAACAATTGAAATTATTATTTTCCATGAATTCAAAATTTAAAATTAAAATTTTTTTGTAGTTTTTACTTATGGTACCCACGGGCTCTTCTTAACATATTTTTTTCCAAAAAAGACACTCGCTCATTTTAAAATTACGTAAGAAAAAATAGTCTTGTACAATTATTATGTAACCGAGTATCTTCAACAATGACACGTTTTTACATTGTAAAATTTCCCGCGTTTTTAGAAACTAATTATGAAAGTATCTAAATTTTTGACGGTCAAGCCGGAAATAACATTGAAATTAATATTATAAAAATTACAATGCATGAAAATTAAATCACCTGCCATTTCATTAAATAACTCAGCTAAGCCTTTGACACAAAACTGGAAAATATCGGCCAAAGATCCTGTAAAATGGTCGATGTTTGCTTCAGTCAGTTCTTACGAGGGTGAGTCAGTCGGTAACATTCTGTCGTAACTGAGTGCTAGTTCGCTTATCAATCACATGTTTCTGGAACAACTAATGTCTGATCAATGCTGAAAAAGCTGAAGTAAATAGCTCGATTTTTATTATAATACAATTACGATTAACATTAATTACAATATCATTAAGTTTTTAAGATCTATTATGAAGTAATCAAACTCTGTAACTATTTCTTTATCACTGAATAATTACTATACAGCCGCAATGTAAATCAATCACGATACTCATTATCTAAAGTATGAATTTTTCTTTGCCAATAATTACACGTAGTTTCACAACATTTTATCATCTTTTTTATGTTTCTTACAATATTTATAGTAGTTTACATAATGCATAGACATGTGCCTATCAGAATCATTTGACTAGCTGCCGCAAAGAAAATGACTGTTTGAAGTAATGTGCCAATGACGTGACTTTTCTTTAAAGACAAACCCAGTTAAAAGTTTCTTTAAAAATTATACTTTAAATGGCGTTTACGTTTGAATTTTGCTGTTCATAGTTGAAACTCATGAATTCATTTTTAATATTTTAATAATGTTTTTATTGATCCAGGTGCGTTAAAATCATTAAAAAGCACACAATTAGTTAGTACATAAATGCATTAATGGCTATTACACGTAAAACATAAGTTACATATGTTTTGTTTTTTTTGTGTTGGCTTTGGACAGCTAAAACGTGTCCCTCTCGTAGAATGAAGTTCTAATAAATTAGCACATTACTGAGAGTACGCGTTATCACTTATAGTGCATTAAAAGTTGATAAAAATTGGCTAGGTGCCTCGTGCATATTTTGGCTATTTTAGCTAACGTGCGAGGACAGTCGGACTCGATCGTTCTCTTATTATAGTTTTTGCTTGGGGTATGATTGACAGGGCCAAGTGCAGCGTATGACTTGCTCGCGCGAGCACAAGTACGTTATACTGTTTTTGCTGTACTGTCTTTTGTAAACGTTATTCTGCAATCGCAGTCGTTACCACCAATTCAAGACTTCAGTCTAATAATTTCTCAGCAGATTAAATTTTTCGTAGTAATGAAAAGTGAAAGAGAAAAGTAATTTTTTTTATTCTTTTGATTTTTTTAATTTTACTATTGTTGACAGTCAACAAGAAGGAAAATCTCCGACTCAGAACTATGTGGATATGCAATTGTCGCAACATGAGTACGCGAAAGAAAATACGAATGAATGGCTCCTGAATATTATTACCCATCTCGCATTTCATTTTTTTACTCTTCCTCGAATAGTTGACACAAGTATACTCGTTGCATCGGCATTTTTATGCAATGACTTTCGTGCATTGTCTGATTCTACAAAAATCAACTGCTACTTATAAGTCAAAAATATAGATAATGATATCAATTTTTTAGTATTAAAAGTTTGAATCAATGTGTAATTTGCACCTATTAGTTTACTTATTATTTTAATTTCAAATACATACAAATAAATACAGTAAAGATAAAAAAAAAAATCGAAAAAATGTAGATTCGTTCACTCAGATTCATCATAACTTTTAGTATATGCTACAATCAAGTACAGTGCTAGATATTTAGCCACGTGTTTTTATGTATAATCTGCGATTGTTCGTCGATTTTTTAATTAAAAATTATTACATTTGAAATCCACGAATTTGACGAACTAATCAAGTTAACTGATACTTTTTGTAAACTTTGATAAAAGTTAACGTATATCAATGCAAATCATTGGTATAATTTAATAATGATTAATTTCCAACAGCTTTCAAGTTCCAAGAAAGTCTACTGAAGACTATGCTGCAGATCGAGAATACGTTCTTCGAATTGGGCGCGAGCATGAACCGGAATTGCCTTATCATTTGCGATAGAGGTGCTATGGACGCTTCTGCCTGTAAGTTTTAATTTCGCTGCTTTAATCATCTAAACATCATCAATTATCAAAATCATGACTTTGGTTTTTTCTATCTTTGAAAATTCCTTGCTTGAATCGAGAGGAATAAATTCCTCGGTACCAAATAGCACGATACTTTATAACGATCGAAGTGACAGTAGGTGTCGGGTAACGCGTAACTCTAGTGAGCCACCAACGAGTTACATAAATAAATAAGATCCTTTATACTTAAGGTTTTATGACATTTACCAGTACCGCTTCCAATCGAGAGAATATGAAAAAAAAGATACATACTCGATCGAGTAAGCCAACGAGCCAAGCGTACGTGTGTATGAACATGCATCAGAGCTTAAAATTGAACTTGAGCAATTGAGCGATTAAAAATACGATCGGTAAACAAAGAGCTGGCACGCGTCAATCGTTATAGGGACGAAGTAGTTGCATAATAACGGCTTACGTTATCGCGCGAAGCCTGCAAAATGCTGCATGCGGGCAGGCGCACCGCCGCCGCCGCCACTGCAGCGACAAACGAGATTTTGGTGATTTTTGTCACCGTATGTAACCGCTGTTTTTTTTTCTTTCGTTCTTAGTTATCTCGAAGGAAAAATGGGAGCTGATGATGGCATCGAACGGTTGGAACAGCGTGGAGCTTCGCGACACCCGCTACAACCACATCATTCACATGGTGTCGGCGGCGAATGGCGCTGAGCAGTTCTACTCGACCGAGGATCACGCCTGCCGCACCGAGGGCCTCGGGCTGGCCCGCGAGCTCGATTACAAGGCCGCCTCGGCCTGGGTCGGCCATCCTTACTTCGACGTGATCGACAACTCGCAGGACTTCGAAAGCAAGATCTGCCGCATGATCGAGTGCGTCTGCCAGAAGCTTGGCATCGACACCGGCGACCGATTGCAAGCCAGTAGTCGCAAGGTCAAGTTCCTTGTCAAGGGCCCCCTGCCGCCGGACGAAGAGTTCCCGCCCTTCCAAGACTTTGACGTTGTGCATAACTACTTGCAAAGCAATAATCCCAAGACCCAGGCAAGGTTGAGAAAACGTGGTCAAAAAGGTAACATTTATCCCCGCAAACAGAGTTGCGTCTATTCATTCGGCCATTGGACCTTCCTTACATCTTCACCTTGGTTTTACGTGTAAAAACCAGTACCGCGTGCATACTTGTTCTCGTGGAAAATACGATACCGCAAATCCTCCTGAGAACAGAAATTCGACACCTTCCACCGTCCTTGCTCCTTATGCAACTGCACTCGTATCATCCTTTGCTAAATTCGAGCTCTACCGACCAATGGCATTGATTGTACAAATTTTATTTTTAGGTCACTGGTCGTACATTCACACACTTAGACGGCCCAAAATAAACGACCAAGTGGTTGAAGTGAAAACTCAGTTGACCCATAGGGACTATCTTAACATGCTTGCTCAGCGCGACGACTCACACTTCACCATTTTCAAGCGTCGTCGCTGCTTCCTGATTAATAATCAATACTTTCAATTGGATATTTATCGGGAGCCTTGCCACAAAAGGTAACGTCTTGTTTAAGTACATCGAATCAACATGTATCGAATATATTATCAATGTATGAATTATTAACAGGTGCAATGGACTGATGCTTTTGGAGACTTACACTGCATTGCCCAGCGATAAGCTCATGAATATATTGCCTCAAATTTTAACGATTGAAAAAGAAGTTACTGGAAATCCTGATTACAGCATGTTCAACTTGAGCTTGCGTGAAGAATGGAATGTTACGAACAAATATTGCCACAATTTGAATGGTTAGTGATTAACTACATTTTCTTTGGAAACGTCTCAAGTTATTTGATTAATATTTCAAGTGTCCTAGTCAAAAGCAATATTTTGATTTTTGAATTAACTTTTTTTACAGTAACCAATGCGATCCCACCTGCAGTGGATACACCTAAAACGATGTTTAAAAATGGAATTGATTCTTTGTTAGGCGAAATGATAATAAATGGTGCAAGTAATGGGTTCCACTCTGATGAAAATACTGCAGAACCTTCTCCGAGTACTAGCAGCAGTAATAATGATCAAATCAACGGTGTATGTCAACGAAATAAAGAAATACAAGAAAATCAACAAAATGGTGTAGAACATCACAAAAATCCAACAGATGGACAGTCGTCCCACGTGCCAGATAATGTTAACGGTTTTCAATAGCACTAAACTGTCTGCTGTTATTTGTAATTTATAATTAAGATATTTTACTAATTTAAGTTTTGATTAATTTGTTAAAACATAGTTAATCATTATTGATATATTTAAAATTTAATTTAAAAAATTGATTAAAAATGTATAACCCGTGGAAAGCCGAGATGAGTTTTATGGAAATCTTAATCAATTGAGATTTTTATCGTGGCAATTTGTTGAAAAAAAGGAAAAAAACAAAAAAAAACAAAAAAATATTTTACTAATAATTAATACTACTAAAATATAATAATTTTTGTTAGTAAGACACTGTGAATTCGTTCAAATTTTGCGATGTTCCCGGATGTCTTATTGAGACTGAAATTTTAACATTTTGAACATCAATTTGCGTTGGTAATTTTTTAAAATTAATTTACATTTTATATGTGGAAAAATTTTAATTTGAAAATGTGTGTTATTTTAATGAAATTTTTATTTTTTTAAATAGATGGCTTTCCTTGGGTGTACACTCATTTTATTTTGCGTATTATACTATGGAAAATTTAATGCAGTATTAGCATGAATGTCTAATGAAATAAATATCAATCTTAATACGAAAAATATGCAGGACCGAATTTTTTGAAAATGTTTTTACGAGATTTTCATTTCTTCAGACGATGAATATTTTTAAATGAAAGTATAATGTTTTTCAAAACTTTTATGAGAACTGATCGCAATATACCTGAATTATTTATAAATTTGAATTCTTGTTGATAGTATGAAAAAACTGAGCAGAAATAAGTGATAAATGTTCCAAATCAAACCCATTTTCATGTCTTGCAGGAGAAAATTGAATTAATATATTTTTAAAATAGTATAACTGAATAAAAATAAATGTTCTCATTAATGTACGTTTGTGATACCATTAAACTTATAAGTCCTTTGTCATTTGTGATAATAATCAATGTTAAGTAACTAATCATTGACAAAATTTGCAATATAGATGTTTCAAAAGGATTGTAGATATATTGATTTAAAAAAAGTCAAATATTATGAAATAATGCACCATTTTAATCCAATCAGTCATCCTACGCTCTATTTCATTCTTGGTGAACTTTAATTTTTTTCATAGTTACATAAGATACAAGTATATCATGAAATGTTTATAAACCATGTTTGGGATAAATTTATTTCTGCTAAAATGAAAATGTAAATAATGTATAATATATTACTGTAATTGCAAAAACTTTCATACCTTTTAAATGAAAACAAATACTTCTCTAAAACACGTGACTATATTTTAAAACAATTTACCGTGATTTGTTGAATTGTATTGTCAACATAAAAAATCCAATTAATTCAAATTTAATTTGATAATTATTTTATATCGCGATTAAATCTTTGGTACGGTCATTTGATTATGAACTGTGATTATTTTTATAAAGATCATGTTTTAAATATTATAAATTGAAATGTGCTAAATGAAAATGAAAAATATTTCTTTAGTTTGAATAACTGTGAAGAAACAATATGTTATTTCTACATTTCATCAAGGGTTATTTTAGACCTGATAAAAGCATTTGACTAAGTGCCTATGACACAAAAAATTATGAAAAAATGGAAAAACTACTATTATATTTTCAATAGATATTACAATGTTTTTTGAGTGGTGTGTGTATGTATATGTTTCAGTATACATGCAACCAGACTTCAATGTACTCATAGGTTTATGAATAAATATTGTTTGTCCAATTACATGTTGTGAAGTTATTGAAATTTCCTGAATCTACAGTAACTTATATTCGTTGACTTCATGAGCTTTTTCTTTGGAGTCGCTTACAATCCAATTGTTAGATAATCTATTAAGAAAGATTTTTTTTCATGATTCATCTAAATTGAAAAGAAATTACCATTTTGTTATGTTTCAAATTTTATACAACAGCAAATTGGATAAAAAATGAAAATGATAAATAAAACATTTTTTTTAATGCATAGTTAGTTGTTTTTACTTTTTATTGAAACTTCATAAATTATATAAAGAATAACCATTTATGCAACAAAGTAATTTTTTTACTTCCTTACTATTATATGTATGTATTTGTATCATCAAAACTGTATGAAACAACTTTCTTAATATCCACTATTTTCAGTTCTATTAGATAGACTTACGTTTTCAGTGCCTTATCCTTTATTAAATACATTTAAAAAAGTCAGTAAAATACAATATCTGAACTGTAAAAAAAGGCAAGGAACAAATAAGATTATAACTTCAATTATAGTTTTAAATAATTCTTTTTAATATTTCATCAATTCTATTTGGAAAACAATGATTAACAAAATTGTATAATTACAGTGTTAGTTTGAGATGACAATTTTTCTTATAAATGCACTTCGAGTTACATAATGATTTAGTCACATTAATTATAATTATATATTTAAGTTTGATTCTCAATTTTAGTTATAAAATTAAAGTTATACCAAAAAATAGTAAAAATTAACTGTTTTCATAATATTTCGTGTATCTCAAGAAGATTCAAGCTAAATAATATCATTAATGGAAATCAACGCACAGTGCACATTATATAATTGAAAAAATATTGAGCATTTTTCTGAAGGAAGCATAATTTAAAATTAAGTAAATTACTTTTTAACCATTTTCACATGGTTGGAGAGACTAGTATTTTAAATCTACAAGTTTTATGTTTAATAAGTCCAAAATACTTGATAGAAGACTAAAATTTGAGTAGTTTCTTGTTGATATAATCTTTCAGATTGTTTAAATGAATTTACACAAGGAAAAATTCATAAAATTTTACACAAATTAATGGAATACTTGGATTTTGCACTATGAATGCAGAAACTATATATTATTATTCAAAATTGAATTAACAATGTATCAAGTAATTTTTTTAATTTGACTGAAAGCATTGAAAAAAATTGGCAATTTCTTAATGACTTAGTTAACTTTTTAGTCAATAATAAAATTTGCACAATTAATGGTATGCTTCAAGAATTTTTAGACCCAAATAAGAAATTACTACTAAATCATTCTATTGTAAAAGATTATAGGTACCTAGTTTTTAAGTTAATAGTAAAATAAATTCCATTACCTTGATTAAATTATCATTTTAAACATTGTTTTTAAATTCTGGCAAATTTTTAGTAGAAGTAAATTTTTCAGGACATACTAATAAGTGATGTAGAATATATTATAGTTAAGAATAGTGTACTATTCAACATTTTGATTTACATTTTTCTTAGAATGTATAAAATATTTTTAATAATCACAATAGTGTATTTATAAATAGTCTAAAGATTGACAAATTAATATTGACATTTAAAACAAGAGCACTTAGACTACATATAGATATAATGGTTTTAATTTCCAAGCAATAAATTTTCAAAAAGTTATTAATATTTCTAATACTCAACTTGTTTACAATTTCATTTCATTAGTAATTAATTCAACACTGTGAGAAAATATAAAATTGATTAGATATTCTCATAGCTTTAAAAAATACTCCATTTACTTTGCCATGTTTACATTGCTAACAAAAATGGAAGTGCTTTCCTTTGTCAAAAACTGTTTATCACTTTTTAAATTAAAAAACGATTACTCAAAATATATAAATTTACTACAATTTATCTACCAACTGCTTTTGCTTGTTGCGCTTTATATATCTTTAAAACTTTTTTACTAGGAATTAAAGTTTGACTCAAACCAGGTCTTTTTTTTCGTTTAATTGTTTGACTATTTTCTTGATCAATCTCATCATCTTCATCAATTGTAACTTGACCAGTATATTGTTTTTGACATATAATAGTTTCTTGGGGTGAATGTAAAGCTTCTAACTCAGCAGCAGTTCGATGTAAATCAGAATCATGAGCAAATGTACAATTGTGACCAAAGCGACACCGTCCTTTTCTATAGTTCCAGCAAATTTTTCGACCATTTATCATTTTTGTATCATCTAATGTTGGAGTCATTTTTACATGTTTTTCAAGCATAGCACTTTTAGCTCTTTCAGCCTCTGCAAATGGATTTGAGAAAACAGAAGTTTTCAAGGTTGGTGCACCGTTGAAATCAGGAGTGGGCAATGGAAGTTTTTTATTGGAAGCATCGTCTTGTTTTAATTCTTCATTATCATTGTCAGTACTGTTATCTTCATCATCAACTATATCCTTAGAACTAATAATTAAGGATTAATTTAACAATGTATTTCTAATTTTCCTAATATTATTAAACAATTCTCATGTTGTAAACATGAAAATTATTTTATGGGCTGATATAAGATAAATGAGAACATCTGATAATTTCACAGCAGACAAATTGAATATAAATAGGAATAAATGCATCATTAAATGAGTTATTGTATGACATGCTAATTATCAATGTTTTCACATTATAATATCATGTCTTTTGTGTACAAATTCAATACAACATTAGTAGACAGCCAAACGTAACATGTATATACACATGTGTATATGCACATACAAACAGGTAAATAAGCTTCAGCAAAGAACAACTTACGATTCCGAGTCGGAGTTTTCCTGATCCTGTTCGTCTTCAGAACCCGACGAGTTTCCATAATCAGCCACCAAGGAAGCCATGATAGTACTTATTTTAATGAGTAATACTTAAATTAAGATGATTATTGACTATTTGCGTTGCTACATAAATATAGAAATGATAAATTTAACAAAAAGAAGACCCTCACGGGTCGGAAGAGCGAGAGAAACTAGACGTGCAGTGGAGATGGACACGACTCGATTGTTGTCCTCTGCAGTAAACGCACGCGCATATTCCACCAGTCCACTGCTGTAGTACTGTCTTGCTGTTTGCAGACCAGATCGCGAGATATCTACCACATATCATGTATTTATACCTATATATAGTGTGTAATGTCTGCAGTGTAGCAGTAAGTGTGGGATGGTAGTTACCCGTTAACTTTGCAAAATAATAGTATGTATCTAGTATGTTTGCGAATTGATATTAAGTTTTCTAAATACTTTTAAATTGACCACACAATTTTATTGATGTGAAACATCTATTTATAATTATGAGGTATTTAAATTGATGTTGCGTGTTTTTATTAGCGAACTTGATGATAATTTGACAATATGTAATTCGATTACTCAGAAAGATAGTATACATGACAAAGCATCGTTAGTATTGAAAAAAAGTTTACACTTATCAATTACATAATAATTTCGCAAGACATTTATGATTAACATCTTTGTATAAAAACAGCAATTATATTACATTCAATATCATTTAGGGAGTATACCCTCGTCATTGAAATCGACAAAACAACATTTTCCATTTTCAAGGAGAGTACTTTTCCAGACTCGTATTTCTCGTCGTCCTCTTTCCAAAGGATCTATCAATAAGCGCACATTCGGCACGCCTTGCCAGTATTTGCCGAGCGACGGTTGAAAATTCAAGGGAACGCTCTTGCCGCTCGATTTGTCCGTCAACATCGAGTCTCTCTGCTCGGCTCGAACTCTGTTTATAACAACGACGGCTACTCGGCAACGGTTGGCCAAGTACCTGCAGATCGACGCAAAACTGCACAATATCTGAGTGAGCTCGGTGCTCGGAACGATCGCACAGAGCAGAGACAAAGAGTCAATTATAATGAGCTTTTTATTACTCGACGATTCGCTTTCGTTCCACGTCGTTGCCAGCTCGTGAAAGAGACTGACCAAGTCGTGGATTCGATGGACTTGGTGAACTTTTATCGCGCTCATGACTTTGGCGAAATCCTGAAAAACGAAAGGACACCTCGTGAAAAGAAGGAATAATTATTGGCCGAGTACCACACAACTAACGGTGACACTGGCTTTCCGCATGTCGAGTATCATTTGAATTCTCGAGGCGAAAAATTGCCGACTTGCATCGACGTAATGAACTTGGCTTAGATCGTTGAGAGTGGCGTGCATCGCGAACCAATGGCACAGCTGCGATTTGCCCGCCGACGAACATCCGCAGATTTCGTAAATTTGACGACAATGAAAGCCCCCGTCCAACAGATTGTCCAGGCTGCAAAAGCAAATGATCGATGATCGCTGCAAAGAACAATTTTAGTGTTTGTGTGAGAATTTACCAACTCAAACCGGTGGATATGACGTCCTCTCTTTCTTGAGAATAAACATCGAGAGAATGTTCAATGTTCCCTCCAAACTTTGTGACTATTGTTTTTTGTAAAGTATCGACGAGCTGTGAAGATATTATGTTACTTCGTAAAAATAATTGAAAGAGGCGGAACAAAGATTTAACAGATGTGAGTAGCATACCTCATAAGGCATGTCAGTTTTTTTCACGAGCTCTTCGCAAGTCAACAACATAAAATCATAAACAGTTAAGATACCTGCAGATCGCAATTTGACAATTGAGCTCTCTGACAATCCCAAATCTGCGTTCTCTAAACGGGCCATTATGTATTTCTTTTTTCTTTCAACTCATTTACACAAATGTCATAAGAAATATTTCTCTGAGTCTGTCTGCTCGAGAATAATAGTGCGAGGATTTGACGGAATTGTAATATCGTCTGTTTTCAAGTCAAAACAAAACTGCAGTCGAGTACAGACTACAGAGACATCTGAAGTCTGAACTGTGAAAGTGTAAATAGTTATACAGGCACTTGTTCAACTTAAGCAAGTGGTATTATTACACGCGGGGAATCGTACTTTATATGTCGTGTGTACCCGCAGCCAAATGGAAGTTTTTTTATTTTGCTGGAAATAATTAACTTTAAAATTTTTCTGTGTATCGCAATATTAAGGCGCAAACTGTACGCATGACACGAGTAATGACGTTAAAAATACGTCATCCTCAATTAAAAAATTCACAAGCAGACCATTGACAGAAAAAGAGTGCGTCGTCATTCATGAATGAACTGGCTAAAATTATAAATTGCGTACGACTGCTACATATCTAAATTCTAATTTTATGATGAGTCTTCCAACGTTTGCTGCGATGCTTTGATGCCTGGCCGCACTTTCAAATCTCGTGTTTCACTACATAATTGAAAAGTAAAAGTAATATACTAAGCTCAATTCTAAGATCCTGCCTTTTAAAAGAATTTTTTTGTTGATTAGGATGAGCTTTACAAAAATGGTTAAATTGATGATAGAAAAGGTTCGATTTAAAAAAAGTTTTTAGAATAAAGATAGAGTGATCTACAATGTAGAACGTGGTCAAATCGAGCGCCTTCGTAAATTGGTTCATTGGGGACATCTCTTACGTCCGCATAGGCGTATCGTGTACTGGCAGCACTCATACACAGATAATCGCATACATAAAATATTCGTCTTTTAGCTGCTAGCGTGACTCTGGTCTCGTATGACCAAATTCTCCGCCTTGTTTCAAGCGGCGCAGAGGGAAAAATTTTAGATAGTGCGCCAAGCGTGCGCATGTGAAAAACAGAGGAAGAATATGTGTTTAGGTTGCAGAGCCAAGACCACGAATTCTGCCACTTCAGCACGAGTCGGCTCGTCGGTCACGTCGCCGTCGTTCCCGAGAGGGAAAAAAGCAAAAGTTTTTCGGTGACAACTGATCAGCAGCATCGAGAGCCATGTCGAAGAGAGTTGCCGTAGACGTGAGTAAACTGCCTGGCCCCGAAGAAGACTTTGGTGGCTATGCCGTCGACCAAGGGACGAAAAGGCCCGACCTGCCGCGGCCAGCTAGTTGCCGAGATCGCATCGGTAGTAGCGGCAGCGCGATCGTATATTCGGCCACTTGATTGAGGAACTCAGACGACTGTTACACGGCTCGAATGGCTCAAGCTAACACGTGGCTGCACGACTACAGCAGTTTCATCATGGCCAAGCTTCTCAGCCGATGCGGCTTCTTCGTTACACTTCTTCTTTCACGCCGAGTGTGCTGAATTTCTGCGATTCGCGTTGATCGGTGAGTTGAACATTTTTCCCCATCATACTCGAGAATGCATTTCGACTCGTCGCACTATGTTGCAACGACTCCAAATTTATTTACCCCCTCCCAATCTGTACTCAACGCTTATGTACTACATCTTTTTCTTTTTGTGCTTGATTGTTGCTCGCCTATATGTTGATTGGGTCTATCGACTCCTTTTTTTTCATACGTTCGAGCAATATAATCGAAGAGCGCGCCTTTTTTTATATGCTTTGCGCTACTGCCTGCGTGTTACGCATTCATCAATATTAAACAACTACCGGCGTTGCGTAGCACGTGCAGCGGCGTTAAATTTGTTAACCCTACTATTTCTAAATTTATTTTCTTTACATCCACCTACATATGTTTCTACAAATCTCTGTAATTCATCCTAATTTTTTAATTTCAAGTTCGTAGTCATTTTCACTTAATTTTTCAATTTTTTAGTGAATTTGTATTTCATGTATAACTAAAAGCGATTGTTGAACAAAGCAATCGGCGTCCTTGTTTAAATAAATTCATACGAAAGAATAATTAAAGTAAATGATTATTGAAGGTTATCTTTTAAGCATAAAATAATACTTGATTTAAAATGTTGAAAATTGATTTTATAATTATATAGCGCGATGTTTGTTTTTAATATATTAATCAAATTTTGGTCGTTCCCACAAAGTTTCGGTAAAAAGTAGTTTCGGAAAGGTTAGTTTATTTCGCGCACGTGCTCCGAAATCGCACTCGGGCCCAGATCTCGCGCCATGTTGGTCTCCGTAAAATTCGACTTCGCTTCCATTGTTCAATATTAAAATACACATAGTCAATCCGTTGTAACGAACTATTTCTAGTTTTTTTGAAATACACTTTAGTCAATTGTAATTATGAATCGAACGCGGTCGAGCGACTATAATGATCTCGCGGTGTCATTGATTTAACATGCACCAGGCCCGCTGCATAAGTGCATAAGTGGAGGTGTGGCAAGATGGAAAGCGCCGGAAACGACAATCTCGAATCATTTGACGGTCTATGGACGGTCCTGTAGGGTCAGCTAGGTGATTTTCTCTCCCAATTCCCATATGCGTGAACCTATACATACGCAGCCAAACCCCCTGTTGTGTACACCCCAAGAGCTGTGTTGCGGGTTGGACGTGGCGCGCGCGCAACTTGGCACAACCTATACATATGTATTGCATCAGTTTATAACGTTCGCATGTACGTGTGTGCGTGGCCAAGGTGGATTCGTTCGCGGCGCGCAGAAGACGGAAAAGTGGCTGGTGCGCTGCTGGTGCGCCGGTGGTCCCGGCTGGAGCGCCACCTCGCGCCCAGCGCCCGATGCACTCTTCCGTCTCTGTCCCTCGGCGGCAAAGCTCGGCGAGCCGCTCACGAGGTCGCACATCAGACAGGCAGCAGCAGCAGCAGCCACGACTCTCGTACGAGAGCCATTTCGTAGGCCGTCGCCGGCTCGCCTGCGCTGCAGACTGCACATCGCCTACCCCCTCTTACCTCCTCGCACAAACTCCGAGATATATAGTCAGTTTCGAACGTCGCGAGGAGCTGCCGTCGCCACCGCCGCCGCTGCCGCTGCTGCTGTTGGCGCTCGCTTACGCAGCAGCAGCGCAACAACAACAACAACAACATCACACTGCAATTAATATCACAGTGCGCGCGCATATAATATTGGTTCGTCGTGCGCTGTTACTCTGTGTGAGTAGAAAAACTGTGTAAATAGTGTGTGTATGTGTGTGTGTTTACTGTGTGAGTGTGTATGTGTATACCTGTGCCATATGCGCGCGCGTCAGCCAGCCAGCTATACTGTGCTATGTGTGTGAGTGTACATCATACATAATATACCATAGAGTACAGTCTGGCCACCCTGTGCGAGGCGTCCTTGACTGAGGCGTGTTTGCGGCCAACTTCGCTCGGGCCACGTTTGCTGCCGTCGCCCCCGCTGCTGCTGCTACTTCTGCTTCTTTTCGAGGCGAACTGCAAAGGCCCCTTCGTCGCGTTTCCCCTCCGTAGCGAGAGAGAAGCGACGGCAGCCATTATTGTATATCGTTGCGCGCATATAGAGCCAAGTATAAACGCCAACGCGCCTCTCAAAATGACCGATTCCACAGACGAATGAAGCGAGAAAGAGCGCGCGCGGGTGCGGTTCCCGCAGTGACTTTATGTGTTTGCGTTTGACCCGACTCGTTTTTAACAACAGTTTACGCCGATAGCAGTTTTCTAACCCGTCCGACGGGGCCGAGCCCTTGCTCTGCCTGTGCTGCACTCGCAGGCACGCTTCGACTTTCTCGTCGTCGTCGCTCCTTCGCATCGTCCGTCTTCTCGTTTTCTCTCGGGCCTTTCTCGCCCATGATCGAGCCGCGACACACGTCTATACTTGTATATTGTCATCGGCTCGCGCTGCATCGTCGTCGCGTATGTGCGCGCTCTCGAGGCAACAACTGCACGCACACATATACGACTTCTCGTTTTCTCTCTCTTTCGCACTCGCACAAACGCATATGTGAGAAATAAGCGAAACGCGCATCTCTAGGAATTTCCTCGCTAAATAAACGCCGACGCGTCGCGCCCCGGTCAGCCCACGCCCAGCGGATATTGCTCGGATGGCACATCCTCGGGGAGTTTCGCTGACTACGCTGCGGTAAGTTTGCAACTGCTAGGGCTCGTCTACGTAAAAAGCGAGACCTCGCGCATCTCGAGAGCGAGAGAGGCCAAAATGGCCGACTTAGAATTTCCTTTGTCCCGAAGCTAGTCGAGCTGCCGTCGCTCTTGCTACATCTTTCGACACGAGCTCTTTTTCCCGAATCTAACCCTCCTGCGCCGTCAATTTTCTCGTCCGATCGACCTTTTTCCTCTGTATTCGTGTCATCGAAGAATTGTCTTTTTTATACACTTTCGCCATTATCGCAATACTCTAAACGAATCTCTTCCATCGTTCTGTCTCTCTTTCTCTTTCGTCGGTGATGCGCATATCGCAGGCCAAGAATACACACACATACGCGCGCGCGCGCATGCACACATACACACTTTTGCATATAAGCTTCCCTCTTATTTATTTATTATTATTTTATTGTTTTCGATATTTTTCATGGATAATTTTTCAATTGATACATGCTCTATCGATATTACTTCATAATACCACGCGAAAAAATTGATCAATTCATATTTTCAGGATTATTATAACTTATTCATTTTAAATTTTTTACGCTAACTCGCTTCACCAAATCAGTTTTTTATTATTCGTTTGGATAATTTGGATTTATTTCAATGTTTGTTCGTAAACCTGATCTCGCATAAAATTTATTCAACTACTTTTGTTTTTTCATTTAAAGTAACAGATTTTGCAATATGTATGCTTTTTTTGCAAATGCTCTTCGTTCCAATTATTACGGAATAATTAAATATTCAAATGAGCTTTTTCGAAGCCGGCCGAATTGGTTTTCAATAGACGCTGGCTTTCAAGCAATTTTCATGTTCGTATCCAGTACAAATGCAAAAATATCATCGAAAAAGTAGTTATCGATTTTCGTGCGTCTTACTTTCTTTTTTTATTTAATTTATTCACAGTCTTAAACAAGAAAATGCAAAACAGATATTTTGCTTGTTGTTTATTAAAAATTATTCTCTGCGTGTCTAGTATTCTCAAAAATTAATCAATAAAGACAATTCATAAAATGTTCAGTATTAGTTTTATTTTTACTTGTCATTGTCCTACAATGATTGGTTCAGTTACCCTATTTAGTACATTTATTTTTTTAGACTACCTACTTGAAATAAATGATCATATATTTTGATATTGTTTAACATTTCCAAAAAACTTTATAAAAATAAATGCCTATTTTTTCAGTATAATGTGTGATGAGTGATAAACAAAGTGCACCCAGTGTGCCGCCCCTAACTAGGGGTGGAGTAGGAAATGCAGATAAAAATGTCAACCAAAATCAACAAGAAACGAACGTGCAAAAGAAAATTACAAATGTCACATCAAACAACACACCAATCAAACTTGCCTCTTCAAAAATTGAGCAGGTACTTATATTTTTTTATAAAATTTGTTGTTATTTTTTTTTAAATTTAGTACCTTAATGATGTTAACATTACCACTCTTGAAAGATTAAATGAATGTTCCATTCAGGAGATCTTTTTGATATAATCGAGGCATTTGTCTGAAAAATTTTACAATTAATATTAAAATTAAGTTATTTAATTCTGGTCATATCTGTAAAAAAAATTAAAAATTTTAGGTCATTTCAGCAAGTCACAGCACATCAAATCAGTCTGCCAGTGTTTCACGTATCGTTAACTCGTCAGATCCCATCGATGTGGTTAAAGTCTCAGATACTGATAACTCGAAAGTCACAGTTGCACCATCCGCCAGTCAGAATACTAAGATAGGGTTGACAAATTCGCCAAAACTCGTTCGTACATCAGTATCCAGCATGATCTTGCCGTCTGATCATTCATCATTATCCAAAGATGCTGCAGATCCATTAGTAGTTTCAAGCTCATCAACATCTTCTTTGACATGCCAATTAGCACTATCAACAGACTCAACATCTACATCGTCACCACCTGCAAAAAAGTGTAAATTACAAGAAGATGTAGATATTCCAATTGAGTTAGCAGAGCCTAATATTTTAAAGCAAGCTATTCTTGATTACAAATTACAAAGGTTATGTTTAGTGCTCAATGAGTATAGAGAAAACGCCACAGAATTATTTTTTCTTCAGAACGGTGGCAATATTCTTGACTATGATAAATGGAAGAAAGAACTTCCAACAGTTGAATACTCAGAATTCATGAAAAAATATCAATTAGGAACAGATAGTGATGAGAAGTTAATGCAATCTGCAACTGGTGATGTTGGAACTGACAATTTAATACCTAGTTCAAGTGCATTACCAGTAGTTTTAACTGAAGTGACTTCGGATGTAGCATCAACATCAGAAACTGTTACAGCTACATCTTCAACAGTGTCAGAAGTTGTGTCGACAATGACAACAAGTGTACCTGTGTCTACAGTTTCTACACCAGAAGTTTCTACTTCTGGTGACACACCTGTAGATGTTTCAATGACTTTAACCTCTACAGTAGCAGAATCAAATCAAAAAGGTATATTCTCTTTCTAACGTGGTAAAATAAATTTGATAAGAGTGTTGATTTGAGATTTTTTACAGGCTTTAATTATCCTCAAAGCAAATCCTTCATATAATTTCAATATATATCATTTTAAATTAATTCCATTAATAGATATCCTTATATGGTATATATATTATTTTTTGAACTATTCAAAGAATCATTGAATATTGCGATAAGATCTTAATTAATTTCATGATAATTTCAACTTTTTGAGCTACAGTTCAAGCTTCATTATTTATTATTGACTTTTAAATCTTTTCTATTTTGCATTATTGCACTTCATAAATATTTTAGAAATTACTCAATTCAATATCTTTGATCCTTTTTCTAGAAATACCAATAATTATTCAAAGAGTTTTTCGTTTCATTTATAGATGAAATGCTAACTGAAGTAAAAACTGAGGATTCAAACTTGGTGTCTAATTGCAATCCTTCTTCGGATAAAATGCCAATGACCAATAACACTGATGCGTCTTTGCCAAATGCTATTGTAAAACTGGTTAAATTGCCTGTTTCTACTTTAGCAACTTCTCCTCCCTGTGATACAGTTATTAATAATCAGGAAAACATTGTAGAAAAAGCAAAGCAAGAAGCTTATGTTGTACAAAGGATAGCTGAATTACAAAGAGAAGGTTTGTGGTCTGAAAAAAGACTTCCCAAAGTACAAGAACCTCCTAGGCAAAAAGCGCACTGGGACTACTTATTAGAAGAAATGGTGTGGCTCTCTGCAGACTTTGCCCAAGAAAGAAAGTGGAAGAAAAGTGCTGCAAAAAAGTGTGCTAGAATGGTTCAAAAATACTTCCAAGAAAAAGCAATTCAAGCTCAGAAAGCAGAAAAGCTGGAAGAGTTGAAAATGAAAAGATTGGCTAGTTTTGTAGCTAAAGAAATAAAAACCTTCTGGGCTAATGTTGAAAAGGTACTGACTATTTATAAATTGAATACTATTATTATGATTTTACCCCACACAATAAGCCGGCAATTCCAACTTTATAATGTTGTTACTGTGTGCTCGTTGTGGGAACATTAAATTTTAAAATTTGATGATTTGACTGATGCTAAATTAGTTTTGGTTTATCAACATTTTAAATACATGAATTTTGGATAAAAATTAGTAAACCATGAGGCATTATAAATTAAATTATATTATAATATTAAAATATGTTTTCAGTTGGTGGAGTATAAACAACAAACTAGACTGGAAGAAAAAAGAAAAAAAGCATTAGACCAACATTTAAATTTTATTGTAGATCAAACAGAAAAATACTCATCTTGGTTAACAGAAGGTTTGAATAAAGTTGAAGGAAACTTAAGTACACCTGCATCTATTCATAGTTCACGAATATCATCACCCATACCAGTTGATCATCACTCTGATGATGACTTTAAGCCAAATCAAGATTCTGATGATGATGAAGAAACTATAGCAAAAGCAGAAGAAGAAATGAAATCCAATCATAAAGAAGAAGTGGAACTGCTAAAAAAAGAGTCTGAACTCACCTTGGAAGATCTATTAAAGGAATTACCACCCAATTATTTGGAAGAAAGAGATAAAAGTTTATCTCCTTTACCAAAAAATATAGTGGAAGAAGAGAAAGATGATAATGAAGGAAAAGACACTGAGTTCACTATAGATTCGGATGATTCATCGGAAGATGAAGAAGATACCATTCAAGAACAAGAAAAAATGGAACAAAACGTAGATCATAAACAAGAATTAGATGATTTAAAGGCTGAAAATGAAATGTCGATAGATGAGCTCATGGCTATGTATGGGAATGCTGGTGAAACTTCATTAGATTATAATGAGACTGATAATGGTAAGGAAGTTAATTTTATAATAACTTTTAATAACTTTAACTATAAAATAAAAAATGATGATAATTTACCAACTCTGAAGGCTTCCTCATGCAGTTCTCTTACGAGGCATTTGTCTGATTTCTACAAATAAGAAAATAAACTGCTTAGAATTTAACTTTACAGAGAAATTAATGATAAAATATTTTTACAGATACTGACTCTGAAAATGAAGATGAAAGCAAATCTGAATCAGATAATAAATCAGACAGTGATGATGAAGCTCAGAATGATTCTCAAAGTGATGATGAACCTGTTGGGTTAAAGTCATTATTAGAAGATTTATCTGATGAAAACAAAAGTATGACTGATGCAAAACAAAGTGAAATGGATTCTGTTGCTGCAATTGCTGAAAGCTTACAACCCAAAGGAAATACTTTACTTACAACAAGTGTAAGTATTTTGATTATATTTTATTTTCATAATTGATATTTATATCAATTAAAACCTTCTCATCCAAAGAGTTTGTGAAATGTACTATTCCAAACTACTATTTCAAGAAGGAAGATTAATTTGAAATTGCTCTTTTTTATAAATCTTAACTTAGAATTACTTTAGATTTATTGTAGCAGTTTCTACACTAGATTATTTATAATGTTATTTAGCTTCATATTATACTCAAAATGAATTTGCTTACACTCATTTTCTGTTTATCAGGTTGTTACTAAAATTCCATTTTTATTAAAACATACCTTACGAGAATACCAACATATTGGACTTGACTGGCTCGTCACCATGTTTGAAAGAAAGTTGAACGGAATTTTGGCTGATGAAATGGGGTTGGGTAAAACTATCCAAACTATTGCTTTATTGGGACACTTGGCTTGTGAGAAAGGAAATTGGGGTCCACATTTAATCATTGTACCAACTTCAGTAATGCTCAATTGGGAAATGGAATTCAAGAAATGGTGTCCAGGTTTTAAAATATTAACTTACTATGGATCCCAAAAAGAAAGAAAACAAAAAAGAACAGGCTGGACTAAACCAAATGCTTTTCATATTTGTATCACATCTTATAAGCTTGTGATTCAAGACCATCAAAGTTTCCGACGAAAAAAGTGGAAATATCTAATACTAGACGAAGCACAGAACATTAAAAATTTTAAATCTCAAAGATGGCAATTGCTTTTGAACTTTCAAACACAGCGTCGTTTGTTACTTACTGGAACACCACTTCAGAACAATTTGATGGAACTGTGGTCCTTAATGCATTTTTTAATGCCGAATGTGTTCCAATCGCATCGAGAATTCAAAGAATGGTTTAGCAATCCTGTGTCTGGAATGATAGAAGGAAACAACGAATATAATGAAAATATCATCCGCCGTCTACATAAGGTTTTACGCCCATTTTTATTGAGACGACTTAAATGTGAGGTTGAAAAGCAACTACCAAAAAAATATGAACATGTAGTCATGTGTAGATTATCAAAACGACAAAGATATCTATACGACGATTTTATGTCGAGAGCTAAGTAAGTATAATAGATACCAAAAAAAAATTTCAAATGGAAAATATTAATCATATCAATAATTTATTTACAGGACAAAAGAAACATTAGCTAGTGGCAATTTATTAAGTGTTATTAACGTTTTAATGCAACTGCGAAAAGTTTGTAATCATCCAAACTTATTTGAATCACGTCCAACAATATCACCATTCCAAATGGAGGGTATTGATTTCCACACAGCATCGCTTGTTTGGAGTGCACTCGATTATGATCCGTTTAAGGTAATTAATTGAACTAAAATAATTTTAAAAAGGTAGTTGAAATACCACCCATATTTTTTAAACCTCTGATTCCATAGTTCAATATGGAGCAGCTCAAATAATGTGGGGAAAGAAATTTCAAGCATTTGTAAGGCCAAATGATACAATTTGTTTGGCCTAAGGGCGCTTTGAGACATTATTAATATTATTATTTATTACGTTATTATCACTATATAAACATAATCAATATCTTTTCATCTTATATATTGCTGCCTATACTGAGTCTTTATATTATTTTCAGCATATTGATCTATCTTGCTTTAACTTAGATCTGATAGATTTGGAATTCACCATGACTGCATTTGTAGCTCATCGTATAAAACGTTTGAAAACTCCTCGCAAACTTATAGAAGAAATTGATAGTTATCCTCCTCCTCCTCCTCGTTGCCCTGCAGGAAAAATCAAAATAAATGTTCGATTATCAAATCAAGTTTCAAAACCAACTGCAAATGTTCCACCAAATCAGCAACAAATAAAAATAAAAAGTTTCACGGGAGGAGTACTACCATGCACCAAAATAAGTAGTGCACCATTAATCAATAATTCTAATAATTCCGTAGCACCTAGTCAAGGTAATTTTGATTGATTCAAACTTATAGTCATTTACAAGAAAAAAAAGTAAAATATTGGTATTCATTTTAGGTGTTACATTAAAAGTTGCAAGCGGGCATCATCTACAAGGATATTCTGTTCAACTTGTTCCACATCAAGGAACAGTGAAAGGTAAATAGTTCATTTCTTGAATATGTTAATGCATCATCGATCAGTGACTGTAAGGTTGCAAGCACTTTTGCAGTGATGCTAGAAAAATTATACTCTTGCCAGCTTGTAGGTTTGCTAAAATTAATTTATCAAACTCTCAATCCAAGCTGAGTTGACATGAAAAATATATCCATACTCTCTTGGAATCTTTAAATCGTCAATTAAAATTTTTATTGTCCATTAAAATGATTTTGTTTATTTTTTATAGCAATACCTGTAACTTCGGTAGCACAAAATATACAAAATGCGGGAACAGCAGTGCCCACTACAAAAGATGCGTCCAAAATCACAACGCAAGCAGTTACTGTTAAGTCCGGCGATTCTGTCCAAAAACTTGTTCCAGGCATTGCTCAGTTAGTCCAAACTTCCACTGGAAGGCATATTATTATTACCAATACTAATCAAGAAACTCCTAATCCATGTAAGCATCATTGTTTTATAAAAAAAAATTTTTTAAACTTCGAAGAACCTGAAAAAATTAATATTTTTAATATCCTTTTCTAGATTTTCCAATAATGACATCCTCTGGACAAAGATTAACTGTTTTTCCAAAGCAGTTAATGAGTTTATCTCCGACTACCGTATCAGTTAATAAAGTTATCGGAAATGTCGTTACTTCTTCTACAGGAAGACCAGTTATGCGAGTTTCGCCAATAAATGTAAATGCGTTATCAGTGGGACAATCACAACCGCAAGGAGCGTTTCGATGTGGATTAATTACTAGAACTATAGTAAAGGACGTCGAAAAAAATCAGAGTATATCTGCTCCAAAATCGGAATTTCACTTGGTATGTACCATTGTATTCATATTGAATTTTTAACAATCATTGAGAAATTAACTCAAATTTTACAATGAATTCTTATTTCTCAAGCTGGACTTGGAAGAAAGTCGACGAAATAAAAGGCACAATAAATTAGTTTCATTGGCTAATATAAACGATAAAAGATGCGCTGCCTGTCCTGTTTATGGAGAGGACTTATGTTCAACTTTGAAAATGAATAATCATGAGAAGTCTAGTGGATGGAACAGTGGTTGGCTCCATTGTTCTTTGGCCAAAGAACCGACCCGAACGCGAAGACAATACTTTTCTCATACAAAAGCACTAGCAGAAGCTATCAAATCAACTGAATATTATGTTCAAGAGTTGAAAACTATTTTCGAAAAATTCCTTGTTCACGTTCCAGCTGTTTTGGCATCTTCACCTAAATTCCATGTCTCTCATCCACCACCTCATAAACTATGGAAAGATCAACGACTGGTTTTAGAACTGAAGCAGCACTTAGACGAAAAATTATCCATTTTACATCCTATTGCTAGCTCAATGTTGACCCAATTTCCGGATCCACGTTTAATACAGTACGATTGTGGAAAATTGCAATCACTAGATCAACTTCTCAGAAAATTGAAGACCAATAATCATAGGGTTCTTATTTTCACGCAAATGACAAGAATGTTGGATGTTTTGGAAGCTTTTCTCAATTACCATGGTTATATATATCTTCGATTAGATGGTGCTACGAAAATTGATCAAAGACAAGTGTTAATGGAAAGATTCAACAATGATAAAAGAATATTTTGCTTTATATTATCTACCCGTTCTGGTGGAGTTGGTGTTAATCTTACTGGAGCTGATACAGTCGTATTTTATGACAGTGATTGGAATCCAACTATGGATGCTCAAGCTCAAGATAGATGTCACCGTATTGGGCAGACTAGGGATGTGCATATTTATAGGTGAGTTAATAAGCAATAATAAAAATTTTTAAATATCGTCACCGACCACGTAACAGGTCATTCATATCTGTTATCGTTTTATCTTGAATGACGAGATATTAATATTTCTTTATAAAAACTCGTGCGCTAAAAGTGGAAATAATATAGCGTGCGTATCCTGTCTAAAGAAACAAATGCTTTAAAAACCTTGTAAAATTTTGTAAAATTTGAATTTCAATCGATGACTATAATCTTAATTTCAATTTTCAGGTTAATAAGTGAGAGAACGATCGAAGAAAATATCCTTAAAAAAGCTAATCAGAAAAGATTGCTTGGCGATCTTGCAATTGAAGGTGGCAATTTTACGACAGCGTACTTCAAAAGTGTAAGTTGGAAATTTTGTTTGTTTAATTATTACATAAATGCGTTGTATAAAATTGTTACTAATTATTGCTTTTATTTTATAGTCTACCATTCAAGATCTGTTTAACGTCGATCAATCAGAAACTGATGCTTCTACGCGAATGGCTGAAGTATTAGAACAAAATAAGGATCGTGAAAAACAGTTCCAGAAAGAATCAACCGTACCTGAAGAAAAATTAGCTATAGGAGCATTGGAAAGTGCTCTTGCCGCAGTTGAAGAAGACCTCGATGTCCAAGCAGCTAGAACGGCTAAAGCTGAAGCTGTTGCTGACTTAGCGGAATTCGACGAAAATATTCCAGTGGATGACGTCGATAATGAAGATGCACAAGTTAGCAAAGCTGAACAAGAAGTTCAGAATTTAGTTTCTCAGGTAAGAAATATTTTTTATCGTTTTTATAGATACCTCGCTTCCGACCATGAATCTGAATGCTTTTGTCAGATATCGTGTTTTTTTATTATAAAAGCGAGAAATAAATTAATTCTCTATTAAAACTCGTGGGTTGAAAGTGGAAATTATACAACCTGCGTATCCTGTCTAGAGAAACAAATTCTTTCATTTGATATTATTAAATTTGTGATAACTCTAGAATAAAGAATGGTCACAAGACTCGAATTTCATTCCTTCTCAAGACGATTTGTAATTATTGTAAACATTTTCTTGCAGCTCACGCCAATTGAACGCTACGCTATGCGTTTCGTTGAAGATTCTGATGGACACTTTGCCGCGGCTCAACTTGCTGCTGCTGAACGTGAACTTGAGGAACAGAAAAAGGAGTGGGAACTAGACCGCTTAAGAGCTTTGCGTGACGAAGAAGAACGACAAGCGCGACTCGCTGAGGATGACGACGAAAACCTTATCACGTATTCACAGGAAGATGCTCGAAATCAGGTTAATAATAATAAAAATAGCATTTCTAGACGTGTCGCAATTAGTAATAGTAACAAAAAATTAACGAAGTCAGGTAGAAATAATCGTCGCGGTAGGACGCGACAATTGTCTAGACGCAGTAGTATGACGCGAGGATTAGTTTCTAAGAATTTAAATTTGAAAAGCGATAATGAGGATAACGCATCTTCGTCTTCAGATAATGAGTCAGATACCACATCGCTAACGGAAACTGACTCACAAAATGAAGACATTGTTTCGGATAATAGTTCGGAAGATGAGCGTAATTTTATTCGAGTGGACGACGAAGGTAATGACCAAGTTAAAAAATTCCCCGCGACTAAAAAAAATAATTTGAATGATCGTAGTCAACCCGTACAGAACCATTTAGACCTTAATAGTCCCAGAACAACGCGATCTAGAGGTGACGTTCAAATTAATCTTTGGACGTTAGATGTTAGTCCGCTTTTACCTGAAAGTAAACCTCGAAATCGTAAAAAACACGTAAACGAAGAAAAATTAAATGAATCAATCAATACTTCTTTAACATCAAACGCCGATGATAATAAAGACGATGACGCAACATTCATTGAAAACTCAGTTAATGACTCGACTATAATTCCTGAAATGATCCCGACAGTACCAGAAGCTAAAGCATTTATAAAATCTTCGAGTGAGCAAATACCTACAAGTAGCAAGTCACTTTTAGAAACGAACAATGAAACGTCTGAATTTTCAGATAAAAATTCCCAAATACTCAGTATTAACGAAACTTCCATCGAAGTACAAAGTATTGATTCCAAAAAAAATGTAACCCCTGTAGCTGGTAAAGTTGGTCGACCTCGAAAACAGTCTCAGTCATCATATCCTGTAATTAAAGTAGATTCTTCATTATCAATGTACTCTACCAGATCTAGCAAAATTTCGGCTCCAAAAGCATTTATTGATGAAAAGTCTGATAATAAAAATAAAGAAGAATTTAACTTTGATGATATTGATGTTTCAAATCCTTTAATTAAAAAAATTGAAATACATAATATTCAAAATAAAGCACTTGTTCAAACATCTATCGATGAAAGTAATATTGAAAAATCCGATTGTACAGTTTCTAGTGAAAACAAATGTTCAGTTGATAGTGAAAAATCTCAAAATGACTTGTACTGTAAAGAACTTAGTTCTTCAAATATGCAAGTAGAATATGCACAAACTGAAACTGAAAAAGAAAAAGTTGCTCGTTGTTATTCGCGAATACGTTCAGAATTGAAAGATGATTCTAATTTATCGAATGCAGAGGACGACATCGCTTCGTGCAAGTTAATAATTTCAAAAGCTATGAATCGCGATGGTGAACAAAATAATCGAGATAATGATCAAAAACTTTCCATAACGCCAACGAAATGTGATAATAATCTAACACAAGATGAATCACTCACTCCTCATAGAATTAGTCCCATTTTAAATAGATTTTCTAGGATTAATCGAGCATCGAAACGATCTAGATCAGAATCCAAAGAAAAACCCATCTTGACAGAAATTCCTATCGAAAAAAAAATTAAAGTAGAATCTCTTGAAAAAAGTAATTTTGATTTTAATGTTTTACCTGATAAAATTCCTTCTATGGACAGGGAATCACTAAGAACTACTCGTTCTTCAACTAGATTATCTGAAACAAAGCCGGCTGTTAGCGATGGTTCTTCATTCATTGTCCCCTCAGAAGTAGTTAAATTAAATGATACCTTAGTAGTTACTGACACTAACTCCCTTGATGACTCCGAGAAGAAATCATTGATGTGTAAAAATTCTGCCACAGAAGAATCAAAAATCGCTCCTAAAATCACTCGATCGTCTACTCGATTGGCAAATATCAAGCCTGATTCTAGTTTAAACGAAGAATTAAGTGATTCTTTGTCGAACATAGAGAAAACTGCCACGCAAACAATCCAAGAAATCGATACATCAGTAATAAAATGTGAAAAATCAGTGAATAATGCAGGTAATGTTTTAGAAAATATTAAAAACGCATCAACGAATATAACTGAAATTAAAAATGTTGGAAGTATTTCAAAAGCTTGCACTGCTAAAACGTCTACACTTGTTGATAAAGTAATTTCTCCGTTTAAAAATGAGTCAGATTTCATTTCTGTTCAAAAAATAACTTCTAGTTGCGGAAGCGATTCAAATTCTAAACATTCATCCGAGACTCCATTGCTCGTTTCTCCTTCTACTTCAAATGTTAAAATAATTAAACAGGAAGACGAAGTGGCTGAAGTTCCATCTATCAATGCCAGCAAAGTGAGTGATAGTAAGCCTACACTTGTTGAATCAAAATCGTCCAAAAACGATGTGCAGGTGTCGATGAACCCACCTCGTTCTACCCCCATTTCATTAAAATTAGGATTGCGACGCCGTCCTGACACTCCGATGCCTCTTTCATATTCTGTTAGACCGGTTACAAGGTCTCTAACCAATCATAATAATAGTGACAGTGAAGGATCATCCAGTGTATGTGCTCAAGCCATTAGTTCTCCATCTTCGTCCCAAACTTTAGTGAAATCGAGTCCTCGAAATAGCCCAAGAACTTTAATGATCGAAAATAGCTTTGTGATACCTACATCTCCTATCGGAGTACGAAGGAGTCGTTCAACGACGTATATCAAGAGATCTGAACGTTTAGCAATGGAAAATAAAGACAATACAATAACGGGTATAAATCGAGTACGACCTAGCGTCATACCCGCAGAAAACGCAATAGTCAACCGTATGGCTCTCAAAAGAAGACCAGATACGCCACTGCCGTCACCCGAGCAAATTTTAAAAATCGCCAATCGTTCCAACGTACAATCAACTTTGACAAAAACACCGTCACCTACAAGTTCAAAAGTTAAAGCTGCTCGACGTTCCGTAGATCTACCAAAAGAGCCGTCATCGCTAGATGCGAATACGAATAATGAAGATTCGAGTTCCAATTCTAATGGAAATTCTTTTAGTTCTCAGCCAGTTATCGATTCAGAAAAACCACAAAGGACCGCTAAAGTGGTCGCAATGATAAGCCTTGATTCCAAAAGTCTTGGCAAAAGTAGTTCATTTTCATCTAAGCCAAAACAACATAATTCTGAGCTTTCATCGATGAATCATACCAAATCGCCCAAAATTTCTCGTAATAAAAGTGAGGCTAAGCAAGGAACTATAACGACCGTAACTCTTGAAGACGAGCCGGATAGTCCTAACCCAAATAAACCTTTAAAGCGTCAAAGACAGTTGAGTATAAAAGCCATGTTTGCTAAGTCCAGTTCGACGCCGAGCAAAGACGCACAAACGATCGAACTCACTGACGAAGACGACGATGACAAACCCGCAAAAAAACTAAATCGTTCTACTGCATCACTTGGTACACCTACTCGTCCGCTCGACTAATGCGTACGCTCCGCGATAAAACTATGATCGTTTACTTATCCTCATGAAGTGACAATGTTATGCAAATTACCGAGAGCTTTTGAACTCAAGTTTCGTATCTTTATATATAATATACTTCTTGTGTTTCGCTGAAGTAGTAATGTTTATTTGATTATAAGCATAGATTCAGCCACCTACGGATACTCATACATACGTGTGCATTGCATACTGTGCATCCGTATATGTATATATTTATAAATATATATTTTGTAATATATAACAAATACGCGTCAAAATATCATGCGGATCAGATAAACTATATTCAAATAATAATTTACTGTACTTATGAAATATCGATTCATAGAGTGCACCGAGATATTAAACTCTCATTTTATTTTGACAAGTGAATTATTAAGTAGGATGCCAGTTATCCTCATGTACATATATAATTAAAAATATATAAAATTTAAATATGAATAATTCCGAACGTGCAACCATCGATTATGAATTTTTTACGATGCCGAAAATTCGTAAATCGAGAAGAAAGCGTAGGATTTTTAATTGTCTATGTCTAAAACAGTCTTGACTCGCATCTTTCACAAATGTTACGTTGAAAACATAACAATGCAGATTACTATCTGGGCCTTTGTAAATATAACTTAAGCTTTATTTTTATTCTTATTAAAATTAAATTCTTTAAATTTGATCTTATGACTGTTTTTTGTGTATTTAATTTATCGATTTCGTAATTTGTATTACATAAAGAGACAAAACTGTGCGTAAACTTATTTTAGTTGTTCAACGCGAATTAATTTCTGTGGTAGATATTAGACATAATTAATTTTTAACGAGCTAGTAGGTATTTCGAAGTTACTAATGGCGTGATATTGTAGGTACGTTAAATGTAGCCCTGCATAACCGTTAAAATATTTAAATACGCCTTATACAAAGTAAATTAAGGCGTTGTGTATAGCTTTATAATACGATTTCCCATGGTTAAACTGTCTTTATTTTTTCAAAAATTGAATATGACTCAGAGCGACCTGTGGGAAAAAATCCTATTGTAATTATAGTGGAAAAACTGAAAGCGATTATATATTATTCTTAAGTTGCGTGACTGTATTTTGTATGATCGAATGAGTTTTGAATAAGGAAATAAATGAAATATTCCTTGCAATGAACAAATTAAAAAAATTGTGTTTGTCTTATTTCTTGGTTATATACATCCAAGTCTGTTCGATCAAAGGTTCAGTTCCGTTTTGGTGTCAACTTTGCTCAGTGTGCTTGTTTATATTTTAAAATTTCTTGCACGTTACTCGATATTATATTATCAGTTTGGTGTGGCAGGGCAATTATGACCGCACAATTTAATTTACGTAGTTTTCTTTTAAAATGCTTATTTTTGATTTATTTATTTATTAAAGTAATAAAGAAAAACTTGAATAAAATGGCACCAAAACACTGCCTTTGCCATTCCAAACTTGGACGTAACCAAGATATAAGCAGGCACATTTATGAGCGTTCACGAGGATAATATATCATTTCTTTTCTCAACCACTAAGACTATTACGCAAAACAAAGGTATAGATTGAGTCTTTGAACGAACAAGACTAATATCCTCAATCCTGAATCATTTTTTAGCTATATACATTTTTTTATATTAAATTTAGATTTTGCAAAATAAGCAAGTAAGAGTTGATCAATATTTTTTTACAAATTAGTAACTGTTTTCAAAATTTGAATTTTTTTATGATCATTTATCGAATAGAAATTAAAATCAAAATAGGTTTCAACTAAACGATAAATGATACTGTAATCGAAAAATGTCATGAGCCATATATTATTTCAACTCATAACTTGGTAAGTTATTAACAAAACATGACGCAGAATCGAATTGGAGCTAAGCGAAACTACACCTTTGTCTTGCCATTTGCGTACAAAAGAAGAATTTTATATAAACAAACAACTGAACAACTATCTTATAAATTGCAGATTTGGATATCTGAAGATGGTCTCGAAGAAATGCCGGTAAGTGAAATATTTTTATTAATCCCAAATTATATCATTCTAAAACCCATGTTTCTGCGTACCATATCGCTTCGTGTGTGTTCTTCTCTATCTTAAAATATCGGGCCAATTTCTGAAACTTTCAATATCTAAAGAGCCCAGTAAAGTTATTTTTTATCTTAAAAATTGTGAATTTGGCCCTTAAAAAATTTGAGTCTATGAAATAACTATGAATTTCGAGTGTTTTATGACTATTACTTAATTAGAAGTAATAGTTATAAAACACTCGAAGTTTTAATTCTATAGCTAAAAAATATTGTCACATGTAAACTCATGTGTATCCTTTTTTGCACACTTGGTGAGCAAAAATGCTTTTGGACCACTTAATTATAGCATACAATTTTATAATTCTCAGCTTTTTCGTCATTATTAATTGAAAATTGAGAAAAAACTGACTTGGCACTTTTAAGCTATGAAGGTTTCTTAGATAATCAAATTTGTTTGGAGTTAGTGATTTTCTTAGTTTACAATAATAAAATAAATACCCGAGTTTTATAAACAGAATTTTGATTATATTAGTTAAGAATGTGATCCTGTATAAAAAATTTTGAATCTTTATTCTCTTCTTTGGAACTATCATATAATCAACAAAATTGAACACGATATTCACTTGGGTGAGATTCATTCAGTAATGGAAAAAAACGAGAAATGGAAAAAGACAAGAATGAGTGATTCCTGTGCCCGCTGTATACTATTTTTATTATCTTTACTATCAGCCTAATATTTTATGCACACCGTCGTATTTTCCTTTCACACTGTTTACGTTTTCCACCCATTATTGAATTTATCTTACCATAGTGTGTATAGAAGTTCATTTATTTTTTGGTCAATTAATCCTTTGGAAAGCCGAGATTTAAGAAGTATTTTTCCTCCGAAAAATGATATAATAAATATATTAAGATTGTTGGTCGGTAATGTGTTGAACCAATATCGCACCCAGTTAGAGATTTTCTGTCTTTCAAAGATTAAATGTCAAGGTATCATCTAGAATATCTTTCATTCATAAAAATTTCTAAATGAACTAAGAGTAAAGTACGAAACACTTTAAGGAACAATATAGCTTATAAACGTACATTTTTCTTATTTAATATTTCGTTAAACTAAATTATTATTTTATTCTTGGAAATTAGATGTGGTGTCCTCCAACCCCGCCAACATCAGATAACGATGTTTACGTTGATTATTCATTAAGTTTTCTGTATGACGACGTTCCTATGAGCGAAGCCCAATTACCGCCAATTTATACCAAAAAAGATCATCTAAAGCGAAGTCACGTGGATACAGGATCTGCCGAACGAGATGGTATGAAACGTTTCAAGAGTTGATTTAGTTAAATTCATTTGTTGAATGATTTTTGAAATTTAATTTAATACTTTTTTGTAATGCAGGTCGTCGACCCGCAAAAATACGAGTCAAGGAAGATATGATATCAGCACCTCGTTCATTATTCGATCGCCCATCACCCGCCGTAACGAAGATGCGTCGCGATATGAAACTTCACAAGCATCGAGGGCTCGCACGCATGCCATTTACAACTGTGAATAGCTCTCCTGGTGTCATTGGCAGTCCTGCCACTTCGGTAGGACCAGTTAAACTGGCCTCAGGGGTAGCTAAATCGGCTGTGCCAGAGCAAGAGTCTTGTGTGGAATGGATGATTCATGAAGATAATGCGCTGCTTCAAGCAGTTCAAGTTTATCAAGGATTACCACTCAATCTTATGATATTGTCTCCAGGACATACTCCAAATTGGGATCTTGTAGCTGATATTGTTAATAACATATCGCGCAGCTACAGATCCCCTAAACAATGCCGACTTAGATATGAAACCGTCATTGTACCTCGTGAAGAAGGAAAAATTCTGTACGATACAACACCGAAAAAACAGAAAAAACAAAAGACAAGTCTTTATAAAATACCCCATCCCTCAGAGGTAAGCTGTCCACTTGAATCTGGAGTTTTTGTTAATTGTCGATTAATTTAAAAGTGATGCAAGATTAATTATATTCTTTTTTTCGTAGCAACAAAATAAAACCAATCGGCCCATGAGGACATCTCAATTATACTCTCAAGATCAAAATCAAGCTTTTACAAATGCCTGCTTGCAACGAATTGAAGCCTTAAAAGCTGTTTCAGTCAAAAGGACTCAAACTGTAAAATCGGTGTTAACTAGTTCTACAGTGAAAGTTTCAAAACATCCAGCAGTTGCAGCTGATAATGGTGTAAACTACGATAATCCTTTATCACCAATTGAAGTTGCTGCGCGCAGAGCCGAGCGGGTAGCAAAAGAAAAACGTAGCGCTGCTGCTGCTGCTGCTGCTACAGCGGTAAGTTATGAATGACTCAATTTTTTTAGTAACAGTACATTTATAATTTTTGTTTAATTACCTGAAAACATCTCTTCTTTATAACAAATGTAAAGAAAAAATGTATTTTTTCATATTTCTTCTATTTTCTTGAGATTTCAAATATATCTTGAAATTTAAAGTATATGTGCAACATGGTCTATGAATTAAATCTCTTCTAAAATGGTTGCATCTTTTTATAGATGTCTCGCTTCCGACCATGAATCTGAATTTCTTTGTCAGATATCGTGTTTTGTTATTTATAAAAGCGAAAGATAAATTAATTCTCTATTAAAACTCGTGGGTTGAAAGTGGAAATTATACAACCTGCGTATCCTGTCTAGAGAAACAAGTTCATTGATTTAACCGTTAAACTCGAGATACAATCTTCATAAAATGACCTATGAATTTAGTCATTTCGAAAATTGTAATTAGCGTTTTTAAAACGTGTACAAAAAACTATAGCATTAACTTTGTTTGTAAGTCATAAGTTAATTAATCTGAAAAAATTGCACAATACGAAAAAGAAAAAAAACATGTAACATATAAAGAAAAAAAAACTTCTTAACAATTGAACTAATTTTTTTAGATTTCAAGATAGCTTTAAGTCTGCAAGTACGAAGTTATGCTTTTAGATAGTTTCTTTCACTTTTCATTCACTAAATATTAAATATTTTTAACATTTCTTTGTATGCAAAATGTTAGGATCCATACACATTCTCTATGATAGTCATAGAGAAATTTTTAACATTTTTTAAATGAGTAATTCAATTTTAACCAAATTATGCTACTTATATTATAGGTCCTAACTCCCGAACAACAAGCAGCAGCAGTACGACTTGCTCAACAGCAACAACAACAGCAGCAACAGCAACAACAACAACAACAACAGCAGCAACAGCAACAGCAGCAACAGCAACAACAACAGCAACAATTGATAGCTTCGCAACAAAACGTTGGAACGTCGGCAGTTATGATTGGTCAGAATCAAGCAGCAACGGCAGCTGCGTCACTGGCAATGAAGGCAGGCTCGAGTGCAATTGTTGTGAGCTCTCCCAATGTCGTAAATGCAAACATTAAAGCTCGAGTTGTGGCCGGAGCCCTAGGATTGCAAGATGTGCGTTCAGCATCTGGTGGTATTATAAGTAATGTCCACGCTGCTGGGCAGAGACTTCAAACAGCAGCTGGTATTGCTACTGCTGGGCAAGGACCAACTGTTATTGCTCAAAAAAATGCTCAAGGTTTTACGGTTAACACACGAAACCTCACACCTGCCCAATTCCAATATGTTAAAACGCAGCATTTAATACGACATCAACAACAATTGAAGGCATTACAAGCCCAAGCTGCAAGTGGTCAAAAAGTTTCCGTTGCTGTCTCCCCTGCCGCCGCTGCTGCTGCAGCAGCTGCCCAGCAACAACGCAATGCTGCTTTGTTGAAACAAGCTGGAGCTTCTGGTGCAACTCTCACTCCACAGCAGCTTGCTGCAGTTACTGCTGTCGGGAAACAAGCTATCGCGACACGACAGGTTAGTTAATATTTGATTTTTTTCGAATATTATTAATTTATTTATTGATCATATTTAAATTTTTGAAACTTCACTCAAACTTTTTTACTAAAATTATTTCACGTACCATGTATTTTATTGTTTTAGTTGACAGAGGCAGAAATAGCTGCTGCGCTTCTAAAACGTCAGCAGCAACAACAACAAATGAAATTATCGCAGGTACAAGTGCAGGGCCAAGCTGGTATATCAGGAGCTCAAGTATTGACTCAAAGTGGTTTGCAAGTACAACAACAATTACAAAATGCTGGTTCAAGTGGTGCTACGCCTGTAGCAACTCTGGTTAAAACTGGTGGTACAGTGCGCGCTGCTACATCTCAACAAATAAGACAATTACAGCTGCATCCACAATTCATTGCACAGCGAAAATTACCTGCACAAAAAGTTGCTCAACTAGCTCAAGTAACTGGAAAATCTGGCTTACCATCACAATTAATTCTCCAACAAAAAAGTGGAATACCAACACAATTGACTGTACAACAAATTCAAGTTATGAAATCAGGCGCCTGTTCTCAGTTCACTCATGTACGAAAAACTTTCCTATTGATATTGTAATTCATAAAATAAGTAAACCATTATATTCATTAACAAATCATATCCATGATTTTAGGTTTCCAGTGGTCAAGTGGGAGCTCAACCTAGTCAAGTAGTACTAGCTAAATCGCCTCTACAAACCCGAGTGATTCCGGTTTCGTCGGGCGCTCTTAAACAAACTATACAAGTGGTACCTGCCAGTTCAGCTCAACTACGACAAGCACCCGTTCAAGGCAACAAACCTATCGTTACTACAGCACGAGCTAGTCCAGGACCCAGTCAAGTAAGATTGCAAACAATCTCACAACAAACTCTCAATCAGCAACAACAGCAACAACAGCAACAACAGCAACAACAGCAACAACAGCAGCAACAGCAACAACAGCAACAGTTGCCTCCGCAACAAACTGCTCAGCAGCCGCAACAACCGCCATTGAATGCATCAACGGATACTCAGCCTAAATGAATATCGCTTCTTGCACAATTACTCGAACGACGTAGCTAACATTAAGTTCATCATCGTTCAATGAACGATGATGATTTCGCAAACTGCCGTTACTAGACTAATAATCTGCATTGATAACAAAACATTCCATATTTGCTTGTAGTGAAGTATTTACTCAATCATATAATTGTGCAAAAATCACGTAAATTTATAAAACTACGTTAGTGCGTTTCATAGTTCGAGTATCATTAATGATATATACCTCTACCGATGATTCAATTTACGCTTACACATATTCTACCAAGAAAATTGGGAAATAAATGTAAAGTCTTTGATCATTATTGGAATACTTACATTTGTAAACATATTGGCGATCGTTAAATTTTTATATAAGAACACTCATAAAAAAATTAACAGTTAACGTATTGGTTACTCGTAATAATTATGTAGTTAAATTTTAGATAATCCATATCTTCTTAATAGCAAGATTATGGAAATGAAGAGACTGATGATCCAATGATTTTTGATTAAAAGACCTTGGTTTCTTTTTTGATAAGCAGCTATTTATTCTCTTAATAACTAGATATCATGATCATAACAATTTCTAATTTTTTCTGAAAATTATTTAACTGCTCAAAAATTGATCATAAACTGTAGAAAAACTCTCTACTGTAGGGTTTTGTTTCATATTTCATGTAATGATAAACAAATATTATTTATAGTTTTAGTATTGAAATGAAGAATTAAATGAACTTGAACGGTAAAAATTTGCATACGATTGTATGAATAAATTACTTGCATAGTTATAAAAATATTGTAAATATTCCCTAAAATTTGTACTTATGAATCTATGTAATCACAGTAAGAATGATTGTATAAAGTTGAAAGATTTATAAGAATAGGCTTTTGGAGAAAGCAAACCGATTAAAAACATAATCTTGTATATATATAAATAAATTTAATAGAAACTGCTTTAACTGCAGTATGAATCTGTAAATTAAATAATATTAATTTCTAAATCCATAAAATAACTTGGTAGATCTGGAACTTATGAAATTAATACCAGTTGTCAATCGACACGAGTCAAAGAACAAAAAATACACACCTTTTAGCAGTATTCATACTTAGATTTTATTCGTACATAGAGCAAACTTGCTCTTCACATCTGACTAAATAATTTGAAAATAAAACTTGATAATGTTATGGCTAGTGTCTGAACATATTTGGGATTAAATTTGGTTTCATTGAATAAAAAATTAGTTTTAAAACTTGAAATTTGTATGTATTGTATAAATATTTAAATGGTCCTGAACTGATTTTGCAAGTGCTACATTAAAGCACAACAAAAAAATTGTATCAATATTGTATATGTTCTATTCGTGTACTATAACTATTACAATAAATTTCTTCTGCGAAGAACTTTTATTCATATTTATTTTTTCATATTTTATTGAAAAAGAAATTTTGCTGTCACCTATTTAATATTCTCGTAACGCTTTATATCATCTGAATAACATGAGGTGCAGATTGTCGATCGTATCTTTAGCATGTGCTATGTGTAGAATCATTGAAATGGTTGAAATATGCATTCCAATCATTTCATGAAAATCTCAAAAAAAGCATTAACTTTAGAAATTGAAAGTATTCAAAGGGATCTCAGATATACACTGCGTCAGTAAAAAGTAAATTGAATTAGCTGTCGACTTCAGATATTATACGCGGCAGAGTTTGTGATGCTCTCAACGTATTTTTTAAATTCGTATTTTCTTTTACAAAGGCCCTGAAGACCCAAAAAAAATATTCCTTTTCATTTCTACAGTGCTTCAGGACCATCATAAAGCACGGGGCAAAGTCAAGTTTCAAATTTGCTCGACCTGTTTCTTATTTGTTAGGATGATGCATTGTCTTCCCATAAGAGGAAAATTCAACCAATTTTCCAAATCGTTACTCTCTAAAAATTTATTTGGTAATTTGAAAAAATGTATTGGAAAATGATCATTTTAAAAAAGCTTCAAGTTTCTGAGATTTACACTTGATATGTTTCTAAAAAGTTATATTGATGTCTACACTTTGTTGATTTCTAGAAATCTACGAAGCTGTTTACAAAAACATCAAGTGGGAATCTCAGAAATCGTGCTTGAAATTTTTATTTCGTCTGACTTTGATATCTCCTCAAATCACCCGAAATGTTGACATGAGTAAGCTGCATAGACCGTAATTCGACATGGAAAGGTCATGAAAAAAAGCCAAGAAAAAGGACCATTTGTGACGGGTAGGTTTGCTTTTTAAAGCATTAGAACATCGTGTATGAGTTATATTCATATTTATAAATTTACTCATATTAAAACTTTAGTTTACTTTTTTAATGTGCTTAATTTATGGGCAATATATTGTATACATCTGATCAGCCTATGTATACATTGTATCAGGTAAAATAATAATGTTTACGGCCGTGAAAATTCATAATTTTTTTCCTTTGCGCAGCTTTTTCATTCGACTTCGACTACATTAAAAATACACTATCTGATTGATGAAATGATGAACTTTCGATTCAATATAGACACTTTATGACTTGAAAAGTTCAAGTACTTTTAAAGTGAGTTTCCCGAAAAAGTTGGCTAGTTTCGAATATTGAAAAAAACGTACTGTGCCCAATGAAGTAATTTCAAGCCTCAGATTACTGGCGGTCTTATCCTGTACATTTTCTACTACGAGCATACACACTTCGACACACTGTTGCACGGCCTGGGCCAAGGTTATTCAGTCTTTACTATACTTACAATATACGTTCGTGCGTATAAGAGGATATAAGTCAGCTAGATGCGGTACGTTGTATATAACGCTCTATTCCTTACCACCGTATTATAACTATATGTACCTTTGTACCGTAACGTTACTCTGCTATCCCCTTAGTGGTAAATGTGCTGCCTAGGAAAGATATGTTCTAGCAACGTCTGAAATATCCTTACCTAACAATACCACATAATGTCTGATTCGAATTCTCCAAAAACCGACGACGACGGCAAGGGTCCTTTGAATATCCTGCGCAAGTTTCGTTTCCAAAAAAAGCCTGTTAAAAAAATGTCCATCACATGTAAGTTTAAACAATTGTATACCTCTTCATTTTTTTTAATTTTAACAAAGCTTCATACCTGAGACTTCTTTATTTGTATCGAAAATCTTTTTTAAAATAGACAATTTTACAAATCCTACAGAATGACTTGAAAGATTTTAGTTTTGATTGTTTGATTATATTTTATGCTAACAGAAATACAATTATTATACTGTTTCTAACACTTGGCAAAATTTAAATGCATTGTACTTCTAAATTTCAACTTCTATTATAACAACGGTCAAAGAAAAATAAAAAATGTATATTGTTATTAACAATTTTCTTAACAATTTGATTGTTGTTTGAAACAAAAATTTTTCTCTTTAAAGCTGATGAAGACAGTAACATGAGTCCTGCAAATGTAAGGCGTAAACCAGTACAAAGAATTGTTGACAGTGACAGTGACGAAGAAAATAAAAGTCTTAAAGTATCAACAGTTGATAGCAATGATGATGAAAAATCAAAAAAACCACCCACTACTGAAGTTAACTCTGAGATTACCAGTGCAGAAAAAGAAAAAATGCTCAGAGCATTAGGAGAGTCATTCCCAAATACCAATGTTATGGTATGTACTTTTAGTTTATTTCAAATTTGTTTATTATTGACTTCTATTAGTTAAAATGAACTAATTGACCTTTAAATATGTTTTCTAGGTTCTTGTAAAGACCTTATCTTCATCAAATTGGAATTTAGAAACTGCGAAAGAGATGATGAAAGATGTTCCACAAAATGCAGCCCCAAATACAATACATAATACAACGCATAATACAACGCATAATACAACGCATAATGCAATACATAACACAACACAAAACACAGCACAAAATACAACCCAAAATACAACCCAAAATACAACCCAAACTGCCGTTTTAAAACATCAACCAACAGTAAAAAAAAGACCAGCAGAGAAACATAAAAATAATCAGAAAAAAAAACGTAAAAGATATAATCATGATGATGAGGATAGAGATGTTGATTCCGATGAAGGCAATGATTATGGCAAAGAAAAAGTTTTTGATAGGTAAAATTCTAATTTATATAAAAAGTTTTAGTATATTAAAATACTATGTATATAACATTATGAAATTTTTTGTAGTGAAAATGATGATTCAGATAATGAAGTAACAGATGATTTAACTAATGATAAACAAGCAGTATTAAATTTTATGCAAACAGCTTTGCCTACTGAATTGTTATTAATGCATCAGTGTTCACAAAAAAAAGTGAATGCAATTCTAGCAGCTAGACCATTTAGTGGCTGGAAAGATTTAGTAGAAAAATTTCAAAACACAAAATTTTTAGATACTGAACTCCTGAATGCAGCACAGGTGAGAAAACTTGTATTTTATAGACTTTTCCGGTTTAAATTTTCAAAAATAATTGCTGCGTTTCTCTATAATGAAATATGGATACTTATATTGACATTTCAATCATGATTTCAAAATTGTATCTATCAAAATTAATAATATGGTACTATATTTCTAGGATTTAATACAAACAAGAAATACTATAAGCATCCTCATGAAAAAATGTCTTAAAGTTTCATCAAATATAGAGAAAGCAATAGCTGATGGGTCAGCAACTATAAAAGAACAACCTCAAGGTCTTACATCAGAATTGAGGCTTGCACCTTATCAAATAATTGGTTTAAATTGGTTAGCAGTAATGCATGCCCAAAAAGTTAATGGTATTTTAGCTGATGAAATGGGTTTAGGAAAGACAGTGCAGGTCATTGCTTTTCTCACCTACTTAAAAGAAGCTGGGTTCATTCAAGAGACCGATGGTCCACATTTAATTGTTGTGCCTAGTTCTACAATGGGTATTACTTAATTAATAATATTACTTCAAGTTTTTTTAACTTTAACACATTTAAGTTTTAAATGTAAAACTTTTTATTAGAAAATTGGAGTAATGAATTTGAACGATGGTCACCTAATCTGAAAGTTGTTCAGTATTATGGTTCACAAGATGAACGCAGACAAATGAGATATGGCTGGAGAAATGGAGACTTGGATGATGTAGATGTTGTACTGACAACTTACAATCTTGTTAGCAGTACACCAGAAGAGAGACGTTTGTTTAGAGTTTTGCCAATAAAATATGTAATTTTTGATGAGGCACATATGTTAAAAAATATGGGCACTCTAAGATTTGAAAATTTAATAAGAATTAATGTAAGCATTTACTTTTAAGGTAAATTATTAATTCATATATTTAATATGATTGAAAAATATTTTTTGCAGGCTCAACATAGAATATTATTGACTGGTACCCCACTGCAAAATAATCTTTTAGAGTTGATGTCTTTGCTCATTTTTGTAATGCCATCAATTTTTGCTAAAAAACAGGAAGAATTGAAAAGCTTATTTTCAAAGAACCCAGTAAGTAATCTAATTTTTCAATATAAAAAAACTTTTGTCTTCAAAGTGAATTGGATATTCCGAAAACCTTTTGAAAATTCTAAAACATTTGATTCTTTTGATAGAAAATCAATGCTAATAAATCAGCAGACGATAAGCCACTTTTTGAAGAACAACAAGTTAAAAATGCTAAACAAATTATGAAACCATTTGTATTGCGTCGTTTGAAGTCTGAGGTTTTAAATGACATGCCAACAAAGAGTGATGAAGTTATCAAGTGTCCTATGATCGAAAAGCAAATAGAGATGTATAAAAATTTAGTAGAACAATTTTCAGCTGAAGCTCGAGAAACATCTGAGGTTGATGGTGTTGGAATGATGATGCAGCTGCGAAAACTCGCAAATCATCCTCTTCTTATTAGAAATTATTATACTGAAGATAAATTGCGAGTTAGTATCTATAAAACAAGGATATCTGAATTTTAACTTCAGAGTGATTTTTCAAAATTATTTATATTTTTATTTTTGTATTTATATGTTTGTATTTATATGTTTGTATTTTTTTATGAAGAAAATGTCCAAAAGATTAATCGGCGAGAGTGGATGGAAACAAAAAAATGCTCAGTATGCATTTGAAGATCTTTTATGGTTGTCAGATTATAAAATTCATCAATTAACTCGTACCTATAAAAGTATAGCTGGTTTTGGTCTTCCACAAGATATGATTCCTGAATCTGGAAAGTTGAAACAATTAGATGAACTTTTACCAGAACTAAAAAGTGGAGAACACAGAGTATTAATATTTAGTCAGTTCACAATGGTTTTAGATATTTTAGAAGAATATTTAACTCTTAGAAGCCATACGTACCTTCGGTGTGTATTCTGAAAAATAAAAATGATGATAGTATGTAATGAAATAATTTCTCAATCATATTTTAGACTTGATGGACAGACACCAGTTATGGAAAGACAAGATCTGATTAATGAATTTACTGACAATAAAGAAATATTCATTTTTCTTTTATCTACTAGAGCTGGAGGTCTTGGAATAAATTTAACATCTGCTGACACAGTTATTATTCATGATATTGACTTTAATCCACACAATGATAAACAAGCAGAAGATAGATGTCACCGTGTTGGACAAAAAAAGTAATAAAAGATAATATTAATATATTAAAATATCTATTACAAAATTATTTAATTTAAAATTGTAATGTTCTAGGTCAGTACGAATAATTCGATTATTAGGTAAAGATACCATAGAAGAAGGAATGTACAAAATGGCCCAAGAAAAACTCAATCTTGAACAAAAACTAACTGGAAATGAAGGTGAGACAAAATAAAATTATTCAAACAGTAATATCATAAGTAAATTAATGATTATTCCACAGGAAACGAAGCAGTTGAAAAAGGAAGCACAATAAAATTGTTAAAAATGGTTTTAGGAATCGACTTAAAAAAAACTATAAATATATCACCCAAAAAAAATGGTAATATAGATGATTTTGAAGTTGATGAATAATACCAGTTGGTTTTTGAAAAAAGTGTTTAGGTCAATTTTTACCTCAAATTTTGGTACATGTTTGCAATATATTTTTAAAATTTGTACATGCATACTAAAAATCATATAAATTATCGTGAAATCGTCTTATTGAAAATAATTGTACAAACTGATAGTTGATTGAATGCTGTCACTTGTATATCACTGAAATACCAACGTTTTTTGTTTGAATTGTATGATTAGGTGATTTTTGTTACATTATGTACCAATTTTAACTTATTTGGATCTTTCAGTTTTATTTTTTATGACATTGGACTTAAATCATCAATTTTGAAAGAAATATTTTTTCTATATTTTATACAAGTGATCTTGCTTATAGAGCATGTTTTTTGTAAATTTCGAATAAATCACGTTTTTGTAATTTTGTACTAATGTATTTTATATATATCATATATATATTGCCTATACCCTAAAAACGTATATTATATTAAATTAGGCTCTAAAATCTAGTGTTCACCTATTTTATTTCATTGTTGACAAAACCAATTTAAAGGCCCTTACTTTAAAACCTAAAAAATAATTTGATTCTTTATTTTCCTTCTTAAGAAGAAACTGAAACCTGGCTAAAAATGAAAATTTTTAGAAAGATTTTCCGAGGTTTCTAAGGGATATTTTACCTAGCCGCATGTACATCAACAGAAATTATTCATCATGTTCTTCAGAAAACTACAAAATGAATACAATCGTAGCTTTGTTCAGAAGAAATTTTGCAAAAAGTGTTGGAAAAATTTTATTTTGGTTTCGATATATTCCTAACAAAATAAAAATTAGAAATTGTACTATAAATTTTTATTGTTTGCAAGCCAACTATAAAAAGTAAGCATATAAGGCCCGAAATTTCTTTCGGTGGCCCACTTTTGAATAACGAAGATAATTAAGATGCTTAAGATAATTGAGATGCTTCAGAAAAATTACTTTCTTAAAAAAATTAACTTCTTGAGAAAGTATCAACTGGTAATCAGTGCAACTTAGATGTTCTCCCATCTTATAAGCAGCCTGTTAACTCGAGAGTTAAGACACGTGTTTCAACCCATTCTTCACTTAAATATATCAGTCACTCATCGTAAACCTTTTCAAAGGAATCTATTCAGTTATTTCAAGCATTCGAAACGACTCATATATTATATATGCAGTTACATTTACGCGTAATTGTGTCAAAAGTATGGGCTAACGTGTCGTGGTGCGGTTAATACTCATTACAGATTGTCGCTACCTCCAGCGTGTGTACTGTGCGGCGCTCTGCACTCTGCAGTTCGATTGGACGGCAGTCATACAATAACGTTTCATTCATAGTTACCTTGTGTAGTAGTACTACAACGTATTTGTGCTGATTGTGCACGACCAATAGCGATTCGCATTTCGGTGTCAGTTTTGCGCGCTGAAACTTTTCTGCTAATTTACTCCAGCATGGCTAGTTCAAAATATTCTGCTTATGACAGTTTAGGTGAAGTATATGGCCATTTTTACTATGGTAACATAGAAGGCGATGATTCCGACAAGGACGTCGTAAGTATACGAATCTTCAAAATCTCAAGTCTTAATTTAAATATTTTGTAACAACATTTCCATTGCACTTCCATTTTTCATCATAGTTATCCTTTCTAAATTATATTTTCTTTCTAGGATATCGGTGAAGTAAACCCTGCAGTACTTTCTGAGTAAGTACATTCATTGTGTAATATGAAATTGTTTACTTTTAACAATTCTTCATGCACAAATATTTTTTTTTAAATTATTTTCAAACGCAATTTACATTTTTAATTATTATTAACAAATAGTCGCACAATTTTACTTACTTATTATTTGGATTTTACCGTTTTAATAAAATCAGAATTGTTTCTTTAATATCCTTACATAATTTTCATAATTTTTATAATTAAAAAAAATTAAATATCAAGGTATATTTTTTTAATACTTAAGGTCGAATAATTATGAAGAAGTTGAGTTATCTGCAAGAGACTTGAATCCTGGAAATGAAAAAATAGGCCCTCAAGATTTTGAATTCAAAAAAGTCCTTGGAGAAGGTGGATTTGGAAAAGTTTATCAAGTACAAAAAATTACTGGAAAGGACAAAAATAAAATATTTGCTATGAAAGTAAGTATGAGTACATTGAAAAATTTCTTTGTACAAAAAAATGATAAATAGCAAATGTTTCTTTGAAAGTTTTTGAATTATCAAGATTATACAATTGCACTTTTTATCAGTAGATAAATTTACAAATAAAACTTTTTCCATCAGGTCATGAGTAAACCAAAAATATTAAAAAATAGAAAAGATATAGATCATACCAAAGCAGAAAGAAATATTTTACAATCTATAAAGGTAATTATTTTTTAACCAAATCTTTATCACTTATATTTTAATATATGAATAAAGGTAATTATTTTTTAACCAACTCTTTATCACTTATATTTTAATATATGATGATTTTTACAGCATCCATTCATTGTAGATTTGCATTATGCTTTTCAAACTCAAGGAAAACTATTCCTTATATTAGAATATCTTGGTGGTGGAGAATTATTTACTGTTCTAGGTAAAAATAGAATTTTTCTCGAACACCAAGCAAGGTAATTGATTAAATTTTTTTTGTTATAATTAATATGCAGAGCTAACTGCTAATCACACTTCAAATTTACAGTTTTTTTGCAGCCGAAATCATACTAGCGTTAGAATACTTACATAGCAATGGAATTATTTATAGGTAAATGATGTTATCATTTGATAATCAATAATTTTTCAGCATTGAGCTGTAGAATAACAAATAATGCAATTATTTAAATTTTTATAACTAACCATTTTATAGAGATCTGAAGCCGGAAAATGTATTATTTGATGAATACGGTCATATCAAACTAACTGATTTTGGACTGTGCAAGGAAAAAATTCTTAACGATGCGGTCACCCACACATTTTGTGGTACAATTGAATATATGTAAGTTATTGTGTATAACTAATTTTTAATTCAAAACGGCAAGTCAATTATGTGTTTTTTTAGGGCTCCAGAAATTTTACAAGATACTGGACATGGCAGAGCCTGTGACTGGTGGAGTCTGGGAATAATACTCTTTGAAATGCTTAATGGAAAGGTTTGTGTTTTCAAAAATCAACTTTAAATTTTATACATACAATTCTTTATTTCACAGAAAAATTTTCAATTTTCAGCCACCATTTTTAGGCAAACATAAAAACTTTACTATAGAACTTATAACTAAAACTGGCAAAGTTAAATTTCCAAAGCATATTACACATAATGCTCAAGGGATTATACGCCAATTATTAAAGGTAAAATCAATTTCAACTCAATAATCAAAACAAGAATCAAAATATTAAACTAATTTCATGTAATATTAAATTTTACAAATGTCTTTTTGTAGAGGGATGTTTCGAAACGATTAGGATCTGGAGTTGCTGATGCAAATGAAATTAAGAGACACAGATTTTTCGAAAAACTTGATTGGAATAAGATTTTGTCCAAACAAGAAGAGCCTCCATTCGTTCCAAAAATGGTAAAATTAATTAATACATGATTTTTCAATTTATGTTTTCAATTTTAAACAATGTTTTCTTTTATAGTCAAGCTCTGATGATGTGCGAAATTTCGATAAATATTTTACACAACAATATCCCATAATTTCTCCTGAATGCAGTGGACTTAGTGAATCTGCTAATCGAGTTTTTGAAGTAAGTTGCACAATCATTTCATCATTTACATTCGTACATACATGGATACAGAATTAAAAAAATTTTTATTTAGGGTTTCACATATGTTGCTCCTTCCATACTGGATAACTTTATGCAAAACCGTTCACTTCAAATGGCAGAAGCTGATGATCTAAGAAATTTTTTTGGATCACAGATTGATACTGTTGAATCCAACTTGCAGGATTCTCACGTGCCAGAATCTCAAGAAGCCATGGAAAATTATCAGCCGTTAAGGTAAAGTATTATATGTTAACATTTGAAAGATAATTAAAATGGAATACTTTTGTAAACTTAATCCATATTATCAAAATTCAGAAATTCAAATGAACCTAGTCATTTGACTAGTAGATTTATGAATTTTCACCTATCAGATGATCAATAGTATATACAAGATTCAAGAATTATTGAAACAATCTTGTTTGATCTCAACAAATGAAGGTGGAATTCGTTACATGTATATAACTATTTTAAATTAAATGACATAAGAAAATCTTTTGTAAATAGTATCCATAAAATGTTGCCCATGAATTCAATGTCATATTTGTCTTAAAATAATATTATATTAAATTGCAATATGACAGGATAACGATAAATTTTTTAAATTATTTTAAAAAAAGTTGAGTGAATATGAAAAAAAGTATCATGTCAAATTTGATTTGTCTATAACTGTTTTTATTTTGGATATTGATGCATAAATTAATAAATGTAAAAACCTAAATTACTAACTTGTTTATTTACAATTATTAAATTTAAAACTGTGATTCTACTGTTCACATAATTTTGTTTTTTATTTTATATAATGAATTTTTTAACATACACTTTTATGTTGATATTTACAGATGCACACAATTTTAATTTTTTATCTTCTTTCATGCTTCCGTTTCTTATCTTTTTTACGATGTTTCATGTCATGTTTTTTTATTTTAGATAACTCTTTTTTTTCTATTTTTTCTAATCCTCTTAAAAATCGGAGTTTCTCTTTCAATGGTAAAGATCTAATAAATTTTATATCTTCATCTTCACTCTCATGATCTTCTTCATCTTCAGATACCATTAAATGGCCATCTTGGGGTACACTTATATGTTGCTGAGCAGACTTTTTCAATTTTAATCCATCTTCTTTCATCTGCGAAACTAATGTTAAAGCATCATGGGTTTCGGTGGGTTCATCTTTGGTACTATTGCTAGACATCACAAGACTCATCGCTTTACTGTACAGTGGACATTCTTTATCTGTGTTAATGTGACCCCACATGTGGCATTTTATGCATCTGACATTACGGACCTGTATGCCAAATGGTTGATCCTTGATTTCATTGTCTCCTTTGCAGTAACTTTCTCTTGGCGCGTTGTACTTACGTTGCCATTCAAACTTGAATTCAGGTTCATTGTCTTCTTTTTCTTTTTCCTTCTTTGCGCCAGGGGGAGGTTCATACATAAAGTTGACACTCAATTTGTCTTTACTTTCTTTACTCAACAGTGCTTTATTGTTGTAAAGATCCTGCTCTTTTTCATACTGAGTACGTAACTCTTCTTGCTTTTTTTTATATGCTACAGCTTGTTGTTCAGCCATCCAAACTCGTTTCAAGTTATCCCTTGAAGCAGGATGAAAGAACTTCTTACACATATAGTTGTTAAATCCTTTTCCCATTGTGAATCGTTGGTTTGTTGAATCTTAATAATGAGTAAGATTAACGTATTGGTACACTCGTTAAGTGTCACTGATTTTTCACGAAAAATGCTCTTATGTTTTGAAGTGTGGTGTAATTTAATATATTGCAGCTAATTGATTTAGTGAGTGGGGTTAGCATATAGACACGATTACACACAAACTGACAATGTGTGCACACATAGTGTGCGAGGTATTCACTCGACGGCGAAACGTCGCCAGCGCCTGCAGGTGGATAAGTAGAGTAGTAGAGTAGAAGCTCATCTACAATAAAAACTCTTGCTATTAAAATCAGTGACGGCCGAGTGCCGTCTGTTCCTAACGTTTACAATGTTTGTATGATGTTTGTTGTGCAAATGTGTTTCGTTTTGTTGTCGTGACTTTTTTTCTGCTATATTCATCTCGAATAAAAATTTTTAAAATACGTTTGAAATATAAACTTAAAAAGGTGTGGTGTTGTGGTGTGTATGTACATGATATATTTCGGACAATACGCTATAGTTGATGCAGTTTTCGTAGATGCACTGACCGTCACCATTTAAAATATTTATTATTATTTTTAAGTATTCTTCAAACTCATTTACATATATACGTATTAATCATGAGTCTCATGCTACCAATGTATAAGGAAATCATCATTGCACTCGAGGAATAATTTTTCATTCCATTTTTGTTTATTTACTATTTTCTACAATTGCCGTCTTCAAGTAAGAATTGATTTCGAAAGAACATTGACCAAATCCATTATCCAAAGACACGAAATTACCAATATTTTAGAACAAAACGTCAAGTGTCAATTGTGAAACCTTAACCTACAAATACTACCTGTAAAGTGTTATTGTATAGTGATTTACCTGCTCACTTGGTCTCAGTTTATTTTTACATCTTAACCCGTGACTGTGGATTAGAGTGCTATTAGTACATTAGTAATTTATTTATTATAAACTGTATCAAGTGATTGTTAAGATGATCAGAAAGTCGTAGAGGACTTGCGGCAGCGACGATGTTTCTTTGATGATATCATAGAAAGTCGTTGTTGCACGCATCTCCGTATCTGAAGTTTTATCAAGCTGGCGAAGTTTTACGTTGGTCTCAATCGCGAGATGAAGTGTAACGAGAAAAATATGATTGCCTTTGCTACTTCTCCTTCATCGGTTGATCGCGAGGGTTGGCTCAACAAACGTGGTGAAATTAATCGCACATACCAAAGACGCTGGTTTGTTTTAAAAGGTAACATCTTGTTCTATTTCGACAAACGAGGTGACAAAGAACCTCTTGGCATGATAGTACTTGAAGGGTACACTATTGATTTGGCTGACGAAGATGAGCAGTTTGGTTTCAAGATTGTCTTCCATGGAGCGAACAACCGAAGTTACATCCTTGCTGCTGAGTCACAGGTTTGAAATATTCTCATATACATGCTGCGTTGCAAAGCGTGAAAATTTAATAACTCTGAGCTCATTTCTTCTTTGTTTTAGGAATCAATGGAACAATGGATGAAAGCTTTAGCATGTGCTAGCTATGATTATGTGAAAACTATGGTTGCTGAATTACAAAGACAACTAGATGCAGTTGAACAAGAGCCTGCAGTAACAGCACCTGTCGAGTTACCCAAACCTCCTCCAAGACAAAGACACAATCCATTTAACAGATCAGAATCGCACCATAGATCTCAAAGTGTTAGATCAGCACCTGGTAGAACAGAAAATTTACCCAGAACAAAAGTGTCCTTTCGAGAAATACATACTATGTATGGCAGAAAAATTTTATCAGACCTCAACAAGTGGAGGCATACAAAAAGAAATGCAGATGCACCTTTAATAATACTATAGTCATAAGATCTGTAAATACTCACAAGACTACAAATGTACGAATAAATTATACATAAAGTTATTTTTTTAAAAACTCAGTCCACCGCACAAATTTTCATTCAATGACATCTTCATGTACAATATTTGTTATTTAACTCTTTAAAATATACAAATGTGGGATTTGAGTAGTCCTATTCATGAACAGCTGATTCTTAAAGTATTAAATAAATGTTATGGTTCAAAACAAATTTTTGTTACTTAACAACCTTCTACTTTGATAAATATATTTTTCAGAACTGTCATAAGATAGATATTAAAATATGAAGAGAAGAACTACATTTAAACAAAAGAATTAACGAAAACAAAGTAAAATTATTTATTTACATTTTTCAAGTATTTTTTACTGACATCAATATTGTTCTTAACTTCCTTCTCCAACTACTATAACTATTCTTGTATGAAAACAGAATATTACAAATAAAAATACCATTGTGATTATTCAATTTATTAAAAGTTGACAAAAATATATTTTTTGCTGCCTAATCATTAGTTTGTGTGACTTATGAATACCTTTTTTTCACTTGAATTTAAATACACTTTTTTTTCTGCCTTCACCAGGTAAATGTCTAGATCCAAGTAATAATCGAGCTTTGTCTTCTTCTTGAGGTTGAACTTCTTCTTGGGGAACTCTTGGTTTTATTTGTAATTTTTGTTTAATTGCTTGACTTAAAATTACACGTCTTGAATCACTTTTCATGGCCAGTAAAAGATCAAGCCAAGTCCATGTCACATTATGATATTCTAATGTTGGAATTACCAGTGCAATATCTCGAACGTCTTCTAAATTTTTTTCTTTATAACCCTATGATTGAAAAATAATAATACTTCAGTATTACATTGAAGAATAATGTTAACTATGCATAAATATGCTCAACACACTAATCTCTAGAATCATTTGATTAGAGTCATGCATCATCTTTATATTCATTTCAAATCTCCATGTAGCAAATAAGTTTCTTCATCACTCGTAAACATAAAGATAATTAAACATAAAAATAAAAATAAACAGATATTACCTTGTAAGAAACTCGAACAGGTACTTCAGGAATTTTTATGTAGATGAACAATTTATTTTTATCTGCTCGTTCTTTCATTTTTTCAACATCCTCTCTCCTTTCCATTGGTACATAAAAAGAAGAGTCTCTTTGCAGTGGTTCTTCAGTTCCAACAGATGAATCTTCAGTTCCATCTGGATCCCTCTCAGGAAAACAAAATTTTAACATTGTATTGAAAAATTTTTTGGTCAGTCCTGTAGCAAAAAAAAATGATTATTGATCTCGATTCATTTGAAAAAAAATGAAATAAGTAAAAACAAAGCTCAAACAAACCAATTGTTAATGGTACAACATTAATTTCAAAATGTTCTTTGACAGAGATACCAGCAACAGGAGCCTTCTCTCTACAAAAAACCCTGAGGGCACGTTGTCTATCAATAGGCATATTATTTTGTAGTTCAGTTGGTGTCAATACATCGGTATAAATTTGATTAGGCAGGAGATTTTTCATGCGAACATATCCTAATTCTAGTAGGTGCTCCACTGAATCATCTGTTTTACTGGTTTTAGTGTAAAGAAAATTGGTAAGTTGTAAATCAGCGATGCCCAACTGACCATCTGCATCGGTCAGCCTCCATTGAGCATATTTGAAACAAATTTCAGCAGCCCTAGCCACAGCCGCTGGCTTGTCTTTAAGGCTTGTTGATGCTGCAGCTGGAGCAGTTTGTTCCTTGTAACAGCTGAGCATGACATCAAGTTCTTCAGCTTTAGCACTAAGCTTTTCTTTGCATTCGAATATTCGTTGCTCAAGTCGCTCCATTTCTAAGAGTAGCTCTTTGCATTCCGGATCTTCCGCTAAAGCTTTCTGAACTAGGTAGGTTTCTTTCTCAAGGCGACGCAATTTTGACAATAGGCCTCTAACAATATTTTGACGCTCTTGAATAGGCCTTTTCTGATCTTCTTCAGAAATCAACTGCATCTGAAATCTAAGCAAAAGTAAATAGCAAATTTTAGTTGCATAATGTATAATTTCAATCAATGAACACTCGATTCGTGCTTAATTCTACAAGCGGCTACTTATTTGGCAGCCATACCTCATACGTTGCAATCTTTCCAATGCTTCTTTTCTTCTGGGCTCGACGTAGAGTAATAAATTATTAACTATATCAAGCAACATGGTATACTGCAGAGAATTGGTGCATACGTCGAGATCATGATGCATGAGAGTGAAGGCATCAGCGGCCGAGAGGTCTTTGCGTTCCCAAGGACTGATCTCCTCGCAAGGCGGCGCCGGTACTTCGTCGAGCGAAACAGCATCGGGCGATTGGCCGTAACCGACGTAGAAGAATTCACACTTACAACGCGATACGATTCGCTGCAATTGATGTTGAGGGCCACCTGCACCGCCAACCGTTTGGCTTACGACACCACCCACACTTTGACCTGAACCTACCAATGCCGGAACATCCGGTAGACCGGCTATTATTGTAGAATCTTTTTCCTGAAAGCACGTAACATTTCTAGATCACTTTCACACAATGAGTGCGAGCTAAAAATTATGAATATTCAAATTTAAGTACCTGAATGTTATCTAAAGTTAACCAGGTGATGTCAGAGTCGATATTTTCGTCGGTATTAGCATTAACGGTAGCGTAATACTGCATGCACTCCAAAGAGCCAACCCAGGTCGTTTTGGACATGAGGGTTCGTTCTCGCCAAACAGGCCGATGAACCCTCTGAAGTATTTCAGCTTTAGCCGCTGACAAAATGACGTGACCGCGAGTTTCTATACCCTTGAGTAACACCTGACTATTGACGAGAGCAACTAGAAATAAAGCATGAGATTATAAGCATAGAGTTGCAAACGCGGAGTACAAAAGTTAGCCTTAATGACTTTAGCAGCGAAGATTGCATACTCAGCCAGTTTTTGTGAATCACGTCGTCTTGATTGCAAGCTGCCAAGCCACGCAATTGCTGACCTCGCGTTTGAACGGACGTGTCGTCGCTGAAAGCCACAGGCTTGTTGGCTGCTTCGGCGATGAGTCTCTGCAACATGTTAGCCGCCTCGCCCTGCTGTTGCTGAGGCTTACTTCCTGAGGCAGCGACGGCGTTGGTCGTAGCTTGAGCGGGCGTGCCTTGCGTGGCCTCGATCGCGTTTCTCTGCCGATTTTTGTGAGGCGTCGAGCTGCTCTCGCGATGAAAACCTTTGAGAGCCGCCGTCGACAGGTTCTTCTTGAGCTGCTGCGTCTTGATGAAAGAATCGAAGAGAGCGAATACGACGTCGCGATTGGTCTCGGTCCAGGCGCCCTTGAGATCGTGCACGACGAGGTGGTGGATGGGCGTGTCGCCGCTGGCACCCGCGACCATGGCCTCGCGACCGTAGCTGACCTTGGCCACGCTGAGGCAGTAGCACTTCTGCACGGGCTCGCGCAGCGAGGCCTTCTTCTTGCCCTCCATGAGGGCGCTCTTGAGCCAGATCTCGGCGTCGTGCAGCTCGCAGTTCATGTAGACGACGGACCACTCGGCGCGCGGCCGGTGCACCAGACCGTCGTTGATCGGGTGCAGGGTCAGGCAGTGCTCGGAGCTGCAGGCGAGCCTGCCCCCGGTCACCTCGAAGCCCCGCTGCATGGCCGCCGACATCCAGTAGCTCACGTGGAAGCGATGGAACGCCAGCGTCAGTCGGATCTTGCGGTAGTGGCGGCTCAGCTGCTTCTTTCGCGGTCGAATATTGCGGAAGAGCGGCCCTTTGCGAGTCGGCCTCGTCACCCCCGAGAGTATGAATTTCAGGCTCTCGAACCATCGCAGGGTGCTGCCGTACAAAACGGCGGTCGGTGCACTGCTCAGTGTCGGCGAGCCCGTTAGTTTTGTTTCCAACGACAGGCTCACGTTAAGGTTCTGCAAAAATAAAGCTCGTTATCGAATCGTCCGACATAAATCATTCATACAAGTGTAAGCGATATCGCACGACGATTTTACCTGAGAACGAAAGGCGCGGAAAGAGTCGTGCTGTTGATTGCTCGAGTACTCGGGTAACTTGTCGGGAGCACAAGGAATGGCTGCATGATGATCCCGCGCATCACCGAGACAAACCCAAGCCAGTTTGATGTGGAGCTTGACATTGGGCAAATGCAATAGTCGACAATCGTCGTATTTGCTAGCTGTTCTGACGTAAACATCGAGATTACCCTTGACGATTATTTTGCCGAGAGTCCAGTCAAGCTCGAGATTCGACCAAGTCAGCTCCATTTCTTCGGTCGTATTGTACGGGTCGAGCGAGGCATGAAGAAGCACCGTGAGTTGTTTGACGCAGAGAGTGAGCCGACCGTGCAACATGAGTCTCATCTTGTCCCAGAAAGGTAGCGGAGGCGACGGGTCTCGAGACGGATGTATGATTTTCTCGAAGCTCAAGTTGCACTGGGCAATGACAGGCTCCCAGCACGGGCCGAAAGCGTAACGGAATTTGTTAATGTCCCAGTTGAGATCGTGGTAGTATTTGAGGGAGGTCATGCCGCGCTCGATGACGATGTCGTCCCAGGGAGCACCGACCTCGATGCGGACGCTGCGTTTGGCGCGCGGCGGCGCGAGAGCCTCGGCCCCGGCCAAGCGTCCCCAAATGCTCAGACCCTCGACCAGCAGCAGAGGCTGGGGAAAGTCGCGCAACTGCAGGCGCCATTCGAGACATTTGAGAGCGATCCCGCGCACCCACAAGATGTTGAATTCGAGACCGTCCTCCGGCCACGGAGACTCGCTGTCCATCTCTTGCAGGGCCTGCGTGGCTTTTTCCAGTCCGTGAACCGACGGATCGGCCAGCACGAGAATCTCCAAGTCGGTCATCGTCCAGGTAAAGAGACGCGTTCGCGCGGGACCGGTGCGTTGCATCTGCTTCCAACGTTGAACATAGATTTCCGCGTTCTTTTTGTGCAGGCTGGCATACAGCTCTTCGACTTTGCCTTGAGGCAAGAGTAAATGAGCTCGGCAGAACTCTTGAACTTTGGCATCCAACATAGCTTGTCGCTTTAAGCTTTCTTTGTATTCGTCTTCGAGTAACTCGTAGTTATCGCGTAAACGTACCTCGAACGGGTCATCGCTCACCTCGAAAATCCATTGTTTTATCTAAAAGGAAAAAATTAATCAATGATAAAAATGGTCTTAGGTTCGACTCGTTGTATTATACACTTCAGTTCACCTTAATGACTAGATCACAGGGTAGAGGATTGTCTTTTGGCTTGCCGCTCGAGTGTATTTCCTTGAGCCACTTTCTGATGCTAACAAATTCATTTTGAATAGCCTCGGTAAACTGATGCTCGTGAGGAAAACAGGCTTTTGCCATTTCGATGTTCAATTCCCAGGTTTCATTCCATTCCAGCTCGAAGCCGTCGTTATTCTGTCGTTCCAGGCGAACCTCTTCGTTGTCGGCCAAACGAATCAATTTGAATCCTTCCATCGTTATAATGTCAGCCATGTCCAAGGCTACGCGCAGGTAACGCAATTTCCACTCGCCTTGCGACCATCGTAAATGATCGGACGACAGTTCCAAAAAGTGTCGCGGCGATATGTCGATCGAGAGTATAATGCCTCCGGTACACATTATGTCAAGGGCCCGCTTTGTTTTAGATTCTTTAAAATAGTTTCAAATTTATTCAAACATTAGTTTTTATGTTTACACGCACGATGTTAAAATGTTTTTTAAAAATTACCGTTTACTGAAGTTACTATTTCTCGTTGACCAAATGTTCCTCGGAAATTGGCTGACTCCTCCCATAATTGTAACAAACGTAAATGTAAATTTGGACTCCATGCTAAATTGGTATCGTCAAAACTAACGTCAATTGCGCTCGATGTAAGGGACATTTTACTCTTTCTTACTGAAAAAAAAGGTCGAGTCAAGGCTTTTGCATGCTGGCAAATTATCGGCTCATTTTTATTCAAAGTGATAGCACAAAGTCCTTCAGCGACACCAGCAAATCGTTTGATATTCCGTTCAACGGTAGCTTCGTCAAGGCGCAACATGATCGCCACTGTGAAAATATAAATTTTTCAATTCATTATTTCAAACGAATCTTCTCGTATCTTGGACTTACATTCATTTTCCGCTATGAAGAAAAGATTGCAATTTGAAACTTTCAAGTTAATGTGTAAAGCTTCATTCGCGAGTTTATCTTTTCCAGTATTGATTGAAGCATTGTGTTCTTTCCAATATCTAAAACAAATATTTGTCAGACATCAAAAGTTATATTTTTAACACGTCAATAATCTATTGTTAAGATAAATGAATTCATTTACTGTAATCCGCGTTCTAGAAATCTTGCCAATTCTAAACTCCATTCTGTTCGCAAGCTATCAATTACTATTCCGATTGCATTGCTGCGGGTCGTCGCGAGAAAAACACCAATGGAAACAGGGCATCCCCAACGATGATTTGCTTCTGGAACAGTATTGGATGTACCATTAAATGCGCAGCACAAAGATTCTAGAGTTAATTCTGTATTCCAATCTAAACTTTCATCTAATGAAATAATAAAAAATTAATAAAAATCATTGTAAAATTATTATTTATCTTTTTCGGTTGTTTACTCACTATTTGATCTTCCCATTGAAAATTTAACATGAGATACTGAGCAGGAGGTTTCTTGTACATCAGGAAGTTTTACAAATAATGATCCTTCATATAATTCTGTGCTAGTTTGTACTTCAAGCCATGAAAATCTATTTTCAGAGGAGTAATTAATATCTGGTTTCAAAATATCTCTAGCGCCACTGACGACAATTGATTCCCAATCTTTATGATCATAAGTCATTGACAAGTTACTTAGTTGTGTAACAATCTTGAGCACATTGTTATCCAACTAAAACATTTTTGCAAATATTTAAAAATAGCAATTTTTACTTTATTTAACTTTATAGTTAAACAGTACCTTTGATTCTATTGACATGGATCTTAAAGATAAAACTGGTAACTTTCCTCGAACTGATATGCCTTCTGTATTCAAGGCTAAATGAAACTGCGGGCCCCCTGGTTGAAATTTGGCATTAGCTTGTAAGCTTTTCATTATACATTCTAAACCAATGTGAGAACCATCTTCACGTCCAGCAATGATTGATGAACTACCAAGTTTTATTAATAGACTCTAATTATAAAATAGAATAATATTAATAAATTTTTTATTTACATTTATTTTAATATTTGGATTAATTAAGAATTTGAAAGCAATTCATTCAGCAATAACAACCTTAGGTAAAATAGGAGCAAATCTGGCTAGAAAATCATCGCTGAATGCTGCTGTTTTATTTGTTGGTCCTGGATCTAATGATTTTCTATCTTTTAAAAATTGTAAAAGACCTACACCGCCACAGCCTTCTGTGTGAGTTATGCCAATAAATAATTTCTATGTGAAAATGGAAATAATCATCAATATTGAAATAGAAGTTTGCAGATTTTTGATCAAAGAGAAATTTATTTATTGGAAAAAGTTATTACCTCCAAGGATAATTCTCCTTGAGCTTTTAAAGTAGCTTCAACAGTACCGGCCAAGTTTATTTGAGCTAAGCATGCATCTGAGGCATGACGAAGTAGTTTCATGGTCCCATTTCCAATAGTAGCGCTTCCAAGCAGAGTACGAGCTCCATGAACAACACTACCATCAAGACTTAAGGTTTCTGCACTTACATTTGCAAGCCAACCATTTCCAAGTGAAAATAAACTCAGATTTTCAATGTTAATAGCTAAAAACTATGGAACCATTTAAATAAAATAATATGTTAATTGAAAGGAAGTTGGATTGAAAAGTAAAAACAGTACAAACCTGTACAACTGTTATTAAGAAAGAAGGTACTTTGGCATTTCTGAAATCCAATACTTTGTTAGAATTGTTTTCATGCCTAACTGATACAACAGGAACATTCACTTCTACTCTAACTCCATGAAGCATAAGAGATAATAATTTGGCCACTTCATTACTAAATAGACTGCTTCGTACACTAAATTCTTCAATTTCAACCGTAAAACCATTTGTAAAAATGATGACATCTCTCAATTTAAAATAAGGAAGAGATATATGTCCAACTTGTAAATTAATTTTACATTTTCGTTTAACAAGCCAAGCTAAAAACTTTGGTATAATCCTAAAAATTAAATAGACATATATTTTCTATTGAATAATATTGAGTAAAAATTCCGTTTATAGTATTCATCTGAGTAGTTACCAAGTGCAAATGCAATATAGTATTGAACAAACACAAAAAATGGTCACTAGCCCCATCATTTTCGAAAATAACAAGTGCTTTTATTAATCATCGACAAACAGGTTTCAAGTGATTCATATTTTGTCTAAGATTTCATCGATCCATCAGACGAAATACGTATGTTTATTTATTTAGGGTATACGACTAACTGTATTACATTTCTGATAAGTTCATTGGTATTACGTATAGTGTTTTTTTTTTATTTATTAATAATAAAAACAACTAGAATCAATTATTCTGTTCCAATAACCTAAAGTTATTTCCAACGTCATATTTTCAAAACGATGCGATCACCAGCAGACTACGCACTTGTCTGTTTCAATACAGACTGACAATATTTTCTGTCTGAGACACTGACAAGAGCCGCACTCACACTAAAACTCGAACTAAGGTATAAGTGTGTACGATGAATATAGTTGACGTAACGAGGATTGCGAGGGTTGAAGGCTTATCCAAATGCTCGTTCATTATTAATTAGAAAAAAATTGTTTTCAAAGCAGTTATAAATTCGATAAGGACTAGCATAACATGAGGTAAACTAAATGATTTGGAATTTAAAATTACGATTTCCGCTAAAATAATAAAATTATATTATTCAAAAATCGAATAAAAATGGTCTGATGAGTCTGGTCCTCCTTTAATTAATAAATCAAATTTTATTTTCAAACTGGAAGCGTACAATATCCGTTCGGAGTATTCAAAAAATTTAATTAAAAAAATCTTTAGTTTCATTCAAAATTTTTATCAGGATTTCAATCTTGCTTTTATTTTATGCTTTAAAAATTCTGAATAATTTTTAATTTCGTTTCACCGAAAAAATACAATAATACTTTAAATATATTATTCAATGATAGGATTTATAAATGATCAAATGAAAAACATTTATTCTGTAGATGGTATATAATTTTACTTCTTTGTACAATACTGTGTGACATGTGTTTACATCGATGTATGCGTGATATACAAACAGTTTTAACGTACGATACTATTTGTCTATTTGCATAATTCATAATTGCTCTTTTTCATATTTATATAGCTGCAATAATATCACTTTAACATCTTGGAAAACCTTCGTTCAAATAAACGCTACGAGTTGGTTCTTGATTTTACAATATGCGATGATATGTTTGCTTTTAATAGTAAAAATTAAGAAATGAGTAATTTGATGGTTTTTTCAGTGATTGGCAGTGTTAACAAACATATAATTCTAAATATAATATATAATGATGTTCTTAACTTTGTATAAAGTTGTGATATCTTGCATCAATTTGCAAGAAATTATTGAATTGAGAGAGTGTGATATATTTTTTAGACAAAGCTCTTTAAATTATTTTATCCTGCAATAAATTATTACAAAATCTAAAACTTTAAGAAGTTTTTAATGATGAATTCAGATGTACTTCTCATATATTTTGCAACAAAATTGTAAATTAATTGCATTAACAATTTGTAAAACTGCACAGTGATTAACGATGTAGAAAATGATTTATTTTGCAACTTTAAAGATTACTTTGTAATACATAAATGATTTTTAATAACAACAGGTTGAATCTTGTTTATCAAATTTTATGCTTTGATATTGTTTTTTGTGTATAGGTCATCATTCGACGAAAAAATATAATTTTCTTATTTTATAAAAGAACGAATAACCGCTGTTTTAAGAACTAACGATTATTTTGATGTAGCTAAATGATTGATGAGTCTATAAGATACTTAATTATTATGTATAATTTAATGTTTCGTGACGGCACTAATGCACCATTTGATATAAAAATTTAAAAACGCTCTCCGGGTCATACATCGGCGCTTAGTTACGTTACATCATACTTAAGAATTAGAAGTCATTTAATTAAATGTAGAGCAATTTACACAAAGTATTATTACTGCTGCAAAACATATTCTTAAACTGTATCGTAAAAATCTCGATGCAATACTAAGTTATATTATTTAATTTTAGTTTTGGTTCTTAGTGTTTTTCCCATTTTTCGTTTTATATTTCAACGTGAACTTGTGTGATGTACATGATTATTTCACTAATTTTTTTTAATTTTTCATTCATTCAACAATTCATGAGTTATAACATTAGCGTATATTTTTTAAAAATAAAATAAAATTTCAAAATTGATAATGAAGTATCGTCGATGACAAATAATTCTACAGAGCATAATCTATCTAGTTTTTAGATTATCCTTAATGTAATCGTAATACTTGTTTTGAATGGCGATAAAATTTCATATTAATCACTGATCGTCTCGCTATTACAAATATATTTATAAAATATCTGTATATTGTAAAATATTTACATGTATGTAATGCATCAGTTCATATATTATATCTTGTTAAATTTATTATTTCAACACAGTGAATCGGTTATAACCTGCCCGAGCTGCCTCTCTACTCACACTTTTAAACACTGTGCTCCATTTGCTTCTTAACTTCTTAGCTATTAATTTATTCCGTCTTTCTTTCCAATTAAAGATTGATGGAAGATTCAGTGACGCGATAGTATAGTATGACTTTGGTGATAATATATTTAGAAACTCGCGTTTATGCAAATAGACAAGATGGAACAGAGACTTGGAGGGCAAAAAAAAGTAATGGTTACAGGTATTTTGTTGGTCTAATCTAATGAAATTTCTTGCAACGATTAAGAATTTAATTTAACTTAAATGCCAACTATTTTGAACTATTATGGTCATTGATATTTCATCTTTCACCTTTCTAAATACATTTTTTTCAAAGACTAGTTTCTTGGTATAAATAGTCGAATTCACTTTTCTAATTATTGGATGTAATTGCATTCTCATAACTCGCATGTTCTACGATATATTGATTAAAAAGTCTCAAACGGATAAATTTGTATAAAATTACAATACAATGACCATAATTACCAAAAATATTTGCAAAAAAGTAGAGTATGTAGAATAATTATAAAAAAATTCTATATTTAAATGCCTTAAATCCATGATACGTAGATTGTAATTGATACGCAGATTATCCGTCTATTTCCAGTATCCTAAATAGATTTAATTACTCAACAAAGTTGTAGGAGTTTCGTTTACTGCATAAGTAACTTAAGATAATTCGAGAAAATGGTTACAAATAGTTTGTACATGTGTTAATAACACTTTAAACGAAAATATACATAGTTGTTTGAAATAAAAGTACAAAATTCAGACACAAATTAGCAAAAAATGTGAAATCATTGTACCCTTAAAAGTATAAACAACTTAAACTTAAAAAATAACTAAAAAATTATGAGTATAGTATACCATAGAGTATATACAATTTATAAACAATGTTCTCATTGAATGGAGAACTAAAGGAATATTTTAAAAATTCGATACTATTGCAGTTTTTCTATAAATTTAAAATCACGGCTGTGTGATGTGAGATTAAATAAGTAATATAACGACGATAAACAAATTATTAAAATGAATTGAACAAAAATACATTTTTTTCGTCGAAAAATTTTAATTAACTTTACTACCGTCTGTTGTCCGACAGCAACTTCTTACAATGATTTTATATTTAACCAATACATGATATGTATCATCACTAAAAAAGAAAAAATATTTAAAAAAAGAATTATAAATAAAAAATTCGTTTAATTTACGTATGTCTTTTGCATCGTTCGATTTGATTATTATTTCATTTACTTTGTAAAAATGAATACTTTTTAATTAAAAATGTCAATCAAAATTTGCAGAAAACTGACGAGACAAAAATTTTTTTACCATTCAGAAAATGTTACGCAAAGAGAAGAATGGAATCTACAATTGATCTATATAGTGTAAAACACTAGGTGGTAAATAGATTACATTTTACAAAGCGGCACTTTTAAGAGCGAAAAAAATGAAAAAATATAGCTACAAACTTTTAATCAACATACAAAGAATATGTACGTAAGATATCGCGTAAACTTCTTTAAGAAAATCTCTAGATTTCAAATCTGGAAGTTTGATTTTTTGCAAAATGATCCAAGAGAATTTTAATCTAAAATAACCAAGAAAGAAAAGTTCAATCATGGCACTTAGCACATGGCAGATACGGGTAAATTATGCTACTGTTATTTGAAGCTTTAGCCGCATGCATATTGAAAATGTAAACTTGAAAAAAAGAGGACGCGAGCGATCATTTTTGGGATCGGTGTGTGGAAAACACAGTGTTTTAAATACTGGAGTAGATTCGTCAGAATGTAGGATGGAGGTACAAACGATAGGGTTGATGAGACGTCAACCGTAATAAAAAAAAAGTATTTAGCAACAATATTATGAGATGGTGCAAATGGTGATGGGGATGATTAATGATGATTAGCGATGATGTCGATAATTAAGTCCTGCATTTATAGAAGCTTATACGGCCTCTTGTTAAGGTGGCCGTGGTTGCCGCGGTCGTCGTCTAAATCAAACGATACGTCGGTGCACAGTTTTCTTTTTTTTTTTCAGATTATTTCAGAGCCCTTGGCAGTTTTTAGGGCCTATACGCTGAGAGAGTGTGTGTATTACGCTTGTTGTGTGTGTGGTTAACTGGTCATTATTGAAGCCGCCGCTGGTCCTCGTACATTGAGTCGCATCATCACGTCACTCGCTGGCTACGTGTGTACGACGGTTCCGAAGGGGAGCCTAGAGAACGACATCGGGCAGGGAGCAATGCCACTAGGCAAGCTGAGTGCCGCCCCTCGCGCCTCCACCTCCGCCGTGCAGATGCATCATGCCGCTGCTGTTGTTGTGATTGTTGTGGTGATTGAACTGCTGATGGTGATTGTTGTGATTGTTGGCGCCGCTCGTCGAATTACCGCCGCCGCCGCCGCTGTTCAATTCCTCGCGCACGATTTTGCGCTGCTTGTAGTAGATTTCGGCGCTCTCCTTGTCGCAGAGCAGTAGCAACGCGCCACCGAACAGAAAGATCACCGCGCCCCAGCCCACTCCGTAGGCCCAACCAAACTCCCACACCGTTCGGTTACCTAAAAAAGCGTATTTGTATAAAAACATGCTCATCGATCGCACCGAAAACTTGCGGTATTATCTGTTCCAATATTTTCTACTTACCAAAGTTGAGTTCGGCTGCGAAACATACAGGATAAATGACCAACGCTATCAGCAATGTAACCACTGTAACATATTTTCAGGAAAATACATTTTACAAATTCATTTATACAGTGATTAAAGATGTTCGAGTGATCAAACATGTCACTTACGCGCAATGGTCATGCCGAAAACAGCAAAGCGATAGTATTTGTATTTGTCGCAGTGATCCTGACATCTGAGACCTAATCCCGTCAATATTGTCGCTACTATGTCAGCCAGCAAACACACGACACAAAGAGCTGCAGCCGCTTTAATGTAACCTGTAATTATCAAGGTTTAAATGTTTAATTAGCCGAAGTAATGCAGTCGTTTTATCGGATCAACTGATTGAATCGTAATATTCTCTGCACGAACCAACATCGCGAGCCTGATAGCAGCCGGGAGGATCGACCATGTTAAAAGGTAACGGCGTTGGGGCACCTTCCTCGATGCAATGAGCAAACAGGCCCTGGCGCCAACCCAGTGCCATTAGCCAATCCGTTGACGCGAGGCCCATTATCATGAGGAGGATCACGATTACCCCGCATATGAATGCAATCACCTATGAATAGACAAAAAATCAAACATTAGTATAAGAGTAAAATTTTACTACCCGTAAAAGGTCCGATTGTGGACCACGCTCCCAATTTTTCAATTTCACGTAAGTAATTACTGAAAGATACTTATGAGTAAGCCAGGGTAAAAACATTTCTGAAATTTTTATTTAATATTATCCTAAAAAGTTATGTGGATATCCAAAAATAACAAATATTAGGTCATTAAAAAAATACTTAGTAAAAATCGTATTAAAACACATTAAAAAATCTGCTTTTCTTTTTTACTATGTAATATTCGTAATTATGAATTTCGATCCTAAATTTTACTCGTTAGTTAAGTATTTTCATCTTTACATGCGATAAAAATTGAATTAATATTTTGTTTTAAGAAATATCACACTATCGTTAATTTACATAATAGTTTAGAAGTTGTAGTTCATCAACTCTTTTTGACTGATCAATAAGGGAAAAATTGGACAACGGCAATGTTCGAGCAATTATAATATAATCTGCTAACGTAAAAGGGTATTTCGTAAGGCCTTTTAAACATTTCTAAAGTAAGTTCAATAAGTCTGTATAAATATTAACGTAGCAATTAAGGTTTTTTTATTCATGTAGAACAAAAGCCTTAGAACTTTTTGTGCATTATCAGCGTCGTATCTTAGAGTTCATAAGTCAACCAAAATATTCACAGTGATAAAAGTAATCTGGTGGTTTGGAAAAAAAGAAGAAAAAAGGATCGGAAAAAAAAGAAGAAAAATTCATTGCCGAACGGGAAAGGAAAGATGTAGAGCTACTAAGAGGATAGATAAGATTGAATGCGAACATACGACGGAAAAAAGTCTAGTATAGCTCAGAAAGAGAGAAAGAGAGAGAGAGAAAGAGGAGACAAAGGGACAGAGCTAAAGATTTATAGAAAAAGTGAGCGTGTTCTCGTCCTCGTTACGGAAAAAGCAATTCCGATCGATCCTCTCCCTACCCTTCGATTTTTCCACACCTGCACTCTTGTAGCAGATAAATGCGAAAATCAAAAGTGGCAAGTGTTACGTTCACGTTATATTTTATTCGCAAAACTTTTTTGAATCATCATAACGCGTAATAGAGTACGAAGAAGAATAAGCGAGCGAGATGATCAGCAGTAATATAACGTGTGTCTCCGAGTCTCGAGAGGCCCGATTGCGATGCGTCTGAATGAAGCACATGTCACCGTGTCTCGGGTAAGAGCTGCTTCACTTGGCAGACGGGGCGCGCTCGAGGCATTACTTCTTGATTATTATCGGTGCCTATAAGCTGAAAAGATATTGAAAAAAAGCTGTAAATCCGGGAAACGGACGATTTTCTTGGCACGAAGACAAGTCTCTCAATCGCTATACTTTACGTGAACTTTTTTTGCCCCTATAGCGCGCGGATTCATCCATCTGTGCGCTCGGAGACGTAGTATACTGATGTTAAGCTATACGTTTATTTCAAACTTATCCTGTATCGAGGATCGCTAAGAGATCGGAGTTTTCGAACATGCAGCAATTAAATGACACGACGTCGTGTCTAGGTTCAGACCGCGCGACTCTTTCAAATCTTTAAGGACTATAACGGCGACTCCCAGCTAGCCTAGTTTTTCTGACCCGCTAGAGTAGTACTTTATGTGTGTCCGTGTGTGTATTTATGTACATCCATGAAGTACAGGTACGAATATAAACGAAAGCAAACAAAGTACTGAAGTACAAAGTAAAATAGCTTTTTATTCGCGCCCCGCGTCGGAGACTGCAGCAGCTTGTACATAAGCGCGTGTACGGCGCCCAAGTTTCGCGTGTTCGTTTGGCCAGCTCGTAAAGCTTATAGCGAGCCGCGCGCGTCGTGAGAATTAGAGCAACCCTCCCACACACTCACACATACGTAGACATAATACATGTATACAGCTATGTACGATGTACACTGCTGCATTATTTTATGCAGTATAGATGCGCCTAAACGTACGCTGCGCACGTGTAAGTGCACACACGTGAAAAGGAGAGTAGCGAGCCTCGACTTTCAAAGAAATGGAACAAAGACCGCGTCGTGCTGCACTGCACACTGCGCTGCATTGCACTACTCTCGCGAGCAACAATTATATAGGCTCCTATACGTGTGTACATCGTATGCATATAGAGTATAGAGAAAGAAAGAAAGAAAAAAGGTGACTACAAGAGGGAGCCGAAAAAAAGGTATATAGAAAAGAATGCCTAGTATATGGAGTATACACACGGATGCACTTTTTGCAATGCGTTTGAATGACTTCGAGAGAGTTTGAGAGAGAGAGAGAGAGAGAGAGAGAGAGAGAGAGAGAGAGAAGTAGAGATGCAGCGCGATGAATGCGCACCGGACCTATAAAAGTCCGCGCCGAAATTCACTGTCTGCACGTTGCGCTGCAGCCAAACCGTATTTGCGAAAGCTCTCTACGAGCTTTGAACTTTTTTCCGTTTAAAGCACCGGTTTAAAATGATTCAAATCATTCGAAAGAGAGCCGCGGCTGTATGCAGCTTGTGAAAGGATCATCGCTAGGCGCGTCAAACGAGCTCGGAGGGCCCTCGTTGACTTTGTCGGCCGTATTGGTACCTCAAATCATACGTACGCCCTACGTATGCAAGCGCGTGTTTGAATCGATACGTTTGAAAATCATGCAGATCGACCAATTTTAAATTTATCCTCTTTTTTTTTTACTAATTCTAACGACAGAACTTTACGCGCATTGCATTAATGTAAAATGTTTTTAATCAAGGATAATTTCATTTTCGGAGATTTATTCATAGTTGAAGTAACGAATGCCTCTTAAAGTTTGCCTATATATAGTATATAATAAACGAGCGAGCGTTAGCGAGCGAGAAACGCCGCTAGTAAATAATAACTCATCGAACTACTAAACTTCCTAGATTTGACCAAGTTACTATAACAAAAACCCAATCGAATTGACTTAATCATTGTTGGGTTACTATTATATAAATCTTAAAACAGTACGAGTGATTTCTCATTTTTTATTGCTGATAAGAATATATAGTAAGTCTAGTCAAAGTACATTACATGCCGGAAAGTTAACAGGATATATTTACCAAATAATGAGCCTAATTGGTCTCTGTCAATTTGGATTATGCATAGCTACTTTTTAAAATAATTGAAAATTCATCCTAATGACAAAGATAAGGGTGAGTAAAACATATAATATCTAATAGGCCAGGGGCTATATTTCAGTCACACAGATCAAGGACTATAATAAAACTCGAGCTCGTAATGCAGGTCGAAAGCCGTGCATCAGCTATCGCGTCAGGTCGCAGGAAATCTTTGATCGTCGCGAAGCCCGCGCGCCGGCTGATCAGCGATATCGGAGCTTGCGCAAGTCTCTTTTTCAAATGGCGTTCGGCGACAGGATGAGGGTAGGGTAGTATAATATAGGAAAAGAGTCGAAAGGAGAGGCGAGAAGGGAGAGAAGCGCAGGTGAACGAGCTGCAAGCCGAGAGGAGGGGGGGCGGCGGCGGGGGTGGAAGAACGAAGGAAGGAAGGAAAAAAGCGAGAAAATATCGCAGCTCGACGGGGTGGGTTGCTGCTGATCGAGCTTATATACCTGGGCGATTTCGGTGTCGGCCATGTGGTCGTCGGCCACCGTGTACATGATCATGTCGACGGCGTTGCGGTGCTTGCGGTAACGGCCGTTGAGCTGTCGCTCGCCGCCGGCCAGCAGCTCCTTCGTGGCGAGGTAGTATTTGGGTCGCTCCGACGACCGAGCCGCAAGCTCGGCAGCTCCGCGTCAGGTGGCCCCTAGCAAGAGCTGCTGCTGCTGCTGCTGCTGCTGGCCAGTGGCACTACTCGAGCTCGCTGCCACTACCAGCCGGCGCCTCTGCTGCTCGATGAGCTTGGCCGTGGGGCTGCTGTTGCTGGCGGCGCTGTCGGTGCTGCTGCCGCTCGAGGAGAACGACGCCAGGGGGTAGCCCGTGGCCGCGGCCGCCAAGCTCAGCTGCTCTTGCTGCTGCTGGATGTAAGCCGCTGCTGCCGCTGCTGCTTCGCCACGACTCATGTAGCGGCCACTGCTGCTCTCGACCTGGTGTGTTATTTTGCTGCTGCACACTGCTCTCGCTCGGCTACCTCGGGGGATCGCTTTTCGGGCGCGCGCGCGTTCCACCAGCAGCGACGGCTCGTCGTTTTTTTTCCGTACAGCACCCCCGCACAGAGTAGCCGGTGGCTTGTCGTTGCTCGTCTCGACGCGATTCACAAGCGCTGCGGCATCGTCGGCGTTTTCGGCTGACACTCCTGCGCGCTGGCGGCTCGGACTCGCTGCTCTCTACTGAAGCCGAGGACTCGCTCTTACTACATCGACTTCGGCCATGTTATCGTCGTGCGCGTGACAGCACCTTTTGGCACACGCGATTATCCTCCCTCCTTTCTACTGTATCTCACTCGTTCTCTTCTCTCTCTCTCTCTCTCTATCTCGAGCCTTCTACGGCGCTATATGTACTTTTATAATCGGCACACTCTGTACGGTTGATATACGAGGAGGGTCGACGCTCGGTCGGCGGTGACCGCAACTGCTACACTACTCGCTGGCGCGTTGTACGCAGAAGACGCAAGCGTCGACGCTGCTGGACCTGGGCGCTATAGGCTCTAGGCCCTAGGAGGCACTACCGCTCGGCTCAAATAGTACTACGACTTCGTGTCCGTCCGTCCGTGTGTGCGTGGGTGTAGTCGGTAGTGTGTGTCTCGAGAGCGCAGCGCAGCGCAAAAGCAGGGGGAGGCGCGTGCGCACTCGCCTCGATTTCCGCGAAACTCCATAAGACTGCGATCGAGTCGGCGGCGCTCGCGCGAATCAGTATAATAATAATGATATACGTCACGGCGTGCGCGAGTGGCAAATTGGCAGCGCGGCACAACAACAACCGTACACACGACTGCAAGCTCCTGCGCCACAGCATGCAGGTCGTCGTCGGCCGCACAAGCTGCATGATCTACCGTACCTATACCGCCGCCGCCGCCGCCGCCGTCTGGGATGCCTCGCTCTGTGTGCGGACCCACCCCATTAGCGTGTGCGTGCGAGCGCCTTAATCCCGTAGGCACACGGAGAGAAGTTGCCCCCGCATGTGCCGTGCGCGTAAACGAACGTATGACGTGCTGTGCCGCTTGCGAGCTTTGCGCTTATCGTGGCTGCCGATCGTCACCGCGCGCCATGCCGCGCTACTACTACTACTACTACTGTCGTGTACTACACGGGGGCCAGTAACCCTCTGGTTCCTGCTAATTATTGCAGCGCGTATAATTGCAAAAACAACGCTCACCTTTGCAAGCTCAACGGTAGTATGCACGCGGCTTGTGTTTTTTTCCAATTCGATTTTATATTACTCTTTTCTTCGTACGATCGATCAATTCTAGGATCTCGACTGTTTTTCCTCCAAATGAGCTTGATATCATTCGTTTTAATGTATACTACTAGCTCTTTCTCGATGCGCTTTGCGCTTACCATAGGAATCATTTTTTAATTTCTCTTTTGTTCGTAATAATGTATCATTGATGGAAAAATCTTTGCCGTTTATTAGACATTGGATACACATTGTAATTCTTTCAATGATATAAACACAACGACTTAGTTTTTCTCCGATTGCATTTATAACTTCGAATTTTCATGACATACGCGAAAAGACTGACGTAGAGCATTATTTTGAAAAAAAACTGTATCTATGCGAAGTGCGCCTGCAACTTAAGTATGTGTGATCTAGCTCGGTATAGCTAAGCTTATCGTTTAGCTTAGCGCTATGCCATGCCTGGCAAAACACCATGACGGGCCACACACACCGAAAGGTCATGCAATATTTCAGAGTGAAAAAGGAACCTACTGATACGTCGCTTCGAAAATCCAACAAAAACCATGAAAGTGAACTTTATGAAGAACTGGAAATAGTTGTCGAATGCGACCACGTCAAACCCAACATAGATTTATTAGGAGTAAAGAAAATTGACGATGATTTTCAAAATAACTTGAAGAATATAAAAAATAGCAACGATAAAAATCTAAATTTAATAAAAATGAAACTAAAAAAAAAGTGAAACAGGAATTTGTTGGCGACACTACAGAAGAATCAAATTCGAATTTAGATTGTGATTTCGTTGAGCAAAATAACCAAAAAAAGCGTTTAAGAACGAACATAGACTTAGAACACACGTCGGTACAGAGCATAAAAATACAACCCATACATGTGAAATATGCAGAAAGGATATCTCAACTAAGGTAAGTCTGGTTAGGCATGTCAAATCATTACATCTTTGTATTACCAACTAATGCGATAAATGCACAAAGACATTCAAATATAAGAACAATCTTAAAAACCACGTCGATGCTGTGCACAGTGGTGTCGGATATACATGTGGTGTTTGTGAAAAAACATTTACCCGAAAAAATAGTCTCAAAATCTATATCAATTCATTACACAATAAAATCTCTTATGTATGTGATGTATTTGGCAGGACACTTTCACAAAAACATCGTCTCAAAATCCATGTCACGGTAAAGCATAAAGGTATCAAATATTCATGTGATACGTGCGGCAAAATGTTTAAACATAGGAGCAGTCTCAAGAGCCACATCGATTCGGTGCATAAGAGAGTCCAACAAGCATGCGATACATGCGGGTCAAAATATACAAGTAAAAGTTATCTGAAAGTCCGCATTGATTCGGTGCATCACTCACGCATTACAACTGAATGAACGAATAAATTTGTATCTAGATGTTTGGAGTACTAATTCAAAACTTTTCGTTTATAATAATACCACGAGTTCTTCGAATGTTCTTTCATTATGTTAAAACAATGTTCAAGCTTTGAATTAATAAATTTTTTTAGAAAAATGAAGAACATTAGTAATTGCAAAATAAAATGTTGAACCGTCCAATTTATAATGACAGTCACTCAGCTCACTCCACTCGCCCTACATTCTGTAAGCTTTGTCTCGTGTCTTATGGGAATGAATCATCTCCAAAATTGTCTGTACTATGTAGTACATCTATTTTTTAAAATTATTACGCATCTCTGCATAAAAGAGATTTTTGATATCATAATATGAAAATAAATAATATATTCGTATATATAAATGCCAAGACAGTAGTTCATTTATTTATTTTTTCATCGCTACTTGTGCTTTTTCTTTCTTTGCATTTATTGGATAATCACATTGATACTAATAATTGTTGAACTATTCGATGCATAGATTCCAGTTTAAACAGTTTTTAATTTTACTCTTACGATTGAGTTGTAATAGTTGAACTTGAATTAATTTTTTTTAAAAGTACGTATCATGAGTAAAAATAATGGCTCATACATTCAGTTGATAAAACTCCAAAAGCACTAGTTGAGATCAATTACGTAAGTAGATCTGAGTCACTAACGGAAATGAACGCGTATTTCAATATTATCCTTTTTGCTTTATTTACGTATCTGAAAAGTAGAGACGGTTTTTAAGAAGATGCTGAGAACTCTTTAACGACAATCTATTTTAAAACATATTCCGAATGCGATCAACAACAATTTTTTTTACATTTAAGTAGAAAATTTGATTTTGAATCGGATGCGAAACTCGTAATAATTTCTTGAAAATGACATGAAAGAAGCGACATTTCAACTTTTCTATTCCTTTCTTTGTCTCTCTAACATAAAATATCTCTCAATCTTTTGAAACGCAAACTTTATCTTACCTTTTGTAACGTATTTTTCCCTGCTATTTTCAATAGTACATAATACTATAATAATCCAGGCGTGTGCTCATACAATGGTACGAACTATTGGAATTGGAAAAGATCTATCGACACGTAACTGAACAAAGTATATATGAGTACCCTATTTGTCAGCTGCATAATATCATTACAAAGAATCATTGTACGCGTCACATCTATTTCAGTCTAACGTGCTTGATTTTTTGCAAGTTCTTTTTAGTGAAATGAAAAATGTATTGCTTGTGTTTTATTTCAGGGGTATCGGATGATTATTCAATCGAGTCTTGAGTCGCTATATTTTGTAAAATGAATAAATCGAAGATAAAAAAGGCTTGTATAAAATCTTAAATTGTGATTCTGCTCTTTGATAATCTTAATTTATCGATGTAGCTACGAGGTAAATTAACGCGAGCACGGCGTGACACCGGTCGCATCGTGCTTCGCGGGTGAGAGTGTGCGTGGAACGTATTAAAGTTCCCGATAATGCGTGAGAGCGTGTGAGCTGCGCGAATCAACACCATTCAACTTTCTGATTTCCATACCGTACAAGGCACTTTTTATCGCTCTTATTTTTCGGCTACATAATTTGCACATAATGCAGTATACTACAACGTTTTCGCCTCTGGCGTCTGCCAGCTGCGATTCGCGTTCGATCCTTATCTATGTTTTCCTGCATCTCAGCCCCTACGCGACGAGGGTCACACGAGAATTAACGTCCTTCCTACATGTGTTGTCTACTCTTTTACAGTTGTTACTTATCTGCGTTATAATTGTGATTTATTACTTATGCTTGTATATTATGTAAACAAACATATATATGTACATGAAAATATCTGAGATTGCAAAGGACATTATACTAATGGCATTTTAGTATCCAGAGTGAATAAACAAAATTTCACTTTATCAGCTGATATGCATAATCAAAAGTATTGTTGTTTCAACATTTTTGTCAAATGAACTGAATGAAGTATAATTTCTAATTATTAAATATTATTAATAATTGAACAAAAGCTCAAGTAATCAAGTAGAAAATACATTGTTTCAATCAACCTTATGAAAACCAACTTAACAAAATTGACTTGAAATCTTACCTTCAGAGGCCGGGTAACGGTTACAGTTTCAATAGTAGTTGTTTGAGCCATTTTGTAATTAAAAAATTTGGTAACTGAAATAAATAATACAATTCAATGAGCAATTAAAATCTCAATTTTAGAATACCATTTTAGTTTTATGATTTTAGATCTGTAAATATAGGTAGATATGCATTAAAATGATTAACACAATAGATTAATAAAAGTTGAATTGATAGAATTGATAGATATTTCACTGGGCCTGTAAATGTTTATCCAATTTCACAAATGAATAGAAATTTAGTTTATGAATACTCTTACATGTGTAACACAAAAATTAATGAAAAAGGCAAAATAATACATTCCTATAAATTATTGTATAATTATATAGATAATTTTATTAACTTATCTCAAATATGTATAATACAATTCATGTAAAGTATTATTTGATTCATGTTAAAATTCAAAATGAAGCAACAAGTGTATTAAAAACTGATTCAACTCTACACAGTAAATTCAAAACAGTAAAATATTACTGTATGATAATAAAAGTATTCTAAATTTATTTGATTCAAGGACTGTCACAATTTATTAACCTTTACCTCTCATCCTTGTAAGCATAAAATACAAGAAATGTAATTAATATAGAAAAGATGGATAGAAATGAGTAGTATAAAGTTGAAGGCAAGAACGTAATAATAGAAAGAAACTTACGTTTGTGAATTTGATGAAAAAAAGACAAACTAGCTGAGCTAGCAGACACACGCATGCATCAGCAGCAGCAGCAGCAGTAGAAGCCGAAGCAAAATATCACTTTGCACGCACAGTACAAGTCACTCTGATATCGGAATCGTTGTCAGCTCGATACTACAACGCTGTCGTCGATGAATGTATACAACGGCATTTCGAGCAGCTGCACGAGCTGCGCGGGTGATGACGTTTTACGATGATTAATGCTCGTGGTCTGAACTGCACGAGCCAAGGTGTGGATGTTTACACTCGCTTACAGCGATTTTACTCGTCCCAAAGCATAGGAGAAACTCGGTTTATCCTCCTCCAAATTATCTCTGCTGTACTATAGCTATATATATTACGTGTGTCTGTGTACACGCGAGAATTGAGAGCACTCGAATCTCTCGATGAGCACTGCGCGTGAATCACGATTTGTACGATTCAAGCTGCCTCGGGAGAGAGAGAACAACAACACAAGACAACGAGCGCCGCCATTGAGCGCGGGGGCATAGCTCGCGAGTATGTGATATTTGCCAATTGCTGCTCAAATTGGAGCCTGTAAGGCTCCTGTTGCAATCGCATAGCCGCCTGAATGCAACTCCAGAAATGTCGCTCGATTCGGCCCATATGCACTACTCGTGCCGTATGCCAAATCGAGCGCAGTGGCGCTAAAATCTGGCAGCGACCGGCAAATCGGGTGAGCGATGCAACAAGTACTGCAGTGCACTGTGCACCGACTGGATTGTAGATCGATAATCGCGACTCGCAGGTTTACCGCAGATGCATTTCAGTTAATGAGCTTTCAGAAATCATTTATTTCACTGATGGAACTTGCGGCGTTGAATTTTTATTTCTACTCCAATATGTGCCAAAAGTGAATAATTTTTCCACGGCATAATGAGAAAATTTAAAATGGTTGATCGAGAAAAAATAACAATAAAAAATCAATTAAACTCTTGAACGACTAATTTTTATTACTAATTATAGAAATTACAATTATGAATATAGTTTTATAAATGGAAATGATAAATCGGTGTCTTTCAAATTTTCTTTAATCCAAGTATTAGCTTTTTCATTGAGTTCTGGCGTAAATAGACTGTGCCAAGCTTCGCTCTTGCCTTGTCGTATGAAAGTGTCACTTTTAAAAATTACTTTGGTGTTCGCTCGCGTCAAATTTACCATCTCGTTATTTTTAATACTCGAAAACTGCAAGTGATTTACCAATTTTTCGAACTGCTCGTCCGAGTAAGATTTTCCCAAAAATTTGGCAACTTTTTTCGAAACAGATAATAAATCCTAAAAATTGAAGCAAAAGAATAGAAGAAAATCTCAAGTGCAGACTAATTATAGGAATAAATTTATGTAAAGTGAATATTACGGCTAATGACATTTTCGCGTAAAAATAAACGGACTTGTAAGCGATGTACCCATTATTCAATGTGATTTCGGAGAAACGGCGCCGACATAATAACTGCGTTTTATGTATTGTTTAAGAAAAACGTACCTGTGTCATTTCTTCGTAAAATAGAAAGAGAAAGTTTGGATTGTGTCTCAACTTCCAAGCTTCCTTCACGTGTTCCCAATACGGACTCCAAGAAGCTGCAAATGGTCAAAGCGTAATTACCGATTGACGGCCGAGATTCGGATTAAAAGAAAAAAATAATTTTAATCTTTTCTCGTATAGCTACGTTTACGTACTCAAGTCATTTTGAAAGTAATCCCAAAACTGCTCGAAACTTCCTTGAAAATCGTAAGCTTTGACTGTTTTATGAAAATGGTAGTACGACACGGCGACGTCTTTTGGATTACGCGCGACGTACACAATCTGTGGAACAAGGAAAACCTTTTTCATCAAAAAAAACGCGTGTGTGGTGCGGGGCAACAACAATAGCGGCATAGATACGCTCACCTTACAACCAGATCGCAAGATATCGGGCACCAAACTAAGTGGGAAGTGCGTTTTTATGAATCTCGGTGCTGGCATTGACCGGGCAATTTCATAGGTCAATTCGATGTTCGAAACTAACGATTCGATTTCTGCATTGTCCTGGTTTTCATCAAGGATACTTCGCGATGTATTGTCATTTATCGCCATCGAGAGTCTGCAGGAACATACATGTTAGTTTTTGAAAAAGATTTTCGTCGAGTTTTTCAAGTATGAGCCGATTATTTAGATACGTACTCTAAAAATGGAAACCGCGCTACCAGAGGTACGGAATTTGCTGTTTTAAAATCCAAATCGTTACTCAAAAGCCATATTAATTCTTGGGTCCACGTTGTACCTAGTTTTTTGTGATATACAGTGAAATACAGCATTGAATAACAACATAAATGAACGAAATTTGAAGAAGAAAAAATTAATACGTACCTGATCTAGGAAAAGTAACAATCCAAGTATCATCAGGTTTAGCTTTGAAATTGTAATAAATTGAACATTGTTTTTCATACTTTTTTGGTAAAAACCACTTCTTTTTGCCTACTGTAACCCAACCTAGTTTTTCACCTTTAAACGATTTCAACATTATTTTTGTTGTTTCTTCATCTAAACATTTCATATCGGGAAACTCTGAATTCGTGTCCATTTTTCAGTTTATTTTTAGGTCTGAAATAAAACACTTTTTTCATAGATTTAGTAAATACGATTTTTAGTGGATATCTTGATTCCACCCAATTAATCGGTTGAAGATGAAAAATGATAAAAATAATTTTTTTGTGCAATAATAATTAACTTAATTTTTTAAACAAATACCCAGTTTTAGTATAAGATCATCATTGATTACGTTCTATATAATTCGATTTTTTAAACGAGTGAAATATCAATCTTAAGACAATATTAATAAAAATATTCCCAGGATAATTCATGAAAATTTGATTTTTATCATGAAAACATCGGCTGAATTAAAATTACGACATATTTCAAAAGTATTAATTAATTCCAATGTGCGATGGAAAGTATTGTAGAAAATATCTAATCAAACAGAAATAAAACGAATTTACCTAAAAACTTAATGCGTTGTGGTACACGTAATGCGTGTTGTCGTTGTCACTTAATCTCTTGGACTAGCGTTGCTCGATGTAGGTGCCAACTTTTTATTGTATCCCATTGCAACTGCAAAGATTGCTAATGGGCTCCAGGTAGGGGTAAGAGAAAATGTTGTCGGGCTCAATGCGTATAAGCCTCTATGGGAGTCGAAAGGCGTTTGTCAAGAATTTAATTTTTCAAGTAATATAATATAAATACGGCAATTGGTGGTTGATCCTGTATCTTTTCAATGAAACTAAGAAACAGACTTACTCACTCATTTATCAATTGTATTAGGTCGTCTTGATTTATCTTTTATTGAATCTAATATGTTGTATTTTATTCAAATATCGTTTAAATTCGATGGATTATTCATTGTAAACCACATCAAAAATTGTCAAGGGAAACAATCAAGAAAAAAATCATGAGGTAGAATTGAAATTTTAACATCCGTAAGGAAACATAGAAAATTACAATTGAATCTTATATCTATAAAGTTTTCCGAGGACGTGGAGGATGTTTTGCAACAACCCGGGTACCACAACCGCATCGCGACCTTTCGCAATCGAGTTAATACACAGTCAATTGATACCTTGCGCGCAGGGCTTAAACTTCAAGATTTCACAATTCATTAGATCACTGGGCAGAACTACAAGGTTTTATTTTACATTCGCCTTTGTGAGGAATGAATATATTAAGCGACAATTTTGCACTGCATTAATATACGCAGTCATTCATCTTCCTTGATTAATCGAAAATATCACATTTAAATCTAGTTTTTTTCAGCAAGGTTGAGGTTTAAATCTTAAATAATGGTTTTCTTTAAATTTCCTTGAGCTATAAATCTATATACGGAGTTTTTATAATTTTCATTTGTTTCTATTGTTGACTTTTTTTTATCAATGATCGACTGATTGAGAATTTATGAGATACAGGTGTTATTTTTATAGTTTTTGATCTTGTACTGGCCTGATTTTAAAATAAAAGGACAATTAAAATGAACTCATTTGTTGACATGTAATTAGCTCAATCTTTATCGTAAAATCTATTGTTCCTATCAGAGCGTGCAATTCGTATACGTTATAATATCGAGCCATTACATTTTTAAAAGAATATCAATGTTTCAGCTCCGAGTAAAAAAACTAATAATGTGCAAATTCGATCTTTGTTGTGTACGCTTTGAGAAAAATTAATATTTAAGAAATTATCGAAGATATAACTGATTTTCAAAACATCATTTAATGTATTTTTATTGTTTATCAATGAGAGCATTGCACCAACAGTTCACACTATTGAAGCTTCTTATTTCGTATTGTTTGCCGCTTTTCTGGAGATGCATGATATATATAGATATATCATTATTAGGTACGACTATAAATACACACGATGATAGTAGCAGACTGCGTCGTCGCTGAAATAATCGCAAATTCGCTTTGCGGATTTGCCGCATATCCATTGTAACATATCAGCTGCTTCACAGTTCGCACGCATTGACCGCTGTGCTCAGAAATCAGAATCCGCGAATCTCGTGCCTTTCGACTCTGGACCCACTGCATGCACATTCGGAGTTTGCCAGTTCGGACTTGGCAAGAGCGCAAATCTCACGTCAATAAATCGCAGTATTTATATTTCGCGCAGTTAGACGAGCCCTTGCGGTATTTAAAGGTCCTTAAGTAAGAAATACACAATTCTAGTCGACGTTTTGCGCAGTTTGAGCTTGTACTACTAACGTCGCTACTAACTGTCAAATACCCCAAGACGACGTCTTGGAATTTATTTCTATTTATATTATTTATTTGGATTTCCGAGCAGTGCACTCGTTATCGATTTTCTTCAGTTCCTGCCTCAGTCATGAGTATATAACCTATTTGTGCAAATTAAAATAGCATACAGAGATTAGTGACGATCCCTGACTCGACAAAGTTCCATTTTCATTGCAATTTAAATGAAAATGATTTTAAATCGTGGAGTTAGATTTGTCCAATTGCTGCGAAAGTCTCTCAATGCCGACGTATCTAGCACGACTACTCGAATGGCCACTACGTCGCCGTCGGGTGCGATTTTACCCGAGCCAAGGAAACCACGATTTGGCTACTTGGGAGTCATTTGCGCTGTTTCAACTGGTCTCTTCATAGGAGCCAATTTAAGTAAGAATATTGCCAATTTTTTGGAAGAAAACGAGTTATTCGTACCTTCGGACGATGACGACGATGATTGAACTACACCACTATCTATCACTTATTATTAAGGTTTAAACTTGTTACAGATAAAATATTGGTTTTTAATGGCAGTATATAAACATTTATCATTTACTTTTACAGATTCTTCCTGCTCTCAAAAATGTCTGTCATAAACACAAATTTTTACTAAATAGATGAATTAAATCTGTCAGCTGAGCAAATGTATTTATTTCAATTAAAATAATTGGAAAATCTGTAATACTTTATTAACAAATATATATTTATGTATATAAGATTAGTATCAAAGTATAATTATATGACTTATTAACATTTAAGAATATTAATTGTTATTAATTACATTATAATATTGTACAGTACATTAGTGTATTGGATTTGTGATCATTAAATGTTTAATTTGAAATATTAAAGGCAATCTCAAATTCATTATTTTAATACACAATATTTTTGTTCTTAAGACTCTTTATAACATAGATGGATAATCATGCATACAAAAACTTCATAATTAATGTTATTTATAATTTTAGAAAAAATTAAATTGATACATCTCTAGATTTTATATAGTTTATAATCATTGCACTAAAACATTAAAGTTCAGAATCTTGAAGGCTTTAGTAAGTGTAAATTAATTTTATTTTTAATTTAACAAACATTAAATCTGATACATTTAAAATACAGAAAAATTCAAACTTTTTTTTTTTTTTTTCTTTTCCAATAAAAAATTTAAATTTGAATTTAATTATTAAATTTAAGTATGCTTTCAAACTCAAACACATACATTGAATTTGTTGGAATTCAATAGATAATAGGTGATAAAAACAATATCAAAGAAGTGGAAGACTTTTTCCAAGGTTTCTTTTATCAATGTGCGAATATACAATAATTGCCGAGTAGTTTTACCTCAAACCTATTCTGGTGGGCGTTTGTGAGCTCCCCACCCATGAAAGCATTTAGTGAATCGACGAGATTCTTTTCCTCTGGCAGTTAAATACAATTTTCGCGGTCTCTCAGGCTGTTTAACTCTCAGATGTTGTATGTATACCTGAAATGGATATAAAAATTGCTCATCTAGTTTTAAGTGATTAATTGTGCAATTGAATATTACCTGAGCAGATTTGTATGCTAGTTTTATTTCCACTTCTGAACATCTAGTGCCCAACCACAAAAATACTTGCTCTCCATTGTCTAGTATCATGATATCATCATCAGCTAAATCATCCTTAAAATTTTATCATATAATACATTATTAAGTCACCAATACAAATCAAAAAATTAAAATACTGATTTTTAATTACCTGACAAAAATCTGTACATTTTTCACTAATGGTAAAGTATCCTTTTTCATTAGAACATCTAAATAGTCGTGTGTACTGCATAAATCCAGCATCAGTCTCATACTGTTTTTTACCACCCAATGCAACCCAGAAGAAGTTTTCAGGTTCTTCTCCTTCACTTAAAATTCGAAGGCTGATCCAAGGCTTCAAAACGAAAATTATTTTATTGTAAATAAATTGATGGCAACTTATTCAAATGATCATGAATACATACATTATTGAACATTTCTTCTGCTATTTCTTGAATAAGTTTTGCATCTTCATTATCACTTTTTGAACCAATCCATACATAAACAATCCCTGTTGCATCATCATTATTAAATGGTACATTTAGTATATAGCTGAAAAAAAAACACCATTCTTAATAAAATTCAAGATAAATATATATAACAAGATAAAAAAAATCTATAAAAATTACCAAAAAGCTGAATTTAATAAAGATGCATCCGGAGTTATTTGGATAAGCCGAGTACAAAGAGAGCTGCCATTACTTCTTAAATGATAAAATTCAACTTTATTTGCATCTGCTGATTTTATTTCTTTTCTTTTTCCTTGATGAATTATAAACTTTCGTTTGAAAAGAGCCATGAATTTGAGATTTTCTTGCTGCTGATGTGTCCGTACAACTTCCAATTTTTCACCAAATAGCATTTGGAATTTTTTCTGCAAACTGTACATTCACCATGACTTTGATTATTCTTCACAAAAATGTAAAAGCTAGTAATAATAATTCTTTACCTAAATGTAAAAGTAAGCCAACCCATATTTCCAGCATCTCTTCCTTGCCAAAAGTAGACAGTACATTGAAAATCATCTTTACATTGTTCTTCGCCGTCATCATTTTCATTGACATCCAAAGGCTAAAATTAATAGAGAAAACTGTTAAGTTATGAATATAATTATTTATCATAAATTACATACAATCCAGTATCTGCAAAGAAAAACATAACAATCGCGACTGTAGAAATGTCCCAATTCTTCGTCTGGTAATCGAGCAAATTTTTTTCCTTCTAAAACAAAGGACTCCATAGCTTCTAAGTCATCATTCCATTCAGCTGTTAACTGTTCAGCTTCAGTTTGAGACATAGAAGGTTGCCTTGGCATGAAGAGAGCAGAAAGATCAGCCTAATAAGTAGATAAAATAAATATTACTTGGTATTAGATAATCTTTCAAGTTATAATTTACCTTTGTTTCCTGTTGCTTAGCCCACTTAGTTAAATCAGCACCAGTTTTGGCAACAGATTCTGCAGTTCGAGTGAAATCCACTGCTATTACTTCATCCCAACCAGTGAATTTACATTTAAATATTTGGGATTCAGTTCCTTCCTGCAATCTAGTTACCAACGCATAATTTGGTCTCTGAATCATATTAAATAACTCTTGCGATAATTTTACAGCAGCAGCTCGTACTAAGCGAGTCGATTTTTTCCCGAACCTAGTGATAAATTAGCACAATTTATAATAAAAAAACGTCTAAATAATTTTTAAATGTATTTTTTACTCACCACACAAAAACATCTAAATAACAATCTAATATGTAAACATTTCGGTTATTTAATAGGGAATTGACTAGTTTACCGTGACGCACTTCAACTTGAGGTAATTCCAAATAGCCCATTCCTAATCTAACTTGATATAATCTCGGAGTGACTGGTACAAATTCAGGATCAACGTGTACCTATAAATATTACTTAATTATATGCATTTAAAAATAAAAAGTGTTATTATAAAAAGTTTTTGTCATTTACTTTTGGTACCACGGGCTCATCTGCTCCTAAATGTTTCCAAAATTCCTCTGATTCAGATCCCATCATTTCAGTAATGATTTCTGATTTATTTTTTCTCTCATTTTTATTAATTTTTTCAGATAATAATCTTGACTTAGATTTTAAGGTATTTTTCGCATTTTTGCCATACCACATAAAAATAGTTATTCCACAATCCAGAACAAAAACAAAATTCGGGTCTAAGGATTGAGGATCAACAGGCACAGGTTCTAAATGTATAGAAGCGCCAGCTGCATGAACTCTGTATAATCTTGTGACAGCAGGCTAAAAATAAATCAAGTGTTAAAATTTATTTAACAGCAATTACTAGAAAGTACTAAAAATATTTACAGTGTCTTCAACGGTGAAAAAGCCGGAGGATGTACGACCTCCTTCAATATACGTAATACCAGATTCAAAAAGCATTAAAAATTCGTCAGATTCATCTGCTTGCTCTTCCCTAATTGTTCGACATTGAGCTCCAAGGAAATTTCGTAAATTAACCGCATGAATAGCCGCACAAGCTCGTTTATCAAGCTGAAATAGTAATAAAATAATTTAACACCTTATGTCTTAATTAAATAATACTTATAGTTTAATATAGCCTATAAAATTTACTGTAGCTTTTTCTCCAATCCAGAAATATATCGACCACACAAATGAACCACTGTCATCAATGCTTGTTTTTAAAATAATGTAGCAATCTCCTTCATAAAATTTTCCATGAGCAACTTCATCAATTTGATTTGGTAAAAAATTTTCAATTTCCCAAATAGATAATCCAGGAACTTGGCCAGCATCTTCATCGAAAAATTCAGAATAATCAAGAGGTGGTTTTTCCAATGTTTCATCCCATCTTTTCGGTCTGAACAAATATATTAAATTAGAAAAAAATGTCAAATGGTCATCAAGATGAAATATTTATTATCTTACTTCAATGATTCTGTTTTAATATCTTTGCAATTGCTGTCCTTATTTTTATCTATTGCTATATCTTTCATGCCCTTTAAAATTATAAAATAATAAATTGGTTAATGCTCTAAATTTTTAAACGAGAATTTAATAAAGTTAATATTAAACCTTTAATATTTTTGCTTGATCTTGATCAGCTTCCTCTTGATCGCGACGTCTTCTCAGCCTCATTTTTCTTGCAATTGGATCTTTACTACTGTCTGTTCAGAATAAAAATGTAAAGAAAATTATCATGTTAATGTTTTTCAAAAATATGCATTTATGCAGTAATTCTAGCCATATTTACTTGCTGTCTGTGCAGGTGCTGGAATATTGGCTCCAGCCAAGCGCAACTGATGTTGTAAAGAAAAATCGATGTTATAAAATTCTACACCTGATCCTTTTTGAACTTCTGTAGGTTTTGGAGGCATAACTAAATTTGGATTATCTCTTAAATCTAGACAATCTAAATCAGTCAGTAAGTGTATAGCATCCGGTACCGTTATAAGTCTGTTAGAAGTTAAAATTAATTGTTTCAAAGACCCACATCTGAAATAGTAATGGTTAAAATATATATTTTTTGTTAATATATATATCAAGATAATAAAATATCGAATTAGCTTTATCTGACCTGCAAAGTCCTTCTGGAATCATTTCCAGACGGTTTTTGGCTGCAGAGAAGACTTGCAAAGAAGAAAGCTTCCCTATTCCTGAGGGTATGCCTTTGAAATCCAATTCATTATCATTAAGATATAATCTTCTTAGAGATGACATTTTACAAAGTGAAACAGGTAAAGCTGTTAATTTATTACGACATAGATTTAATGTTTCTAATTTTTGCCACATTTCTGAAAAGTAAAATTTAATTTTGAAAATATGAAAATCAATTGCATTTAAAAGAATTATAATTTAATGTAACGAATATATACCTATAGCTGTTGAGATCTCAGAAATTTGATTGTCACTTAAATTGAGCCTACGTAAGTTTGGCAAAGAATATAAAGCATCTGGTACTTTTGGCAATGCATTCTCTGACAAGTCTAATTCTTGTAAATTTGTCAAACATTCCAAATTAGAAGGAATATTATTTAACGTGCGTTGAGTATTACGCATTTGTAAAGTTGTTAAATTCATCAAAGATGGTAACTGCCTACAAGTTGAAAAATTTAATCAATTATGAAATTATAAAAATTTACCAAGTAATTGAAACAGAAAAAAATTAAATAATACTTTACCTCAATTGAAAGTGGCCAAGTGGGTTGTGGTTTAAATTCAAGGTTTGTAAATTAGCAAGCCTACGAGTTTGAGGAGGTAGCGTTTCTAGTTTGTTATGGCTAAGGTCAAGAAATAGTAGATCCGTTAAATTAATGAACAATGCATTTGGTATTGCTTCGATGCTAAAATAAAATATTATACTGAAATTGACTGCAGCTTTCAAGTAAATTTATACTTAAATTTAAACTTACTGGTTGTGGCTCAAGTTAAGATTAAGTAATGCTCGAGCTTTTTCTAATCCTTCTGGAATTTCTCGTAAATTGTTTTTACTCAAATCTAATGTAGTGAGTTCTTCAAGATGAAATAACTCTGCTGGAATACCACTAGATTTTATATTATTGTTTCGAATATTTAATGTTCTTAAACAAGCTAGTTCTGTAAGTTCTCCAAATAATCTTTCCAATTTATTTTTAGTAAGTGACAAATGTTCCTGTGAAAGATAAGTTTTAGGAAATTTTTTATATGAAGTTTTAAAATTTTAAAGTTCTTTTTATATCAAAATGTATTACCAATTTTAAAAGTTTTCCCATTTCCTCTGGAATTTCTGTCAAATTAGTGCTATCTAATTTGAGCCATTGAATTCCTATCATCAGTCGAACAGATTCTGGGAATTTGCCTTCCTGCAATTTTATAGTTAATTAAATGAGTAAAAAAAGTAATTCTTCATAAAATTATATTGAGTAGAAGCAACAGAGATGTATAATTCAATTCTTTACTCACGGAAAAGTCATTTTTACTAAAATCAACTCCACGAACAAACGGTAAAACTCCTGTGTTAGCCATTTTTTAACTTTTTTCAAGTGATTATTTTTTTATGCAACCAATTGATGTGTTTTATTGAAAATGTCGATCTTCATAAAATTGATATTGAATGGTAACTTTACAAATTAACTGCATTGATATTTTTCTTCAAGATAAAATGATAAAAGTACTTATTTATATTAAGTCCGCATATGTAATTGTTAACGTTATTTAATTGAATCAGTTAAATAAAATCTCTATTAATAAACAACATCACATTTTCGAGAGATTTTGTTGAATATCCATAAGTTTCAGTAGATCATTCACTTTTTAAAAGATCAGATATACGCGAACAATTGCTCTTGCATTTTACACCTGCACTTCAATTAAATTCACATAATGAAATTACATTAACGGTGATAAAAGCTAAAAGTCATCAGAGAGACAAAAAAATTACTCAACAACACCATTAGGTATTGCTGGCACTTCAGAACTATAATAATAGCAGTCAGAGTTAGCTCCTTGTTTCATACTACACAACATCGTAAGTTTCTTAGTAAGCACGGAGCAAAAATATTATGAACCAGCAATTTAAGTGCATGCAGTTAGCAACGAAGCATTAGCTACAACGTGACCGTCATATTCGCGCCCGGTGTGTCATCTGTCAATTTGCCTGTTTTCCATATCTTTCAAGGTGGATCTACAAGAGTCAGAATGTAAATCGCACCATTTAACGAATAGGTGACACAAGTATGATTTTCTTAAATCAGATCGTTTTATGAATTTGTTTTATGTTTTATCGAATAGATTTATTTTTCCTAAGCTGTAGGCTTAGCTGTCTCACCTATCGCATCACAATACGCTCTCGTTTTTACAATTTATAACAAATGATAATGTTACATAATTTTTAGAGGATGAAGGAAATATTTAAAATAAATCTAAATGTATAGAGGATTGTGTATTTTCTGGCATCGTTCATTCTTAGAATCAAAAAGTATTTTAATTTTTTTATTGCCTGAATTTCTAAATTGTATTTGAAAATTTATGTAAAAAAGTACGGAAGATAATTTTCTTTTGACATCCCATCTCGTAAAAAAAGAATTTCATCTTTTATTTCCTTGAATTCTTGAAAAATATGAAGATCTGTCCAATATTCATAAACATAATTAACTTTTAATTTTTCTAATTTTTAATTAATAGAGTACAGAAAAAATTCTTGGGTCAATTTTAATCAAGCCAGGTTCAATGCTCATTTATAAAAATTTTAAAACTACTAAAATGTATTTGACCTTTTCCACGTTATTCTATCCATTAGGATTTGGATTCATTCTTTTAATTTAGCCAAGATCCATCTCACTTTCAGTATGACATTAAAAAATAATTAACCATTTTTATAATTTGTATTTTTCATTTTATTATTTAATCTAGTTTTTATTCCATAATTAATGACAAAAGCAGTTGAAATTTTTAAAAACTATAAAGTTAGAAAAAAACGTTCATTGTAAATTAAAACATTTTCTAAAAAAATCTTAGTTCTTCATTTTACTTATTCTTAGCACATACATTGATAATTTTAAAAACAAAATTAAAAGTGATATTTTTCAAATAAAAAGATAATTTCACAACTTCATTTATAAAATTTTCAAAAATTGTAATTATTAGGTTTCAATTTCTTCAACAGAATCACAATGTGGCTTTGTTGATCCATAATTTAAGTCCTTAAATCCTGCTTTCTGACATAATTTCAAAAGATTAGGCAAATTTTTATTATTAGAAATCCCATGATTTTCCTTCAGCAAAGCAGCTGCTAAAGATTCCCCAGATAAATCTTGAAAACCTTTAACTTTTTGACGAGGTATTAAAGTTTTGGTGAAAATGCTATAGCCAATTTGTAATTCAACTTGTGCATGGAGAGATAATTGTTCACTTGTATTGTTTTTAATCCAACTTTTTGTGTAATCTTTAGCCAAATCTGTCCAATCACTTTCATCTTCATGATGTGAAATTGAAGTCAAAAATATATCGATAATTGGTGTTTCTTCTTTTAAAAGATTCTCTGGGATATCCACAAGCTCATGAGCACTAATTTTTTCAATTATTTTTCCATTATCTATATTTCTAGCTCTGATGTATTTTGGCTTCTTTGTTTCTGGTACTTTTTCTACAATCAATAGTACTTGAAGACGAATCAAGTTGTTAGAGCGATCTTTCCATAAGTAAAATTGGCCAATATCAACATTTTCAACAGATCTCTTATTTTCAAGTGAATCGTAATACTTTTTTAATTCTTTGTTGATTTTAAAAATATTGTATGATAATGGTATGATTTGTCTTTTGCCAGTAGATTTACACTTAGTAATGCATTCAAGTATGCGAGCTGCGAAGTGAGAAGCACTAAAAATATGTGTAATATGAATTTTTAGCTCATCTCCTATGTTGATGTTGAGAATTGGAGTATCAACCTCTGAAATAACTCTATGTCTATATGAGCAAGTATCTAAATTACAGCTGCCAAAAGATTTTGTTTTGACACACAATGGATGGTTCTTAATTTTCATATTACCTTTTAAATCTAAGCCTTCTGCTATTTTATCCCAATCTTTAGGTAACTCAACATTTAATCGTTTTAAAATAGCGACCATTCCTTTAAAATGAACATATTCTTTAGTCTCATCAAATAAAATCAAATTTTTACAATTAATTTTTTTGTCACGCTCCCAATTATCCATAAATACACAAAATCGCCTGTTAAACTGAGTTTTTGATGAATCTGTGAGAGAATAATGTATCAAATATTCAATGCTCCAAATATGCAAATCTGTCAGGACATCATCAGTACATATTATAACTGGGTACATTCCAGGTAAAAAATGATGCCAAGCTTCTCTAGCTTGATTAATTGTAGTAGCTAGCATGTTATTATGAATCAAAAGTGTTTCAACTGACTCTGATCTAAAATAATGATCTAAATCGATAGCTTCTTGATTGTGGGTACAAACAATCATAGTTTTGACCTCTCGATAATTACTTAAAACTTTTAGAACTTCTTCATTTTTTTTACTAGAAAGTCTTATCAACATTCTTCCTTGAACTCTTGAAAAAGAAGCTGCTTCTATGTAAGATCCAATACAAATATAAGGAGATACCATAAATTTATGTATAAAATCACCAATTTGAAGTGTCCAAGTTCTTGAAACACATATAACTTGTGTAGTCTCACTTTCAATGACACTTTTATTTTTGAAAATAATTTTATATTTTTGAATTAAAAGCAATACTTGACTCAAATATTTGTCCAAAATTATATCTGCTTCATCTAAAACTAAAAAAGATAATTCAGAGACGTCAAGTTTATTTGAAAAATTTTCTAGAATTTTAAGCAACAATGGTGGAGTGGCGACCATAACTTGAAATTTGTTACAAATTTCCACCATAATTTCTTTGTTTGTTATACTATTGGCTGCCCCAAAAACTCGACATTTAGTACATTCTAGAAGGGTTGAAATCTTTTTAGCAACATCCAAGCATTGATTAACAGATTTGCATAGAATCAATGCTATTGGTTTGGTTTCTAATGATGCTTTTGCTTTTTTCATGATAGCAATTTCATTTTCAGATAGATAGTTTGCTATTCCTACAATATAACTGACAGTTTTACCTGCAGATTTAGCATCAATTGCTACAATATCAAGTTTTTTTTTAAAAGCTGGCCAAATGTAACTTTGGATTTGTTTTGGCTGCCATACACCTTGACATTTCAGTGCCTTATGTATGGATGAGGTAAATCTTGCATCTGAAATATCATTTAGTGGAGTACAATCATAATTACTTTTGACTAACACTTTATCATAAACTAGTTTTTTCTTAGTTAAACTAATAGTATTTGAAGCACTAGGTGTTGCAGAGGAAAGTTGTTTTATTTCATTCAGGAAACTTTTATCAGATTTACTTTTATTTTTAATTATTTCTGGAGCGTCATTCAATAAAATAATTTGATCCTTTCTTTCATTATTTATGATAGCTTTCAATAACTTATCATTCAAAATTGTTGCTAAACAACTTTTAACCAAAATCTTTGTCAACTGATAATATTTTTCAGCTATGAGTAAATATATTTCTCCAAATTTCTTTTTTGTTTTGATATCATAAGATGTGGTTTTGAAAAATACTTTTTTAGAATTCAAAGTATAATATTTGATTGAATCTATTGTAGATTTATTCCATACTTTAAGCAAATTTCCAGCAGAGTCGATTGGTAAAATGTTGTCCAAGGAGACTGTAGTAGTTAAAGGTTGTATGGGTATAGAATTTGGTGAGTATTTGATAACTGACTCTAATGAAGCTTTTATTGAATGACCAAAGTCAATCAAAAAAATTGTTGCTTTGCCTGATTCAATATCAAGAACTTTACCTCTACATATCCATGCAGGTAAATCTTCATTACTATCATGTGAGATCAAGATATCATCACCCACCAAAGGCTTTTTTGTATGTTCAGCACTTGGTGCTGATTTTTTAATTAAATTGAGCTGCTTTTGTAGTTGTATAGAAAGTTTTTGTTTTTGAGAGTTGAAATGCTGAACTTCATATAATCTGATATAGTAAGGATTGAGAATGTTTGTTATTTTCACTTCTACAGCCGCTTTAGGTAAAGATGTTTCTAAATTATCCATCATCTTAAAAATTTGAAGAAAATGTTGTCTCAGGAGCTCAATTAATAATGAAACACAGATCGAAGTTGATCACTAAGTTATTGATTTTCCAAGACAACTTTAAAATGAAATTACTCCGACTATGCGTTTCATACGAATTATGAATTATCGTTTCGTATCGACTTTCTTCATAAATTTATATTATATATAAATTCTATGAATAACTCATTACACAAAATAATTTGACTATTAAGTCAATAGGTTATGAAAACACTTCTTCAGCCCCAGAATCCAACACTTGTGATTTTTTTGTGAGACAGTGAGACAAAGGTTTTGTGTTTACGCTTTACCTGTTCACTGTTGACACCGGAACGTGGTTTTGCCAACTTAAGTCCCTAACCTGCAAGACATGCAGACAGCAGAGTACAAACAAGTTACCGGTTACCCTGCAGACCCCGCAGTCTGCAGTAGCCAATAAGGAAAAAAGTTAGATTTGGTCGCTGCGGCATGTGCCAGAAACGCGTTTTTCACTAAAGCTGTCCCTATTGTTGAAAAAGTACTTAGGTGTACACAACACACCAATATTTTTTTCTCGAGAATCGTTGTTTCAATCGATACTTTGAGATTTCAAGGTTTTTTCCTATTTCTGACACTTCAGTTACCAGGGAGCGATTAAATAATTTTTCAGAGAATCTAAAAAAAAATGTCTGGTGTAAATTAAATCGAAAGAGAACGGAATAGATTTGTGTATATATCGATTGACAGAATGGAATTTATATATGGATGAAAACTATGCTTCATATAAATTTAATATACTTAATTATCTTTTTAGCACGAGAACTAAAGAAAAATAGTTACGTCCTGTAATTGTGTATATCAGATCAATACTTTAGAAGTAGAAGAAAATTTAATGTAATTAAGTTGAATAAGTTTTTTGGAAAATCTTTATCGTTCCCGGGAGGATCATGTTTCAATTTCTCCAAAAAATATTTCGATTTTTACCTTAGCATTCACATGACAATTTGAATTGTTTGTACTCGGTCAATTAGCTACTTTTTCCGATGGATTAAAAATTATTACAATTTTTGAAATATTCAACCCAGAAACCTTAAAAATAATTCATTTTTATGGGCACACACGCTTTAGATTTTATCAATATTTTACCTTTGTACAAATCGAAAAAAGCAGAATAAATGATCACTTATAATTTCTAGAAATATCCAATAAATTTACGTCAATTACATTTTTTTCGATATTGAAGCGCTTTTAGTGCAAATGCATAACTCGAATGTTTTTGACATTTACGGTTACAGAGGGCGCTCAACCCATTGTTAGTAAATTGAGCGGTCTACAGGCCATTCACGTCGAATGTTGTTTTCAAGTTTGAATCCTTAATTGTTAACTTAAGTTTTTTTAGATAAATTAACCATGAGCAGCATCGATGATTCTAGTATTATTGCAGGTATACTAACTTTCTTTCAGCTTCATTAAGTTTTAAACTTTGTAGTAATTATCCTACGACTTTTTACTTGTTGATTCTAGGATTATCCAACCTGTCACGTATTTCCAAAGTCAATAACACGACTTTGTATAAATTTGATTCTACTTGTAATACATCAGAATGGCGTAGCATGTTGACAGATTTTCAAAAAACAGATTTAAAAAAAAATTCAGATTATACTAAAATTAATCAAGCTCTTAGATCTGTAGAAGATAGTACTGCTGAATATGCTATTTTACAGATGATGTACGAGTGTTTGCAGAACACAATTGATAGTGAAGCATCTGGAATGGATAATAAAACCTTAAATAAACTCAGAGATCTTGTATCAATACATGAAATTAAAAAACATCTTCATCTACCTAATAATTCAAAAGATCATAAAGATGAATTAAGTCTGTTAGGGATCATAGATTTACCTAAATATGAATTTACCTATGAAGAACAATTATCAATAAAAAATTGTTTGGAAACCAAAGCAAAGGAAAAACTTGATAAGTTCATACAAATGTCAGTAAATAGGAGAACCTGATTTATTCAATATAATATTCTTATTAATTATTCATCTTTTTTATTTTCAGATACAAAAGTTATGTGGGAACAATAAAAAATTTATCAAAAAACAATGAATCAATGCTTTGTCAACGATTTCAACAAAAAGGAGAACTAGAAAATATACACTGGAAGGAAAAAATCGAAGAAGTATGCTATGAGTATCAACGAGACTTATTGTACTGTTTAGAATTGTTGAAACAATGGGAAGACATTAAAAGTAGAGTTAATAAAAAAAATACAAAAGATGCAGAGAACTTATTGCTCCAAGCAGAAATTGCAGAGAAAAAAGCTATGATTACAAAGCTTACTTGTACCATTCGCATGTACCTGGAGACTCCTGTAACTGTAGATGCCTTTAGAATCCTCAATAACAGTTTAGATGATAAATTAGCGTCTGTTACTCAAGAAATCCAAACAAAAAATGATTTACTGAAGGCATACAGTGCATTAAATGGAACAGAATACGATGAAATCTTAAGAAAATACTTGGAAATTTGTCATGTTATAAAAAAAAAGAAAAAATTATTAGAGCAGTTGTGAATAAACTATTGTACGTATTAAGTATTTTTGTATATTTTATATATGAGAGTAAAATTGTTTGCATTTGAAGATATATCCTCTTGAAGATGAATTTAAATTTCAAGTTGTATTCATTCATATTAATAAGACTCATGGATATTTATAGATAGGATTATTTTATTTGTGAAAAAATTACAAGAATCATTAACTAGTATATTTCAAGCTTATAAAAATGTATTTATCATCATCACCACCAAAAAATGTTATAGTGATATATTTTTTGATTTTAAGTTAATAAAATAACAGAAAATAAGTTTAAAACAATCACATTGTACTTTCATGAGCACTTTTTCCATACTCTTAACTATTAGATTTATTCTCAACACTAGAACATAATTGTTTATGCAAAGCTTTACATTTTCATTTTTTTTTCTTGGCTCCTATAGCTTTCTTATTATCACCCCAAATTAATCCATTTAATTTTTCACCAACAAAATATAAACCTATAACAAGTAACAATAAAATAGCGTAGAATACTATTCTTAATGGCCAGGATAGAACTTCAATGACTGGATAAGCCCAAACTCCACTTCTGTAATAAACATAGTGCATCCAGCATAAATAAGTAAGCATAAAGGTGATCAAAGCTTTAATGCCTTGTGATCGTGTTGGATACTGTCTGGATGATATTATCATTTCCAGCAGAGTTGTAAACATTATTAAAGTATGCATAAGATGATTGAGCCATCCTGGAAAGTAAGGATCAAGCGCCTTTGGTAGAACTAGTTCACGATCGACCGCCATAAGCGCCCAGAACGTCACTCCGACAAACATGGAAAGGGGAAATCCTATTGACGCGTGCAAAAAGTCTTTGAACCGTCGAATCCATGGTTTTTGTTTCTCGTCGTCCTTGTTGCTGCCGATCAAATCATTGAGCAAACACACCATTGAAAAAAACGTCTGAATCAGCAAGTTCCATATCGTGAGGTATTTCAGTTGTCCTACGTCGAACTTTTTAAATCGTTCTTGCATGAACGGTATGTGCATGACGAAGAAAGCGTAATAAACGGTGAAGACGTAAAGGCCAGATATTATGCTGTGCGTGAACGTCGTCATAATGGATGCGGCCATTTTTTTGGTACGGTAAACAATAGCATACACTGGATGTTGTCCTGCGGGCGAAAGACCGCTGCTCAAACAACCACTGGCTCTGACCACTGAGCAGCAACTACTACGGAGCTGCTCGAAGTAGACCCGCGACACATAGCGCCTGCGAAAGAAGGATAGAGATGGTCAACACATACAGCTGATAAACAATGCTTATAAGTAGTGGTTAATTATGATTCAGACGTAACGCCTGGTAGTTTTTGTATGTTTTGAAATTTATTTCGAAATTTTTCGATTAAATTTCTTGTGCATAGTTTTTCAAGTATATTATTTAAAATCAGAACTCGATTTATATTAAAAGTAAAATATATTAGAAGTATCTTTTAACCGATTTTTATATCTGTAGTTTCATTAAAATCTTGCGTCAGTAAGACTAATTCCTTGCATGAAATGTTATTAACCACAACTTTGAATGAAAATTAGTCAACTTTTTCAATTTTTATACGAGTGATTTTAATTTTGTTATAATTCAAATTTAAATTTTCTAAATAGTTTAATGTATTTGAATAGCGATGGACGTAAATAGCGTTATTGAAGAGTCTATGGGCGAAAAAATTGCACAAAATTATATACGGAAAATTTTTTGTAGCAATCACTATGACCTTTCACATCAACGTCTGAGAGTGATTGGCAATCGAAAAATATTTTCGATAGCAACTAAAACTTATATAATCACCAGTTAAACAATGAAACGTGATAAAAACGTACGTAGTAGATAAGTTTTCATTAATTCCTGAGCTTTGATGGATATTAAGATCATGATAAATTTAATTTAATCGAGGAAATAACGAAGCTCGAGTGAAAATCTTTCTGATACGTTTTTCAATAATTATTTTGTCAGAAAATTAATTCATTTTCCGAATAAAATAAATAAAATAAAGCCTTTATTCAGCTTATTAGAAAAAATTTACTGAAAATGTCAAAAAAAGGATTTTAAAAATTTCACTTTTTCGCAGGTCCAGACCACTCCTTGAAAAAACAAGTATGAATTTTTATAAAAATTAAATGTAACGCTACATGCACAGATTTGCACGAATGACTTAGCTAATTTTGTAAAATATTTCGTATTTTTTGACCCCACGCAACAATATAGGTGTTTACATGAAATGCCTATGAGATTGCGTATTTTTTTGATTTAGTGTGAGATGAAGCCAGTGTCGCGATTTATGCATAGTCATATATATATATATATATATATATATAGAGAGAGAGAGAGAGAGAGAGAGAGATCAAATGTGACACGTGCGTTGGCAGTTTCGCATGCTATATACCTCGTCTCTTACAAAAGTTTCATTTATGTATAGATAATTTGTCTACGATCAATTTGCATTTTACGAAACGCACTGCCTATTCGACATTCAATGTTCTGCAAATAATGTACATGAAGTTTTATAATAATTAAATATGAAAAAGATGTACTAGTAACATTTAATGCAATGTTTCGATTGGCTGCTATTTTATAAGTGATAATTGCAGGGTTAAAAATTTGAATATCAAAATTTGCACCCATAGGCAAATGCTTCTAGTCGAAAAAATGTGTCAAGTTCATGATCGATCGCTACTACCTGCATAAATGAAATTCTTTCTATAGTAAAACATACCTTTTCAAATAGTAAATGGCGTACGTGATGTGGAGCAGCATTTTTCTTCTATTTGGTAACAATCTCTTCTTTTTGTATAAAAAAAACAACTACTTTGATAGGAACAAAATAAAAATAAACTTAATTACTAAATAATACTTGAAAGTCAGATTCTCTTTAGTTGGGTCAAGTTACAGTAATGTAGTTATGGCAGAGTATCACACAGTGTCACATGGCATAGTAAAATACTGACTAGGCTAGTATGTAGAACAAACCCTACATTACGCATTGTCTACACATTTATTTCTTGTACATATAGTTGTCAGGTGCAATTTGTATTAAATTAGGGGTCGGTCACTATTTACTGGCTAAATTGTTTAGAATCTTTAAAGTAAACGAATTGGCGAATAGTCTGCAGTCTGCACCACAGACCATGCGGAGCGTAGCATGTCTTTTGTAATCGGCTTTAACTTATCTAAATTCTAATATCTACCAGAGTCTAGACTTCAAGAGGCAGATTCGCTTCGGCTGCTGCAATTTCGTTGTCCGCCATCTGTGAACGTTTTGAATAAACTAAAAGTTGTATGACAATCAATTCAATCGGCCGCACCGCACCTTTTGATTTTTCTATGTGCAGCCTGTCGTCAAAGCCGGAACGACTGCTTCAACAAATGAACAACGACAAATTGAATTTTTACTTACAGGCCCAAGTAGCTATTCCAATGTCCTTTCTGTATGTGTGAAAAACATACGCTATGCGTATGATTGTTGCATGTAGGTAAGTGTGAACTTAGTTATTTCTTTTATTATAAATAAATTGGAGCGCGCTTTGTTTAATAGTAAAACTACCTATTTCAATTGTTATAAGTCAAAAGTGAATAACTTAAAAATCTGCCTATATTTTCTCTTCTCGGAATTAAATCAACTCCGTTTTTAACTATATAATTATGCTGTATTTTCATCAAGTTGTTTACGTATTATTAATAATAACGCTGATAATGCAGCGATTTCTATTAATGGTAATAGAAAATAGTGGAAAAGTTTTGCTTCGTCAAAATAAACAGTAGCTCCATTATTACAATTTTCTAGCGGTTTTGATGCAGTCTGACGCCGCCATTTTTTACTTCGGCCAATCGCATGTAAACAAAACAATAGTGACTCTCTCAAACTTGATATTAACTAGTGATCACGGTGTTCTTAATGCACATGCGTAATATTTGAAAAGGCCAGTAAAGAAGTCGTTCGAAAAGCCTGTTGTCAGTTACGTAGTTCGGTCTAAACGGACAAAAAGTAAGTTGCGCCGTACATAATTTCAGAAATGCTGTTTGGCGCTCAAACATGCCGTCGTATTGATGCCGGCTTTGTTATGATACGCGATGTAGATTGTTTACGCCTTTTATTTACATTTCTGATTCGAGCATTGTTAATTCTCGGTAATTAAAAGTGGAGCATTTGAAGAAAAAAATTATTTTCCTTTCAGGATTAGAGCTGTGTGTATATATCCAACAAAACGTCAAATGATTCTGCAGAGTACTTCGTGAGCCCTTAGTTGAAGTGATTCATATAATTGGCTATTTCCATTGAAACATCGAAGTTATCAAAGAATAAAACAAGATGGATTTTCCTGCTACTCAAGCAATGGATGATGATTTTCCTGCAACTCAAGCTGTTGAAGCCTCTCAAGTTCCTAATGAAAAAGTTTTGGTACATTTGATTGCAGACTTTAGATTAATTATTTATACCATATAAATGAAAACAATGATGGCAATGTTCATATTTTTTTTTACAGATTGGAACATTATGTATTGATGAAAAAACTCATCAAATTTATACAGGTACTACAACCATTGGCAGGCATCCAGGATGTAACGTATTTATAGATAATCAGGTATGAAAGAATTACAAATGAATAATATTGCATGGATTTTATTATTATTACCTTGATTATTAGAATCTATTGATACTTTCTACTTTGATTTTTCTACTTTGATTTTTCTACTTTGATAATTCTATTTCAACCCTGTTCAACGCTTTTAAATAATTATTCATTTTATTATAAAAGAAAATAGATTTTAGAGTTCTTCTTTAACGTATTGCGATTTAATTCCAATTTTGTTTTCATTAAAATTTATTGAATTCCAAAATATTTTTTCTCCCAAGTTACTATTATTTACAATTTCAAACTGCCCTGGTCCAGATATTTGTAAATAATTAAATGCTTTATTGGTTTGATCAACTTGGGGCCAATCAACCCCTACATCTGGAATCCTATAGATTATTTTAATTATTTTAGTAATAATTTATGATATTTTCAAAAAGCTGTTAAATTACCCATTTTTAGTAACTGAAAGCCATAGGTTAATCAAATCTTTTTGCATCTCTCTGTCACTTGGTTTGATTGTAGGATCAATATATGATTGTTCGATTACTAAGTAAGCATCATCGCCATGAGAGACACCTTTAACAAAATATTTAGCAAATAAGAAGAATGTTTGCAAAGATTAATTTGTAAAACAAGTTTACCAAAATTTCTAGTTGTTCCACTCATAGTGTCACTCAAACTTTGTGCTGCTCTATAACGATAGTAATAAAACCATACTGGACTTTTATTAGATTTTGCTTGCATTCTAGCAGCTTTTTCAGCATCAATGACAAATAATCTATCACCCACTAATTGAATCAATGACTTGACTGTTTTTTTATCAATAGGTTCAGATCCTAAATAATGTTGTTTTATTTTTTTTGCCACTCTACTATGATTTTCTGGAGAAATGGTAAAATTATAATCTAACAAGAATGGTGCAATTTTCTCCCAATTATCGTCCAAGTTCTTTAATAGAAATTCATCAGCAACAAAATCTGAGAAAATTATGTGTGTCATTATTTGTTCCATTATTTGAAACTATTACAAAAATGTTACAACCAGCTGCAGGATACAATCCTTCTTCACTTACAACCCCAGTAATCCATGGAACATCTTGAATTTGCCCACTTGCAATTAAATCTGCTGGGCTCTTATTTATAAAAAAATTATCCTCAGTTTTTTCCACAACTGGACCAAATGGTGTAACAGGATTGTATAACCAAGGCTAAAATGTGTTATTACAGTTATTATTATTACTTTATTTTGATTACATTAATTTATCTGTATAATCACTACTACCATGAAATGGGATGTAGCTTGAGCAATTGATTTTGATGGACAATGCCTAAGGCATTCTATCATTTCTTCAGTATTATTAGTTTGACAGCCCATCAAAGCTCCTAATTTTTTTGCTTTCTGCAATGGTTTTTCTGTTTGGACCCAACAAAGCAATGCTGTTCCACTAAATGATATTCCATTTTGAAATAGGCCAGCACTCATAGGAGATAAATAATGATAATGAACACTGGCACCTCCAGCACTCAGTCCAGCAAGAGTAATTTTTGTATTATTTCCTCCAAAATTTCCAATGTTATCATAAGTCCATTGCAAAGCTAAACTTTGATCTTTCAGTCCCATGTTGCCAGAAACAATGCCATTTTCAGTACTTAAAAATCCTTATAATTTACATGTTACTTGAATCAGATTTAAATAATATTAATATTGTATTAATAATTATTCATTTTTAAATAAATTACCAAAAGCTCCTAAGCGGTAATTGACTGTTATCAAAATAACATTGTAATCTATTAAATATTTTGCTCCAAAAATTGAACCTGCGCCATATTGGAAACAACCCCCATGAATCCAAAATATAACTGGCAGTGATGAAATATTTCTCTCTTGAGTTGGTACATAAATATTCAAATACAAACAATCTTCATCCCCCACAACCCTTTCATTTTTATTTTCTGGTATATGACTATATTGAATACATTCTTTACGAGTCTTTGTTGCTATCAGTTCTTCTGTCCATGGTGAAATTTTTTTTGGTGCCTTTATATATTTATTTTCAATGGAATTAAAAATTATTGTATTGTATGATGTCATAAAACCATTTTAATCTTAGTTATTATCACCTGAAATCTTAATTTTCCTACTGGTGGATGAGCATAAGGAATTCCTTCATAAGCTTCATAGAGTCTACCTTGATATGATTTTTTGTAGTATCCTCTTATCCATCCAGAAGAAGTTTGTACTGTAGGTTCATTTTTTTGAGAATCGATGATCACAAACATAAATGTTAGTATGATTACCTCACGTTTCATTTTTGGCAAGAGACAAAATGAAATCCACTTGACAACTATCATGTTTGAGAAGAAAAATGAATTTAAATAATTTCTGTCTTTTTTGTAACTTACATATTTTAATGGTACAATATGTAATGTATACATTTGTTTCCAAGCTGTCTTCTGTAAAGTTAATATGTTATTTCACACTGCTTTATGAAATATGATATGTTCTTTTGTTCTTTTAAAAATGCCCTCAAGGTAAAATATAAAATAGTATGTATTGTATGACATTGTTTTAATAACTCTACTTTTAACATTTATTTGTTACATGTTTATATTCTCAAAAATAAAATTGTTTTAGGCATAATAATAATTTTCTTTTTTCTTTACAGACAGTTTCTAAATTTCATGCTGAAATTGAAGCCCAGTCACATCATGGAACAATTTTCATTAGAGACCTTAAATCCAGTAACAAAACAAGAATAAATAATGTAAATTGATGAAAAAATCCATGTCAATGTTTAAAAATAGCTTTTAGTATTAGTAAAATAACTAAGTATACTTATCTTTTTCAGTCCAAATTAAGACCCGAATGTAATTATCAGCTAAAAAATGGAGATGAAGTAAGATTTGGTACTGTTCTAGCAAAGCTCCATATTATTGGTTCGATTGATGATTCTTTTGTGTCAAGTACTCCTTTGAATATTAAAAGAAAACATATAGTGATTCCTGGAACACCTGATACTTCCATGGTACATAATCTTTTTTATTAATTATATAAAAATAAAAATATACTTTATTAGCTAAGCATTTATTAAAAATATTTTTTATTTTTAGAATGAGAATAGCTTAAACTTAGATGATACTGATGATTCTGTAATCCAAGCAACTCAGCCCGGTAAAGTTTCAATGATTGCAAAATATGTAAAAGCAATATGAAAAATAAATCAATAACGTGTACATCATTTTAATAATTTTAGATAAATTGACATCAAGAAATGGGAGTAATAAATATACAGTAAATCTGGGCCAGGATTCAACAAGTCATAATGTATCGTACAAAGAAAATTTGAATAACAGTATTTATTCTGCAGAAACGCAAAAATCAAAAGATGTTGGTAACCATAATGAATCGGACGAAAACATTTTTGAAATGGAAACACAGCAAGTTCATAATGATATTATGCATAAACAAGAAAAACAACAAATTGATAATAGGAAGTTAAATATTTCTAAAAATGTATCAAATGATGTTTCGATATACAGTGCTGACACTCAAAAGATTCTTAACAAAAGCAATGATTCATCACACCTTCACGCAAGTAAAACATTTGATGCATCTATACATAGTGCAGAAACTCAAAAGTACAAAATTGATGAATCAGAAGTAAAAGAACGATGCTTTACTGATGATTTGTCAGATGTTTTGAATGAATCAATTAATGAAGCAGAAACTCAACAATTTAACAAAGAACTATGTCAAGTTAATGATGAACAATCTAATAGTAAAATCGAAAAATTTGATGATTTTTTTTATGAGGCTGCAACACAAAAATTTGAACAACAAAAAATGTGTGGATTAGATAATTCCCAAAATAATAGTGACTCAAACAAAAATAATTTTCTGAAACAAATAGGAGATCCATTTGATGAAATTGAAACTCAGAAATTCCATGACAGTAGTTCACCCCAAAATAAGGACAAAGCATATCAGTTCAAAACACCCAAATCTTCAATTGAACAAAAAAGAAAGAGTAACTTGAATCAATCTACTAAATCCATTTATGATATGGAAACCCAAGAATTTCATAAAAATATATTACCTAGAAAATTATTAGATGAAGAAGAAACTCAATCATTTATTAAAGAAGATCTCAGTAAACACAAAAATTCTCCTTCTATGAGCAGTTCTTTGGAAGAAGCTGAAACACAAAAATTTGTACTAGCCAAACCAAGTGAATTTCTAACACCCAAATCTCTCAGTAAATCAATGAACAAAAGTAGCTCAAACCAATCACCAAAATCAATTGGTGATATGGAGACTCAGGAATTTTGTGAAAAAAATGTACCTAGAAATTTATTGGATGAAGAAGACACTGAACCATTTACTGAAGATCTTATTAAACAGCAAAATTCTCCTTCTATCCATAATTCATTGGATGAAGCTGAAACACAGAGATTTGAACTTGATAAACAATGTTTGTTTAAAACACCTAAATCCCACAGTAAATCAATGAACAAGAGTAGCTCAAACCAAACACCAGAATCAATTAGTGATTTGGAGACTCAGGAATTTTGTGAAAAAAATTTACCTAGAAAATTATTGGATGATGAAGACACTGAACCATTTACTGAAGATCTTATTAAACAGCAAAATTCTCCTTCTATCCATAATTCATTGGATGAAGCTGAAACACAGAGATTTGAACTTGATAAACAATGTTTGTTTAAAACACCCAAATCCCACAGGATATTAATGAAAAAGAGTTACTTAAACAAAGCTACCCAATCGATTCATGATATAGAAACCCAAGAGTTCTGTGAAAATAAATTACCTAGAAAATTATTAGATGAAGAAGAAACTCAAAGATTTATTAAAGAAGATCTCAGTAAATGTCAGAATTCCCTGTCATTCAAAAATTCTTTGGATGAAGCTGAAACACAGAAATTTGAACTAGATGAACAATGTTTGTTTAAAACACCCAAATCCCACAGTAAATCAATGAACAAGAGTAACTTGAACCAATCTACTAAGTCCATTCATGATATGGAAACCCAAGAATTTCATAAAAATATATTACCTAGAAAATTATTAGATGAAGAAGAAACTCAATCATTTATTAATGAAGATCTCAGTAAACACAAAAATTCTCCTTCTATGAGCAGTTCTTTGGAAGAAGCTGAAACACAAAAATATGTGCTAGCCAAACCAAGTGAATTTCATACACCCAAATCCCTCAGTAAATCAATGAACAAGAGTAGCTCAAACCAAACACCAGAATCAATTAGTGATTTGGAGACTCAGAAATTTTTTAATGCATCAGTTAAAGTGACCAATCAGAATAACTCAATTGGTGAAGGAGAAACTCAACAATTCAGCAAAGAAGAACTCAGTAAATTCCAAAGTTTATCTGCTGTCAAAAATTCACTACAAGAAGCTGAAACTCAAGAATTTGGGAGAGTTTATTCAAAAAGCGTGAATAGATCATCTACTTACACATCGGTTGGTAACAAACTTGAAAATATATCACGTAAACAACACTCTGCTTCAATTAAGTCTAACCAAATGGATATAACTCAAGATGGTGAATTTTTTAATACTTCTTTAAAAAGAAATTCTTCAGGAAAAAAAGTTTTTCCTTCAAATTATGAAATATCTCCGAAACTTTTGAAACCAGAAAGAAAAAATACTTCTAAGACAATGAATGATTCCATTTCATTAAAACAAATTGATGGAAGCTCTAATAATTCTAGTAAGGAAATAGATTCTTCTAGTAAATTAGTTTCATCCCCAACAGAAAACATGAAAAAACAATTCAATTCTTCCAAAAACATTTCTTTTGACAATAGGTCGAAGAATGATAGTAGTATTTTCAACAAAAAAGATTTAGCACAAGTTGATGACAATGAATTGGATTTGTTTTCTCAAAATGATGAAGATATTTTTGCTCCATATGAAACTGAAACTAAAGAATCCAAAACTTTCGAAAGTTCTAAAACTTCCAGTACAATTTTAAATACAAACAAAACTTCATTAGGCAAGAGTTTCAGTTTTATTTATCAAAGATCACCCTCGCCAGAATCTGATGATAATATATTTGATGATGATTATGAAGAAAAAATGAAATCCAAACGTTCACTCGTAAATATTCCAAATGCTTCTTTCGTTAAAGCAGAATCATTGGTAAAATCTTCTGTAACAATAAAAAATGCACAGATTTCAAATACTTTAGACGATGATGTTGATGAAATTGGTCCTACCCAACCAGTTAATACTTCTACTTTTGATACCGAAGATATTCATTTAGCTGTAACTCAAATTGCAACTCAAGGGACAAAAAAAAATGTTCCTGGTTCTACAGTCAATCAAGACGACGATTCTTTAGCTCCAACACAACTCATTTTCAATGACAGCTGTGATTTACCTCAAGAAAAGGATTTTGATGAAATTGATTTACCTTGTACTCTTAAAATATCAACACAACAGTTGGATGAAGATTTAGCTCTTTCACCAAATACAAGACGATGTAGTCATCCTGATGAAAGTACTAGCATTAATAATTTGGGAAGAGATATGTCTATTGCTGAAACAAAAAATGAAATGAAAAATGCGAGTAACATCAACAGATCGAAACGTTTCTCCAATGAACTTGAAGTATCACCTAGAAAAAGATTTCGACAGTCAAGTTACGATAGTGACACAAAAGAAAAAATGTTTCAAAACATGGAAGAAAATTTAGAAAAAATATTTGAGGGAGATACAGAAGAAGAGCTTACTGTTGCAAAGTCCACGTTGCAAACCCAACAACTCAAAAATATTCTTGAGGAGAGTCAACTTGAAGATAGTTGTCAAGAAAATTCAAGTAACACCAAATCGTCACCAACTCTAGGAAAAATTTCTGGTTCTAAAATAATCGAAGATTTTCATCAACCAACTTCTCATTCTTCTTCTAAATCAAAAACATTAAATACCAATCTTAATGATACTATTGAACAAAATCTCTGTGAAATGTTCGAAAATAATTCTAATGATGTATCATCTCATCAACCGGAAATTATGATGACTCAGCAGTTGACAGATGTTCTTGAATCTCAATCAGAACAAAGTGCAGAAGAAAAGAAATCAGAACTTACTACAACAGGTGAAACATCCAAGAAAAGCTCTGGGAGCGAGAGTAGTAAAACCGAAAATCAGATATGTTATAGACGCGGCACTATAGGTTTTGATCTCGATTTAAACTGTGTCAAATCAAAAGAGCGAGTAGCTGTATGCCCTTTGATTACTAGTGATAGTCAATCTGACAATGAAGCTACAACCAATATCGAAGTTAACTCCACACCGAGTAGAAAGCGTCTTAGTCTCAGTTTACCTAAAAATATTAATTTGAATGCATCATTGAGAAGTGAGCCTGGAACTTCTAAGTCAAGTTATTCACCGAAAATTAGAAATTCTGCTTCCAAAAAAAGGCATGTTCTATCCCGAGGAACACGAGGATTTAACTTAGACCTACAAGCAATTGAAAGTGAAACTCTCGTCTCGGCCGATTCGACTGAAAATGAAGATGATAAGGTCGGTAGTTATAGGCTTAAATCTAATTTAATGGGTGGGTCACAGCTTAAAAGTAAAATCGCGAGCGAATCTAGTGATTCCGATGACTTACTGGACAATTTACCCGATGTGAAAATAGCCGGTACGAAAGAATGTCCGGCCACCGCTTCGCAATTAGCCGCACCAAGCGATGATGACGACGATGATGTCGAATCAATTGAACCAACTAAAATTCCTCTTAAATGGCGTTGGTATGCTGAGAAACGTTACGATCTTATCTATGAGAACTTAGAAAGGCCTGTTGACACGAAACCGAAATCACGACCTCCGAGCGAACCCAAGCCTCTTTCAGTAGACGATATTTTAGCAAGTCTTGGTCCTCCTGTAACTGATGAAACGAAAAGTAGGCGAACACGACGCACATCCAATTGCACTTTGACTGCACAAAATGAATCTCCACAGACTTTGGTTACAAATAACCCAGACGCGACATTCCAACAAGTGGATACCGACTCAGACAGCAGCTCAGAAGAGATGTTTCCGGAGTACAAACCCCTACCGCCAGCTAAATTTCTAGGACGTCGAGCTACTTTTAACCAACTGGAGTCGAAGCTTGATGATAAGAACTTGGACGATTCTGACGATGAAGAGTTCAATCTTTTGCGCCAACGTTGCCATGAGCTCCTAAAACAACCACAAATTCTTGGAACCAAAAAACTCTCTTCTACTCTCCAGACACCAAAGAACAGTTCATCCATGCCAACGCGCTCTAGTCGACGTCGTCGTAAATGTGCGTCTGACAACTATCAACTAAATTCAAATTCTACTGAACTTGACAATACTGACGATAATGACGAAATCGATGCTAATATTGTTGGGGATGGGCAGGGAAAACAAGTTCAGAGTGAAAATACAATTGCTTCAAAGGATACCTTCGTGTTTCAGGTACCAAACGTTTCGCTAGTTCCTGTCAATCATCCCGAGATGAAATTAGCGACAGTACCGACGACAACTAGGACTACTAATGACGAAAGACAGGGCACTAAGCGAGGGACTCGACAAGAAAAAGATAGTAAAGTGATACCCAAGTTACCAAAAGTATCGGTACTTATATCTCCTCTACGGGAAAAATTTTTAACAAACAAAATAAATCGGCAACTATTATTATCTGCTAACACTGTGTCTATGTTTAAACAGAAAGATGCTGTTCCGAAAAACGACCAGAAATTCGCACCAACCATCAGAGTAACTCGTCGGGATTTTATACCTGATCCCCCATCTTTCGTAGAAAAGAGCTCCAAAACTAGGGGTAAACCAAATGAATCATTGAAAGAAAATTTCAAATTAGATTCTAATGTAAAGAATAATTCGAGGTCTCCTAAAAATAGTAAAAGCAATCAATTGAAGAGAAATCAAAAAAACTTTCCAGAAGTCGCGAAAAGTATTTCAAATGCCTTAATAGATGATTCAGATTCTTCTGATGAATTTGAAGAGTTGAGACTTGCCAAAATGAATAGTCTTAAGCAAGAAAACTCCTTCAATAAAAGCCAGGAATTGGTTAACGATCCCAAAAATTCAGATAGATCAATAATTAGGGGTAACATAAGTTCTACTAGTGTTATAAAATCAGACGATTCAAAAGAGATGAAAGTCTTGCTTAATAAAGTAGATAATTTGGAAAAGACTGAACTAAAAAATAAAAAAAATCACGTTGGAATTACTAAAATTGAGTTGGAAAATTCAAAAATTATTGGTAATAATACCTCAAGTAGAAATGATAAAAGAAAAAAAGTTTCAAACTATTCAGCAGATACTCAAGATAACAGTAATCAAGGAATAAAAAATAAAAATTATAACACTCGAAACACAAAAATGGCCAGCGTTTCCAACTCAATTACTTCACCAATTGCGATTAGAAAATCTAAACGAATAAAAAATAATTTGAAATCCCAAAATTCAGAAATCGATGAAAAAGAATTTGATAGTATGTCTTCAACTACTACTATTTCAACTTCACCAGATAGAAGTTTAAAAACGAAGATTTCTACTTCAAAAACTATCAGAGGTAAACGTAAGAAGAGTTTAGATGAATCCATTCAGGGTGTGAACTCAGCATCTACATATGCTCTTACAAAACAAACGCGGAAAAAAGTTAAAAAGGACGAAAATAATTCACTATTAATAGATAGTGTAAGATCAACAAGATCAAAAAGAAAAATGTCTAATTTATCGCCGCCTGTTTCACCAACAAGGAATAAATTTATTAAAAATGAACAGTCAATATTGACAGATAGCACCACTGCCGTTAAAGTATTATTCATTGGGGAAATTTCTGTGCATCACCGTAAAATTGTATCTCAATTGGGTATGTATATAAAAAAATTGGATAACTCTTAAAATTAAAAGTTTGTATTATGTGGTTGCAATTATTTTTATAGGTGGCATGGAAGTTGATGATATTTCCAGGTGCTCAGTTGTAGTCTGCGAAAAAGTTCAAAAAGATTTTAAATTTCTCTCCTCATTAAGTCGTGGTATTTCAATTGTGTCATTGAAATGGCTTGATGCTAGCAATAAAGCTAAGCAGTTTTTAAATTACGATGACTATATTTTGAAAGATAAAGATGCTGAATCTAATTATAGATTTAATTTGAATGACAGTATAGAAAGAGCAAGAAATGTGAAACTTCTTCAGGATTACACTGTTCTGATTGCACCACGATTGAAAACAATATCAGTACCCGAATTGAAAGGTAAATAAACTAAGTACATAAGGGAGGTTTTCAGTTCTTACAATTGGAAACAATAGGTTGTTTAAAAATTAAGTATTTTCAATGCTTATTTGAAATTTAATCAAATTAAAGAACATATTTTCAACTATGTGAAGTTAATCTAAAGTGTCAATTTTACGCAAATTTATGTTATTAAAGTCTTAATAATGAGTTGGGAATTTATACTATTTTTTTAAGAAAAATGTATATACTCTAATATTTTTTGCATTAATTTTATTTCCAATTCTTGCAGAATTAGTAATTACTAACGGGGGTAAAGCTTTAGTCAGAGCTCCGAAGAATTGGGACAGAAAACTTGTAATAATTGGAGAGGAGTCAGATTTAGATAGAATGCTGAAATTCATGGAAAAGGCTCCGAATACTGTTACAGTACATTCAATTGAATTCATCTTGACTGGTATACTAAGACAAAAATTGAGTTTAACAGAATTCAAATTATCATTATAGTGATAATTTGATAATTTATAGAATTCATCGTGTATCAACTGTACAAAACTTATTTAAATTACACGACGACTAGTTGTTCAATATTAAGACATAGATTATTTCTTGTAAATTATTAATATAAGATTATTATAATTAAATTAAATTGTGAAAGTAATTTTTTTTCAAAGTGTATTTGTTACATTTCTGTATGTAATTGTCTTCTTAATGTTATATTTTGTGGAATTCTCGTTGAAGGTATAGATATTAGATGATAAATAATGAAATACCAAAAAATTGTATTTATTTATCTAAAACTATGTTAATTGTTTTAAACTTATTAAATTGCATCAATGTTGCAGAATCTTTTCATTTTGTCATAATCTCGTAGCTAATTTTTATTTATAATGTCCTCGAATGATAATTACAAGACTATCAAATCAATAATATCCCAAAAATAAACTAAACTCATAAAACCATTAGTATTGAACAAAAATCCCGCTCCTAAGATAGTGAGTGACGTAAATTGCTGCTCACGCGTATTACAACGCCGTATGCGCAACTTGAGCAAGTTCGTAACTCTCTGCTTATGAATTTAGAACTGCATAGCAGTAGCCAATGCCATCTCCGAATTTACGAATTACCAACCTCTCTTACCGCGACCGGAGTTGAGACTCGAGTTGAGCAACCCCGGTGTGAGGCCCTCAGAGTTCGATTACTTTGTCAGTCGCGTCATACTTTTTATCAATAATCGATTATTGGGTTATTGATAACATCAAAATAAAAAGTTGTCATAAATTAAATAGTTGCTACATTCAAGACTAAAAAGTCTAGTTAGCAACTTCATTATAAATGGCTACTATCACAGAAGAACCTGATCAAGACAGCGGCATGGGCAGCAGTGATGTCAGATCACCCGAGGTTAAGTCATTATTACCACATGACGACGAAGAGGAAGATGATGAGGAGGTAAGGGTTTTGTTTATACTGCATTATTTTTAGTGATGCAATGATATAATTTTGCATTAAGGTCTTATTTGTGCAATTATGTTCGTCTTTCCTTATCATATAACTGCTTAAAATTTTTTACTGATAGTGTATTATCACTCAATAAAATATTCATTATTAACTACATTAATTTTTCAGGATGAAACCCTGGCCGAACGATTAATAGGACTCACAGAAATGTTTCCTGAAAAAGTGAGAAATTTTGCCTATGACTCGGCTATTTGCATGAAAAATTGTGTCAAAGGTACTAACATTGAAGCAATACTTCTTTTTAATAACGATGCAGATTGAATCAATGTAATTTGTATTTACAGGTGCATACTCACTATCCTGTACTGGTACCTGGTTAATTTTCAGCTCTTCTGCCATTCTTTTTGCACCTTTGATTTTTGAAATTGAAAGAGCTTCAATGCAAGAAGCTCAACGTAATCAACAAAAGCAAGTTCTATTAGGACCTAGTTCATCTATGGCTTCTGGACCACCAGGTTTTCCAATGGCTCCACCTCCTATCCAAAGATAATTCTTTCATAAAACCATTTTTGAGTTTACTTGTAAATTTGCTTTTGAATTGCAATTGCATTGTTACATTTAAACATTACTTACTATTATCGCGAAGCAAATTACATCTTGTGAAATAGTATCTTATGAATGTGTTTAGTAATAAAAATTTGTTATTAGTTCTGAGTTTTAAATTTGTGTACATCATAGTAGCATAGAATTAACCAAAAACTCATTTTATGTATATAATAATATTCAAGCCATACCCATGATTTCATCAGTTTTAACAATTTGCTTTATTGAATCTGCATATTCAAAAAATAGATCAATTCCTTAGATCTTGAATAAATAAGTTTGTCTGAACTGTCATCAAGTTAGCAATTACAAACAATAGTGATTATTATTTGCATCACATCTGCATTTTTGCTGATGGGTAAAGATTTAGTACAAAATTGCATACATATTTGGGCAAATAAAAAGAAGGCCTAGGACTAAACATCTATTAATATGAGATCTAAACCAAAAAATTACAATTGTCATTGAATGGCAGATCTTTCAGACTGGTGCATTTAGCAAGTAACATTTGATCTCCCTGAGTAAGTAGAACACATTTCCTGCATCTGAATTTTCAGAATACAACAATTTGAATTCCAAATTTTCATGATGAAGCTTTTCAAAAAAGAAATGACATGAGTCATAAAAAAGTAAATTTGGTCAGTGAATAACAGTAAATAACAGTGGATGGTAAGTGAAAAACTATAAGAAAATCCTAATGCAGAAATTTACATTATTAAAATACAAAGAAAGCATCTAAATTGATATAAAGATTCATTTTATAACACAAAAACAAAAAAATGAAATATGCCATCCCTAAATTTTTTTTTTTTGAGCTTACATTATTATAACTAGAAAATTGTTCATATTATAGAACAATTACCATGTGAATAAAATGTTGAAGATTTATTTAACTTAAAGTTATTTATTGAAAGCACAAGTGAAATATCAACTTTTATGAGTTTCAATTGCACTAAAATTAAAAACTAAACTTCTTTAAACAATGATGATTGATTTATAATACAATATATTTACAATTTTTAATTCTATTGATCCAGAAAAAATTTTTTGTCAATCCATAATTTTAATACATGCTTTAGTCATGGTTAAATAATTACAATTTAAATTTTGCTCATTTAAATGACTGATTTAAAAATTATGCTTTAAAAAATCTGACAACTCGAACGACGTATTGTCTGCATATGGGACATTCAGCCATTTGTTTACCACAATTAATGCAGCATGCCATATGACCACACTCCAAAATGACACATTCTATTGGGGCATCCAAGCAAATTTTACAAAGCCCATCTTCATCTGCACTTTCAACAACTGTAAGTTATAAAAATATTATAGCTGGAAGTAGAAACTAACTTATATTTCAAATGAGTCAATAAATAAATTTTACTTTTCCTGGATTTCTGGTATTCTTCCCATAGCCTTAAAGCTCTGGCAAATAATTCACATCTTTCCACACAGCCTTTATAATCAACTCTATTAGCTTGAAGTAAATCTTTGAGTTGCTTGACAGACAAACTTTCCAATTCAGCTTGCTCTTTTATGTCTGATAATTTAACAATACCTGTCCACTAGATATTATCAAATTTTTATTAATAAAATTACGTACATTAATTTCATTAGTAAAAGTTTTTTCATAAGTTTTCCAAAATATTTGATTTATATTGTAACTTATATTACTTACCGTTCTAACTTCTTTAAAAGTTGAAATATTTTCTGCATTAGCTGATTCTAGATTCTCTTCGTGCTCCGTTATTACAGGTTCTGGCCCTCCAATTATATCGTCACTTTCTAGTACTTCTTCAATTTCAACATCATGGTCTTCGTTATCTTGCTGACTACTTTGGAATTCATTAACCACTGAAATTTCATCAGATAATCTTTCATTAGGTTGTGGACTTCTGGACCTACGCTCAGGAGAAATCCCTCTGCCTCCGGATACAGGTCTTGTCATTGGTTCATAAACTCTAAATAGATGTGGATCATTTGAATTTTCAACTGGTTCTATATTTTCAACAACAATTTCTGGTTCTATGTTCATTGGTTGATGATCTGTAATTTCATGGCTTTCTGGAATATTTTGAAGTCTGTAAATCAGAGAATATCAATAAATCAAATGTGAATTGAGTACAACATAGTACGATCTAAAAATTTTAATACATTTCAGGCTCTTCACTGAGTACAGAAGCTTCATGTTGAGGCACATGTTCAATTCTATCTGTATTTCTCCCATCGTTATTACCATTGGCAAATACAATTATTAAATTAACTAAATCTTCTTTTTCTGAAATGATAAAATTTATTAAAATTAGATGGGCTTTTAAACTTAAATGGATACTGAGACTGATATGAAACATAAGTGGTAATTTTGATTTTTTCAGTGAAAACTTTTTAGAAAATTGCATAAAAATTTTTTAAAACACAAATAGTTTCAGTATCTATTTGACATTAGTTTTTAATAAAATGATTATTTATAATCACCTATACATCCTTTTATAGACACTTTTTTAGCCAAAAGGTACTGCCGTAGATATTTAGAGCGCATTTGCAATACTTGACTTCTAATTAATGGCCTGCGTGAAAGCATGCTGCAGTTGTCACAACTCAAAATACGGTCAAATCTTCTTATAACACATTCTGTGCAAAAGTATCGTAAACAGTCCATGCATTGTTTCTAAAACCAGTAAATTCAAGTGATTAATTTCACAAATGTAAATGTTATTTGATTTTCTATCAATTATGCAAGAAGTATGATTATTTACGAAAAAATTATTTGCATATGCGCAGATATGATAAATAATGTTCACAGTAATCGAAAATTAACGTCTTTCGAAACGAACATCTGTGCAGTTCTCACCTTGCGTTTGAACAGTGAAAATTTAGAAGCACAAGCTTCGCAAGCCATGTCGGCATGAATGGAAGATGACAACGGCAGAAAGGATGAATTTGACAGATAATATTGGTCTGCAGAAGGGCATCAGCATCGCGAGGTTAGCTCGGAATCATAAGCTTTTCCCGATAAGACATTGGCATATTTCTTCAACTTGAGTCTAAAAGTACACCTATATAGAGTCACATTGGGATGGACAACAGAAGCTCTGCAACTTCGTTTGTGTATATACAAGAGGGCTAGAAATTACCAAATATTATGCTCAATGATGAATATATACAACGTGTGTGCGCACAGTACAAGTTGTCGCAGACTGGGATGAATCTTTCATCACGTCAGGCACATACAGTGCAAACTGCGTACTGCCAATTGCGATGTGTCGCTCACAAAAATAAAGTACATAAGCGTATATAATTAATGAGTCTTATTCTTATCTCATAAATGATTTTGATACGTTTTTTAGCGCTATAATCGAGCAATGCACAAGAAATTAATTTACTCATTTTTACTGAAAATAATACATTGCATAAGAAAATTTAAGATTTTTTTTGGAATTGACGAATTTCGCAAAATAAATCTGAATAATTGTTTCAATGATGAAAATTTCTAATAAATTTTCCAATATGAAAATTTTTAAAAAACGGATGCTTTCATTTAAATCCATTGCAACGACATTTATTACAATTTTTAAAGATATATAAATTATTCTGTTGAATTGATAGGTATACCCACATGGGCTAAAAGAGAAATTAATTTTTTCCTTTTTACTAATAATCAAGTTTGAAGATTGAAAATCTTTCAAAAGCTCCAAGAAACATTACAACGACGGTTGAAAACCGATGACTTTTATGCCATTCAACCTTTAATCAAACTTAATTCAATTTAGTAAGTTTTGTCTCTTTCTCGCAACGTTTTTTTCTTGACACATTCAAACTAACGAAACTAAATTCACGAATTTAAAAATACAATATTTGTAAATAGTAATTCATTTTTTTTCCACTCTGCTAAGTAATATTTGTTAATAAATTTACACTATCCACAAACTGAAATCAACTAAAACGTTTTATTTTTCATTATGATTTAATTATCTACATCAATTTATAACACTAATAAGTTATTAAAAATATGAAGAATAATTTTTTCAATCAAGAGTATTGCAAAATAAGTGTAAAGAATTTTCATATAATTTATGCTAATTTTTATTGTAATTTATAGTAGTGATTCAGTATTTACACATTTCACCTGATACATTCAAGAGTACATTTCATTTTTCTCTTAGGTTCACTATTTTCTTCCAGTACATTTGAATTGTACCATCAGCCTTCGTCGCTATTAATCTCTTCCCTGATAGTCCAGTCCAATTAGATCTGACTCTATGTTAAAAGTGAAAAAATTCGCAACCGGAGTTTCTCACCGGGATTCGTTAGGTTTCGATGTTAGGAATGAAGTAATAACAAATGCCACAGTTGAGTCGATTGGAATATAAACAATTGGGCCCTTTGAAATGACGAAAAATCGGTTTTTTGACTACAGATTGAAAACGGTACGTTGTATGAAAAAAAGTTTCAAACAAAAGTTGTAGATCTTTGCAAGACCTTTAATTTGAGATAGAGAACGTCAAAATCGGTTAATTTGTTTATCCGATAGCTCCAAAAAACCTCAAAATATGACCGTTTTTTTCAATTGTTTATAAGTTTGCAATAAATAAAGCTAGGGTAACGAAACTCTAGGGATATGAAGCTCTTGTCATGACGAACAAAACGCTTTTTTCATTTTTGCGCTAAGTGCATTATTTATCGAGTTATTCAATTTGTTTATTAAAAACACCTCAATTGTCAATAACAAAAAAAGCGACTTACAGACATCGCAAAAGGATCTGGGCGGGCTTAAATTAAAGGTAATTACTTCTATTTTTGTAATCTATGATAATAATAACATATTTTTATTATTTACTGCTCGAAAAATGAACAAATAAAAAGCCTTAAAAAAAAAGTATAAACAAATAAGTTTTGCTAGCTGAATAAATGCTACACAAAAATAAAAACTTCAGAAACGGAAAACTGACATTTTTCTGCAAATTTTAAAAAAAAATACACTTCTCTAAGTGCAATAGGAAGCGAGTTAGGATTTTTTTTTTTAAAAATCACTGCTACCGTAATTGTTTATATTAATAACTGAAATTTATACATATTATCAATGGAAAACTAAAGTTTCAGATGCGATTATTTGCAACTTTCAAATATGATTATTATTGTAATTATAATATGTTGAATATCGCATCAATTAATGCTGCTCTAGCGACAGTCTATGCGACGAGGGAGGGGGAAGCTCGCTCGAGGCCAGCTCTCGCGCGACAAAAATTAAATCTTACGTTTCAAAATTGTTTGCGCTGTAAAAATTTTCGATATCTCAGCTTCCGATGCACCTAGAGAGTTGAATTTTTTTTTATTTTAAAGGTATTGAAAAATAATTAACAATGGTAATGTTTATAAATAATTCAAGTCATTGGAAATCTAGTAAAATTGACTTTTAATGTTTCCTTTTTTTCAGCGATATTTATTAACGTACTCTTGTATTGGATAAATTATTTGTTATAGCTTATTTGATAATAATAATTTTTATTCATACAAAAACTTCTATTCATATGACAAAAATGACAATAAATTTCAATCGATCAATATCATTACACAATTATATATCAGTATAATTCATTTTAATTTTGCCGGCGATTTAATCAATTTGCCTTTTAGATGAGAGCGAAGAAGAAACGGATATTGATAGTAGCTCTGATGAAACAAATACCGGGCACGTTGCAAAAAAAGCAAAATTAAAATGAATTATACTGATATATAATTGTGTAATGATATTGATCGATTGAAATTTATTGTCATTTTTGTCATATGAATAGAAGTTTTTGTATGAATAAAAATTATTATTATCAAATAAGCTATAACAAATAATTTATCCAATACAAGAGTACGTTAATAAATATCGCTGAAAAAAAGGAAACATTAAAAGTCAATTTTACTAGATTTCCAATGACTTGAATTATTTATAAACATTACCATTGTTAATTATTTTTCAATACCTTTAAAATAAAAAAAAATTCAACTCTCTAGGTGCATCGGAAGCTGAGATATCGAAAATTTTTACAGCGCAAACAATTTTGAAACGTAAGATTTAATTTTTGTCGCGCGAGAGCTGGCCTCGAGCGAGCTTCCCCCTCCCTCGTCGCATAGACTGTCGCTAGAGCAGCATTAATTGATGCGATATTCAACATATTATAATTACAATAATAATCATATTTGAAAGTTGCAAATAATCGCATCTGAAACTTTAGTTTTCCATTGATAATATGTATAAATTTCAGTTATTAATATAAACAATTACGGTAGCAGTGATTTTTTAAAAAAAAAATCCTAACTCGCTTCCTATTGCACTTAGAGAAGTGTATTTTTTTTAAAATTTGCAGAAAAATGTCAGTTTTCCGTTTCTGAAGTTTTTATTTTTGTGTAGCATTTATTCAGCTAGCAAAACTTATTTGTTTATACTTTTTTTTTAAGGCTTTTTATTTGTTCATTTTTCGAGCAGTAAATAATAAAAATATGTTATTATTATCATAGATTACAAAAATAGAAGTAATTACCTTTAATTTAAGCCCGCCCAGATCCTTTTGCGATGTCTGTAAGTCGCTTTTTTTGTTATTGACAATTGAGGTGTTTTTAATAAACAAATTGAATAACTCGATAAATAATGCACTTAGCGCAAAAATGAAAAAAGCGTTTTGTTCGTCATGACAAGAGCTTCATATCCCTAGAGTTTCGTTACCCTAGCTTTATTTATTGCAAACTTATAAACAATTGAAAAAAACGGTCATATTTTGAGGTTTTTTGGAGCTATCGGATAAACAAATTAACCGATTTTGACGTTCTCTATCTCAAATTAAAGGTCTTGCAAAGATCTACAACTTTTGTTTGAAACTTTTTTTCATACAACGTACCGTTTACAATCTGTAGTCAAAAAACCGATTTTTCGTCATTTCAAAGGGCCCAATTGTTTATATTCCAATCGACTCAACTGTGGCATTTGTTATTACTTCATTCCTAACATCGAAACCTAACGAATCCCGGTGAGAAACTCCGGTTGCGAATTTTTTCACGTTCAAAACTAATTGGACTGGACTATGAAATATCGAATGTAACCCTCCGTACAGCAGGTTTGGACCAAATACTATCACCATGAGGTATAAATCGAGTTTTTACGCGCTGAAACAAACGTCCTGTATTCCAGTCCCATAAATGCATTATTCCATCATATAATATATTCTGCTGATACCAAAACGCCATCTTAATTCGCGGCAAGGCCATTGATAATTGCCTCACGAGTATGACCAGATAAATCCTGAATAAATTCTTCACTGTTACTTTTTCATTGTTTAATATTGTCAATAGATCCAGAAACAAACGTGTTCAGACTAGCATGGAATGATAGAGCTCTCGCGGGGTATTCATGATTTTTGAGAATGAATCTTGTTTTTCCAGCCGTCCAGTCGAACATCCTGATGGTACCATCATGACTAGCAGTAATTATTTGCGGCTCAGTGGCTTGTAATAAAATACTAGAAATTGTAAGTTTGTGTCCTTCTATTTGACGAATTCTACCTTCTGTTCTCATATCCCACAAGTTCGTTACTTCGTAATGGTTTCGGGCTCCGGTTGGTGTACCAACGGTAGCTAAAACATGTTTCGTAGGATGCACCCCCATAGCAGTACAAAATGATTGGTGACCACGGTAAGAACGGCAAACTTTTTCTTGCTTTAAATCCCAGCATTTAGCTTCTTTATTATATGAAAATAACAATTCATTGGATACAGCATGAAAAGCGATTCCCAATACACCCCTATTTAAACCACGAACTTCATTTTCATGAATCAGTGTCGTTTTGAGTTGACATTTGGCCATGTCCCATAATTTGATCGAACTGTCTCCTGATCTAGTAGCAAAAAATGTAGGGTAGTCAGACCAATCAATGACCGGGTACCAGTGAATGACCATTTTGAAAAATATCATATGAAAAACAATTAAAAATATATTTGTATGGACGTAATTTTAATTCTTTAGTGAACGATGCATCTCGTTTTCTATGTTCGATCATAATTTAGCAAAAAAACGATAATTATTGCACATCCAAAAGTGGTCATTTACTGGTCGAAAGCGGTCAATCACTGGTATAAGTACCCTATTAGTTGATGCAACGGCACAACAGCACACCCAGCCTTCACATCCAGTTTGAAATCTGTAAAGTTCCCATGGAGCATGCTCTTTTGGTTTTTCTATAGCAGGCGGGCTATCCATATTAATTCTTCAAACTGATAAATAATAAAATCTAGACTTCTCACGAGGTGACGAAAAACTGAAAATCAAAATAAACTGAAAATCAAAATAAACTGAAAAAGGCAAGGTGACATTACGAAGTCCAATTTCGTCCAATTCAATCTATGCGCCAGATCACGTGTTTTTAGTCTTTTCTCCAACTCCTAGTACTCCTACTCCTTGTTCTACACGTTCATCCGACGTCATGCAAAGTAAGGCCAAAAATGAATAAAGAATTGAAGAGTTGCCACTTGCCATGCATGCCAGCGAGTGACGGCCGGTCCATCAGTCAGCAACTTCGAACTAATCAGAATGCGAGCGCTAGATTTTAAACTATATTTTGTAACATCTTCAATTTTAATTATCATTTTGAGTAGTATATATTTTTGCTTGAAATTTCATTTAATTTCAAGATTCAAATTTGCTGTATCCCTTTAATGTAATAAAGAACTGAACACTATAAAACAAAAATACATTCTATTCCAATAAAAATCAAATTTATTGATTTATTGTAAAGAAACTTATTAATAAACTATTTTTCTTAATCATAATATAAATAATAAAGTAAAATATTTTTATACCAATTAATTATTCATGTATACTATAATATACTATGGATATATGCTTGTTTTATGTTATTTGTGCTTTGTTTACAAAGTAATATTATGAATAACGAAAGTAAATACTATTAATTTAAAATTGGTAAGATTCTAATATTGCTGTAACATACAATTTTCAATTTATTAATTTGTACATTTGTTTCTACATTCCTTGGTGTACTAGCCTCATGAATTTTGTACATTACTTTCTATATAGAATCTGACAACTATTCTGTTGGTTAATGTACAGCATAGCTGAATGTCAAAATAACTATGGATACATACCAGTTTAATTTTAATTTTCCACTATTACTAGGGTTAATTTTAATTTATGAAAAACACATTTCAACTCAATGACATAATAAGAGAATATTTTCAAAAAATAATTGATATTTATTTATGAAACAAATATAATTACATTTATTTTGAAGTTGACCTAAATTAAAAATAATCGTGGTTGCTTAATTTTATCAAATACTTGATAGTAATTAGACTGTAAGTGAACATCCATTAACTAAAATATTTTCTAGTACTTTCTTCTTTTTATTATTTCGGGCTTCCAATTGATAGGGTGAGTTTCTTCTGATGCTGTGTCATCTTCTTTGTATATTTTGATGGTTTTATCAGCTTCTGTTGTAATCATTCTTGTTCCTGAATGATCAAATGTTACACTAAATACACCAGCTTCAGAGTCCATTGAACCAGGTTGAACTGGAGCTTGTAGCCGCTGGAAATTGTATCCAGTTCTCCAATCCCATAAATGCATGGTACCATTGTCTGCACCTGATACCAAAACTCCATCCTCATTTGCAGCAAGGCAGTTGATGATGGCATTGTGACCAGATAAATTTTGAATGAATTTTCCATCATCAGCTTTCCACTGTTTTATATTATCTGGCGAGCCAGAGGCAAACATATTTAACGTTGGATGGAATGTCAGAGCTCTCACACTCTTTTTATGATTTGTGAGAGTTGCTCTAGATTTTCCAGCTGCCAAATCATATAGCCTGATTGTGCTATCATGGCTACCAGTTATAACTTGTGGGTCCGTGGCTTGACATACAACGCTAGCTATTGTATTGGTATGTCCTGAAAGTGTATGAACATTTACTTTTGTTCTCATATCCCATACTCTTGCGGTACAATCTCTACCAGCTGTAACCAATACATCTATGGTAGGATGCAGTGCCAAAGAATAAACAGCGGACAAGTGTCCGTGATAGTGTCGAATTACTTTGTTGTACTCCAAATCCCAACATTTAACTTGTTTATCTTCACCACATGAAAATAGATAAGGATGTCTTGGAGAAAATGCAAGACCTCTTACACTGCTAATATGTCCAGTCAACGATATCTTCAATTGTCCACTTGCTAAGTCCCAGACTTTGATAATCCGATCTGCAGATCCAGTTGCGAACCACTCATTGCCTGGTTCCACAGCACAACAGCGCACCCACCCCAAATGTCCACTTATAACCCTGTATAACTTCCAGGGGGCATGCCACTTTGGTTTTGCCATAGTGGGTGTTTTCTTTATTGGATTAGAAATAATATTTGAAACAGCATTTTCTGTTGTAGCATTACTTGATACTAAGGCTAAACTGTTACTTATGGGAGATTCTTCTTGAGTAGCTACAGAGCTTGGGTCATTTGCTTTTCGCCTCTTGATCATTTCATTCTCTAAATCGACTTCGTGGAGTACTGTTTTGTAGCTATCTTTAGCTTTGATGGATCTGCGTAATTTCTCGATAGCTGGATCTACAGGAGGTAACAAACTTTGATTTGCTAAAAACATGTCGTGTGTCCTTTTAAGTGAGCGAAACACTAGAGTATGAACTGAATGCTTTTGAACATTGCAGCTATCCATCTTTGTAGATTTCCTTCGTTTTTGTAGGTTAATTATTTGTTTACTAACGTCAAAGATCTTATAGATCCACTAATATACATCAATATCCACAATAAACTTCGTAAAATATTTGATATTGTAAAACCAACAGGTCTTTGTGCTAATATAAAAATCAAATTCACACAACTTGACGAAAAACTGAGCACTTTAGATAATTATACCTGTTGTCGAAGCAGTCGTAAAAAAAGTATAGACTTGGGACTTGAATAAAAATAATTATTTTGAAGCCGGTATTGCTTAGACGACAGCACATGGATGACTGAAGAGTGTTGGGGCTCGAGAGACATGTACACTTGTCGAGTTGGCTGCTTGCTATCTACTGGATCCAAGCGTCCGCGCCTGCACGCCGGCGACAACGCGGCGGCCCCCTCCCCTTTCCCCATAGAAGACTGATGCCAAGCATTCGTACGCTCGTGTCACAAATTCGACTGGAGTAGCTTAGCTGGCACAAATGTAAAAAGGTGCATAGCAGTTGACTGAATTCAGTCGAGTCGTGATGGCTATGTATAAATTAACGTAACGTAATGGGTCGAATTTCCAAACTACTTGCATCCAAACATTGAAAGTTTCACTCGTGAAACTTCATTTCATCAATCATAATCGCGATTAAATAATTAATCGAACTATTTTTTATACTAACTAGTTTTTTGTTGAGTAATGCACTGTGAAATTAGCAATCTGTAAGTTTTTAAAGTAAATTTCACTCTCCATCATGAAGAAAGAAAGGATCGTCGAAAAATGTCGCCCATTCAAATTATAAGTATTTTTTAGTATACTATAATAAAATTTGTAATTATAAATCAACTCCGAATAAAAAATAGAGTATAAATTGTAAGGTTATGTTTTACCCAGCACAGTAAACTATCATTCATAGCTATTAAATGTTAATAATCTAAAAATCTAAGTTTCAAAATAAAGTGTAAAATTATACTTAATCAACATCAAGCGTATTTATTTTTTAATAAATCACTATTATGTTTTTTCAAGCAAAAAATGTTCTAATGAATATATATATTTTTACAGCCCATCAAATCTTGAGTTTAACTGGCATCAGTTTTCAGCGGAAAAGTATAATAGTAAGTTGCTTTTTTAACACAATTGCCACAAGTATTAATATCAAACATTTTTAAAAATCATAGGGCATGGTAGAACTTACTATTATTCCTACAAAAAATACTTTGAAGCTGATTCACCTAAACGCCAAACAATGCAGAGTATACAAGGTGTCTTTGAATGATAAATTTGAAGTACCATTTCAATATTTCGATCCATTTTTGGATGTTGCTCAAGGAGATGAAAAACAGTAAATTTTTGTTTTTAATTAAAAAAAAAATTTTTTACTTTCAACCTGTTAAAATTTTTAATTTTTCACATTTTTCAGACGCTCTTTAGAATTCTTTTCAAATTTACACTTAGCTGCAGCACTCAAGGTTGACCCCGATAATAATGCTGGTGAATTAATAATACCAATTCCACCAGAATTTGCTTATTTAGTAGAAGAAGGTGTCCCTCTTCGTATAGGGATTGAATTTTCCCTAGAACAACCTCAAGGAGGTATACATTTTGTTGTTCCAACTTGTCCTGGAACATTAGCTGAAGTAAGCAATTTGCAGTTTTTAGTATGTCAGAATAATATTCATAACTACAACTTTCCTTTGTTTGTTTTTATAGAAAGGAGCACATATGTACACATGTAGTTATGAAAATTCTTCTAGATTATGGTTTCCTTGCATTGATAGTTATGCAGAACCATGCACATGGAAATTGGAATATACTGTTGATGATTTTATGACAGCTGTATCTTGTGGAGATTTGGTTGAAGTAGTTTATACTGCAGATATGAGAAAAAAAACATTTCATTATGCACTAAATGTGCCAACATGCGCTCCAAATATTGCTCTTGCTGTAGGGTAGGGTTAATTTAACAAATTCTTAGTTAAAAAAATGAATATTTTTTTTAATATATGAAAATTTTTTTAGGCCATTTGAAATTTTTGTTGATCCTAACATGCATGAAGTTACACATTTCTGTTTACCTCAATTATTACCTCTATTGAAGAATTCAGTAAAATACTTGCATGAAGCTTTTGAATTTTTTGAAGAAACGTTATCAAATAGATACCCATTCTCATGTTATAAACAAGTATTTGTTGATGAGGTTGATGAAGATATTAATGCATATGCTACTGTTAGTATTTTAAGGTACGTTAAACAAAGGAGCAACTATTTATTTTCACATTTTGTGAAAATCATTCCCCAATCATTTTTTAATTGTATAATTCATTACCTTTACATATATTTTAGTGCCAATCTTCTACATCCACCACAAATTATTGAACAAGTTTTTATAACAAAAAAAGCTATGGCTCAAGCAATCGCTGAACAGTTCTTTAGTTGTTTTATATCAATGAAAAATTGGTCTGATTTGTGGCTTTCAAAAGGTATTTCAACATATCTTACAGGGTTGTATGCTAAAAAGTGTTTTGGAAACAATGAATACAGGGAATGGATTCATTCGGTAAAACTTTTTGGTCTTAGAAGATTATATTTGTTTATATAAATATTGCCACTTGTGTAAATGATGAAAATATTTAATTTTTTGAATAGGAACTGCAAGAAGTGGTCAAATATGAAGAAAAATTTGGTGGTATCATATTAGATTCTTCGCAACCACCTGCTCCACTACCTATTATCAACAATACACCAATATCAGCTCCAGCTCCAGATCCTGGATTTTACTTTCCAATAAAAAATTTGCATACAATGTCCCCAAAGTATATTGAAGTTCTAAGGAAAAAAGCACATTTAGTTATTAGAATGTTAGAACACAGAATTGGTCAAGAATTATTGTTGCAAGTACTGTACAATTTATTAATGAACAATATTATTTAGATCCTTTTAATTTTAAATCTTATTTCAAACAGGTTTTCAATAAACAACTTTCATTGGCTACAAATGCATCACAACAAAAAATAGAATCTGGTTTATGGCATCACATGCTTATTAGTACCAATGTGTTTACAAAAGCTATTTTTACTGTAACAGGTAAAGATATGGCTGCATTTATTGACCAGTGGGTCAGAACAGGAGGTCATGCAAAATTCACATTGAGTTTTGTATTTAATAGAAAGAGGTATGAAGTGATATTTATATGCACAGTTAAATCATAAACAACATTTAACTTAAGCTAAACTTTTATTGTAGAAATACAGTTGAACTTGAGATTAGACAAGATACTACAAATCAAAAAGGAATTAGAAAATATGTAGGCCCGCTATTAGTGAGTATTCAAGAACTTGACGGCACTTTTAAACATCCTCTCCAAATAGAAGCAATAACTGCTAAGTCAGATATTACATGCCATAGTAAAAGCCGGAGAAATAAGAAGAAAAAAATCCCTCTATGCACAGGAGAGGAAGTGGACATGGATTTATCAGCTATGGAGTAAGGAATAATTTCATGAAATCACAGTTTGATTAAAAAACAAATCTAAGTTGAAATTTTTTTTTTTAGTGACTCCCCGGTTTTATGGATTAGGCTGGATCCAGAAATGACTCTTCTAAGATCTGTTCAAATTGAACAACCAGATTACCAATGGCAGTATCAGTTAAGACATGAAAGAGATGTAACTGCTCAGCTGGAAGCTATAGTTGCTTTGCAAAATCATTCAACTGCTGCCACAAGACATGCATTAACTGACACAATTGAAAATGAACATTGCTATTATAAAGTCAGACTAAAATCAGCACTGTGTTTGACTAAAGTGGCTAATGCAATGGTTTCTAACTGGGCTGGACCACCGGCTATGCTCACAATATTCAGAAAATATTTTGGCTCTGCATCATGTAGAAAAATAATTAAGCAAAATAATTTCATTAATTTTCAACATTACTTTCTTCAAAAGGTGAATTAATCAATATGGTATTTTGCATGTCTAAATGAATTTTTGAACAAATGTGCCAATAAATCTTATTAAAATTCCAGACAATACCTATAGCAATGGCTGGGTTAAGAAATACTCATGGAATATGCCCACCAGAAGTACTATCATTTCTCATGGATTTATTTAAATATAATGATAATAGCAAGAATAAATATTCGGACAATTATTATAGAGCTGCTTTGATAGAAGCTCTTGGTGCTGCTGTAACTCCTGTCATAACTATTCAACAAGGGTAATCAATACATAAAAAATGTATTCTAAGTAATCATTTGATTTTAATCAAAGTTGAATTTATATTTTTCAGAAGTGCTATAACTGCAGAATCTTTATCTCCAGATACTAAATTAATTCTAGAAGAAGTCACTAGACACTTGAATCTCGAAAAGCTATTACCTTGCTATAAATACACGGTTACAGTAGCTTGTTTAAAAGTTATAAGGATCATGCAAAAATTTGGACATCTTCCTAGTACACCTTATATTTTTAGAGAGTATGCAGCCTATGGACAATTTATAGGTAAGCTATTGCAACAAGTATTCATTTTATTGCAATAAGTATTTATTTTTAAAAATAAACTTGAATTTCAATTTTCACCCTAGATGTTAGAATAACAGCTTTAACAGCTTTAGTGGATTTTACAAAAGTAGATGGAAAGTGGGAAGACTTGGAATTTTTGTTAGATATGGCTGAGAATGATCCTCATCCAGGTCTACGGCATAAATTAGTTAGATTATTAGTGGAGAATCCTCCATTTGAAAAATATCATAAACACCGTTTGGATAAACCTGAATTAGTTCATAAACTATGGAATCTCATCAAGTATATTTCATGTTCAAACAATTCATATACTCTATAAAAGATTATTTTAATTAAACATAATTTATTTTTACAGTGGAGAACTTTCTCATGACCCAAAATTACGCTGCGACTTGGTAGATTTGTACTATACATTGTATGGTTCAAAAACTCCTATGTGCCTCCCAAATCCAGAAATTGATGAGTTACTAAAACCAAAAAAAGTAGCTAAAACAAATTCTGAAATCACTGTAAGTTAATAATTATAATGAGAACAATAATATGGTGAATGTATATTATTAATTATTTCAAATTTTGGAATGTGCAGACCCCATTGCCGCAGATACCACTTATCAAGCAAGAGCCTGTGAATAAAACTGATTTGAATATTTCTGTGACCAAGCGAAAAGTATCTCCTGTTCCAGAAGTTCCTGTTACTTTGGCATCTGAACCAGAAATAAAACGCCAAAAACTTAATGTAAGTTTTGCAAAATTAAAAGACACATTTCAGAATATTGAAAGAATTTTAATTTCACCATTTTTTTATGTATAGGATGATAACGGTAAAAATAATAGTAATGAAGGAAAAACCAAATCAGAATATTATAGTGACAATTCAGCATCACTTCCTGGAATAAAGGGTTCATCAGGTCCAATTGGTTTTGAGCCTGGCATGTTCAAAAAGGAGTCTGATGAAGCTAAAAGTAAAGGAGAAACTAGTAATAAGGTAAAGTATTTCATACTTAATAATGATATTAACAAAATAGATTGCATACTTCATAAACCTTTCCTTATTTTTTTGTTTATTTAATCAGTTGAAAAAGAAGAAAAAAGAAAAGAAAAAGCATAAGCATAAACATAAGCATAAACACAAGAGTGATAAAGAAAAAAAAGATAAAGATAAAATAAAAGATAAAAATAAAACCAAAGAAAAAGATTCAAACAGTAAAGACAAGGATTTGACATTATCAAAAATACAAGAAGACACTTTGAGTTCGGGTATGTCTTCAAGTCCTAGTCCAGATATAACAACTGTTTCAAATGAATTCACTTTTCCTTGAAAATGTACAAATCATAATGTATATATAATAATGTACTTGAGTTATTAATGTTTATTGTGAATAAGTACAATGTTTGTAAGCTAACTTGACCTTTTGTAAATTACTTTATATAAAATTATTTACATTTAAGAAGAAAATATAAATATTAGACTAAAAATATTAAACGATAATATCTTTCAATTTTTTAGCGATCATTTTCTAAGCTAATTTCCTCACACAGGTAATTTATATGAATACTTTTGTACGCGATATTCATTGCACGTCTACAAAGAGGACATTTTCAATGTACCGAGGATAGATATTTTCAGTTTTATTAAATTGGAAAATCAGCGAGATATACTAAATATTTCAAAAGAGATACCTTTCTATACTTTTCACATTTATAAGTTCATCTACGATGTTATTTATTAGTAATTAGTGTTGATGTAACTTTAAATGGTATGCAACAATAAAAATTTAACTACGACGATTTCATCAACATCGACCAGATGTCACTTGAATCGCATCATGACATCGTATTGGTGTTCGGCTCGAGGTTGCGGCAATTTCGAAGGGTCCGTCGCGGTGTAAAGGTACTGCTTGGCCTTTATCTTTGCAATACATAGTCAGTTGTATTTTTCGAGTCGCGGATGCGTTTAGTGTATCTCAGTTAAGACTAATATCGTGCGGCAAGCCGTGCATATTGGCCGGGCAAGTACAAAAGCAGACAATAAACTTAACGTTCCTCTGCTGCGTCAGTGTGGAACATCGAAACAAATCAGAGAAAGCAAGTGGCCCGCCAGTGAAAGATAACCTACGACGACTCTGTTTGTTTGCTTATGACAGACAGAGGTATGGCTGAAAATCAACAGAGCAGGTACGAAAAGTCTTTGGGACTCCTGACGACTCGATTCGTTGGACTTTTGCAAAAAGCCAAGGATGGTGTACTTGATTTAAAAGTGGTAAGCAATCCATTGTTACATATATGGCGCGCATAGGTTAGATCAACGCCATCTTACTTTTCAATTTGCACTGCGGGAGTTTTAAAAAAAATACTCCAAACCACGTGTCAATTCAGTTATTATCATTTCTATTTATCTTTCTATTCTATAATATATTCCATTATACCTCACAGTACATTTTACTCCAAAAGAAATGTACTCCTTCTTTAAGTTCATTTTTCATTCATTAAAAGAACAAGTTATTTTAAGCCTTTTGCCCTGATCTTTGTTTTGATAGAGTTTTTACTTTTATCTCTTTCTCTCTCATATATTTTTTTTATGAATTATATAGTTCTGAGTGTATCAATGGCAATTTTTTAATCTAAATTATATTATCTAATATTTGTACAATTTTCATGTAGGCTGCAGACCTTTTGGAGGTACGACAAAAAAGAAGGATATACGATATCACAAATGTACTTGAAGGAATAGGTTTAATTGAAAAAAAAAGCAAAAACAGTATTCAATGGAAGTACGTAATTGTATTTTATTTGTCAAGCATATAGTGTATTTTAATTTTTATGTTATTGTATATTATATTTTCATGAATCAATTAACTATTACAGAGGAGCAGGACCAGGTTGTAACTCCCAGGAAGTTGGAGAAAAGCTTTCTGGTTTAAAAGAAGAAATAAAAAAATTAGAAGAACATGAAGAAATGATTGATACACATACACAATGGGTCAAGCAGAGTTTGAAAAATGTTCAAAATGATTCTCAAAATAGAAGGTATCTTTATATGCAATATGAAGACTTGAAAGAAACTTTTGAAAATAAACTTATCATGGTGGTACAAGCTCCAACCGATACAAAATTAGAAGTTCCAGATATTAGTCAAGTACGATAAAGAATCATTTTATAATGTACCCTAGAAAACTAAATTAATTCTTATACTCATTTATATAATCCTTCATCTTTTAAGGCTTCGGAAGAAATTAACAATGAAGATTTCAGTTGTGATATGCACCTTAAGAGCAATACGGGCGAAATATCTGTTTACATTGTTCAACCAAAATTAGCAGAATCTTATGACAAAAATTGTATGAAAGTAAGAATTGAGCCAGAAACTAAAAAAATCAAACTAGACAAAGAAAACGAAGATAAAAAAGTAGATATAAAACCAAAGAAAAAGGGGAGGTAATTACAAATCATCATTCTATTTTACTTCCATGCTCTTATCGCTTTGAAAGTAAAAAGTTAATACTTTTGATCTGCATAGAGCAAAGATTAATTAATTGTTCGGGGATCAGTTATTGCAAAGAAATATATCTGATTTGGAATAAATTAAACACATACATCTTTTAAATAATTTTATAATAAATAATTATGCTTATCATATCATAATATTAATAATAAAAAACCTTTTAGACCACCTAAAAATGCAAACAAAACTGAGACGCAAGTGTCTGATGATGAAGATGAAGAAGATCAAGATATGTTAGAGGCCAAAATAGTTTTACGAGACATAGACCTGACTGGTTATACTTTGCCAAATTTAGATTTCATTGATGAATTATATTCTGGAGGTAATCTATTGTTTGTTTAATTTTATTTTTTATTATAGATTAAAATTTTAAAAGTCTTTTTTATTTTAGTTTGTGGTCCTATAGTCAGGCTTAGTCCACCACCAGAAGAAAGAGATTATCAATTCAATCTCAGTGACTCAGAGGGCCTATGTGATCTTTTTGATATAACAGCAAATTAAGGATTATATATTAGCTTAGGATTTTGTATTAGTTTTTTTTTTATTAGAATGACGTATAAAACCAATTACAGTCAATTGAATTTGTGATCAATGTACGTCTTGTTATTGATAAACTAAATTTGTGTATATAATTTAGTCTTGATTTGGTTTTGAGTTAATGCAGCATGTTTAAAAGTTGGATTGATTAAAACAAAGAACTTCCAGAAATATTTTTACATTGTAATAATTTATCATAAATGAATTTTTTCAATTATTTCGACCTAGAATCATGTTTAAGGTTCAATAAACACTTTTCTTTTAGTTATTTTTTTAAATTTAGCTCTGATTATATCATTTACAATAAATTTTTCATTATAAATTTTATTCAAACTGTAAATGAAAAGCGAATTTTATATTTTTAAAAGATACTTGTCAAAACTGTTAGCATTATTCAAATGATAGAAATCTGCGTTAAAGTAAAGATATAAAACTTGAAAAATATAGTAAGATATTTTATAAATATTGTAAGTATTTTTGAACATTTTTTTGCAACATTAAGTCAACATAAATGTTTTACTTTAACTATATTTATGTTGTTAAAGTAATTTCAAAATGATTTAATTGGTGTACTTATTCAATCCTCATTGATGATAGGAATCAATATTTTCAAAAATAAAGCTATATATAACAGAAAAAATGTGTATAAAGAAAAAACTTGATGATTTTTCCACCAGAATTGCATGACCATTTTTTCATTGGAAATTTTTGAATTGTTATTTTTCTTCAATAAAAACTGTACCTATACTTTTTAATATTTTGATAATGAGTCATATCATAGATTAGCCATCTTCCTTGGTATTTATATTGCTCATGGCAAAATGATCTGTAATAAATTATGCTTTTACAATCGAATGATGAACGTCTTTTTCCTTTATTGAAGCCCTTAAATTAATTAATTACCTTAATTTCTTTTGGTCCAGACCGAAAAAAGATTCAATACATAAATAAAAATTCATGAACACGTATGTAAAGTATAAAATCAATTACATATCATTAAAATGGTGCGGTGTTGGAAAAAATCTTGAAAATTATTTGTAAAGTCAAAAATTTCCTGAAAAATATGTAAATCCATGAAATAATTGGCGCGAACTCTCACAATTATTTTAAATTTAAAAGCGTACGAAATTGTATAAACGTATTACGTTGCGCTGTGCTCGTTTACATACATCGAAAGATTGCAAGCTCCTGAAAAAGGCAAGAGAAAGGGCTGTCACTTCAGTTGGGACAGATCGAAAAACTGGCCGCCCTGTTGTGAATAACGCATCAGATCCTCGGTGAGTGAGCCAAAACATTAGCGCGGCGCCAAGGTCACGAGTAAGAATGAATTGTTGGTAGCATGTTGGGTACACACGCTAGTCGGATGGCTTATTAAAATGTAGCCAAATACCGCATAAGTATGCCTATATTTTCCATTTTGTCAGCTACCGCGATGTAGAAGTTGGCCAGTCATCGTCGATAGCTCAAAGTAATCGCAAGTCTCTCGGGTGCGTTATCTCGCGACTCGCTCATGCAGTCTACCTTATAAATATAGCTGCGAGGAAGCGCGTGTGAGAGTGATCAGCAGTGACGGCCAGCTGATAGATTATGTGCACATGTTCGAAGCAGCCTCTCAGTTGACGTATTATGCTTTTCGCTGCTCACTGGTGCCTTGCAGAAGAAAATCCTCGAAATCCCAAACGCTTTATTTGTTCATTTATGATAACGTAATTCGACTGAATTCCACCACTAACGATTCAACGGGACTTTGGGAACTCTGCGAGTAAATCAAGTGTTCGAGCGACTTTGCCAAACATCAATCGTCTGGTGAAATCGATCGCGACGTTACGCAATAAAAGTATATGATCAAGTGCGCTTCAATTATCTGCGCTGGGTTCAGTTCCTGCGGGCTGCAAGCTCAGCTTACTAGCTTTCGATTGAGTTTATTGTGCATATGCAGTATCGGTGCAGTCATTGTCAGCTTTTATTGCGGATTATTTTACAAATTGCAGCACAGCCATATTTTTCACAAACTCTGGCCATTCTCGTTTTTTTCGTTTGATCTGCTGGTAAGTTCAATGTTATACTATACGTACATGAAGGAGCATTTTTGAAGAGCTTTTCAGAGTTGTTCACTCGCACATACACGCGAGCGAACGGCCAAGTGTCAAGTTCACGCGTCTCGTGAGTTGTCGTCGTCGTCGTGACTCGTTGCTTCTGTGCTTTTAAAATAGTCGTCTGCTGCACAGTAAACGTTACGTTACATCTGCACACTCGTTGTGTATACGTATATTTAAATACCAACACATCGCTATGAACTGCCAGTTTTTGCCTTTATGTATACGCATACGCGCGCCACTCACCACATGACAGTTGTGACGTGCGTGATCGTAAGCTTTTCTTGCTATGTACGCGCAACGACTTCTGAAAAGCTCGATGACGTTTTGACACAGCTCCACTATAAATTATTGATTATTACATGCTAGTCTTTGTTTTCTGATTAGATTCAGACCATTTCAAGATGAGAGTTATCCTAGTAAAATTTCGAGAGGTAACCAAAAAATACCCCGTTGTAAGAGGTATGGCATCTTACACAGTCATTTGGCCAGTTGCCAGTCTCATTCAACAAAAAATCACAGGCAAGGAACAGCTTGATTACATGCAAGCACTAAGATTCAGTATATATGGTGGATGTTTTGTTGCTCCAACTCTTTATTGTTGGCTCAAAGTTGCTTCGCATTTCTGGCCCAGATCTGATCTCAAATCAGCCATAACTAAGGTAAAGAAAGATAACACATATAATGTTCTTGAAAAGTCATTGATAAACATGGATTGGGACATTTCAGGCTTTGGTAGAACAAGTGACGTACGGGCCTAGTGCAATGTGCTGCTTTTTCTTTGGAATCAATTTTTTGGAACTTAAACCAATTTCAGAATGCTTAAATGAAGTTAAAGAAAAATTTTGGCCAACATATAAGGTCAGCACTGCTATATTTATTTTTAAGTTTGTGTATGTCCAAAATAGAAAATATTTTTCTTTTATTTAAAGGTGGGAATTTGTGTTTGGCCTTTTCTACAAACATTCAATTTTTTGGTTGTGCCAGAAATATACAGAGTTGTTTATGTCAGCATATGCAGTCTTATGTGGACATCTTTCCTTGCTTACATGAAATCTGTTGAAAGTAGAAGAAATTCTTTAACAAATGGTGATGAACCTGATAAACCAAAATTAGATGAACCTTTTATAAGCAATAAAATGGATGCAAAGCAGAAAGCATTGATAGAAGAAGAAACTCACAGATGGACATCTGCTTTACATTGAATCTTTAGACCAATTTTAAGCATAAAAATATTTATGCTGTAGATAGATAGTGAAATTTATATTTATATTTTGTTACTCTATTATTTTATTTGCATATTTGAAAGGCTAAGCTAATTTACCTTTTTCAAAGTTGTATGACTTATATTACAAAATGTTTAATTGATTTATAAGAAAACTAATGATTTTTTAAAATTGAAAGTAATTGAAAGTATTTTAACAGGGTTATTTTCTAGCCCTTATTGTATATAAAATTATAATGTCAACTCAGTATCCAAAAAAGTAAAGTTGGTTTATCAAAGTAAATCAACTGAAAGATACTGTGCTAGCTAAAATTATTTTTATAACAAGTGTATATTTGAACACAAAAATATGCGTACTCATATAAATATTTGTATGCATGACTGTAAAAATTGTAAGTGTTATCTTGAATAATGATTCTATTTTAACACTTTTAAAGTAAATACGAAATTATTGTCTCTCTATATTCCTGGTAATACAAAATTGTTTACCCTTATGAAAGATAGAAAATCAAACAATAAATCAGAGACTATTTGACAAAACTATACTCATTTTTTTACCTTTTCTCCATGTGTGTACAAAAAAAAAAGAAAGAAAAAAAGTGGTTAATTATAATGCATGTTTTATTAACTGCTATGCCAAATAAAAATTTGTTACCAATACAAACCGCCGGTAAAAATTCGAGCTTTAAATATAACTTTAATTAATTTTAGATAAAAAAACAAGTACGATCTAACATATCTGTTTAAGGTACCGTTTGTAGATAAATTATTAGACACTAACTATTTACTTAACTACAATATTATAGCTCGAAGAAAAATCAAGTCTGAACTGTTATCTACTTATTGCTGGACTTGAAGTGTTTACATATAACATTGCAGAAATACGCTCTCTACAGATGTTTAGTCAACGCCGCTGCAGCTACTGCTTGTAGCTGTTGTGTAAGTAACACTTCATAATCTGACTGATTATTAAACTGTTTACTAACAGTGATTTCTATAATGAGTAAATAAACTATTATGAATCATAGTTTCTTTTACAGTCTTCTATTATGAAATTCTTCATTGTTATAATTTTTTACTCAAGTTGTGTACACTTAAAAAAATCAAATAAAGTACACTTTTTAATTTGTTTAAAAAAATTCTGTATTTATCGAAGAAAGTTAAAAGAAAGGTTTAAAATGACTTTATTTAATTTTTCTATTTTAATTTGACTTGCTATGCATCGGACGACCAACTTAACGCTGAAAACCGCACGTGCTTATAACGAACACGGGTACCAACTTCTAACTATTGAGAGATGATGACAGTATTGACAGTAAACACATCAATCGCTAATCAGTGCAGAAACGATGTTTATTGTCGCATGATATCGAAGTTATGATTAGTAAATAAATTGTAGTTTACTAATAATATCAACTAACTACTTTTGAAAAAAAGGAATCTTACTTTTACGTCAAAATTCAAGGCCTATTATCGCAAGCGGTATTTAAACTTAATAAATTGTTTGTTTAGCAACTCGATAATTCTATTGGTGCATGAATTAATCATTGTAAGTAAAACTAGGTTAGCTTAATTTTAATTACGTGATGATCCATTCTGTATTACACTTTAACTTCAATTTTATAAATTCTATATCTCTTGTATCAAATTGTGACAGTTAATATATGGTTATGAATTAATTACATCCCTATCTTTGATTGACAGACTAATGGCTAGACCATCACCAAATAGTACACAATATGACTCAATCGCTTCTTATATGGATGGTGTGCAAGTGAAAATAACCAATAAATATCAGTCGCCGCCAAATTTAGTTTTTCCAGAAGAATATTATGTTAAACCACCTGATCCATCTAGATACACATACAACTTTAACTTGGAAAAAAATGTCCTGGCAAAAGTGAGAGCAATTTTTTAATTTTAATTTTTTTATGAAAAATAAATTAATATTTATGTTCATTGTAGATGGAAGCATGGCGAAAAGCGCGTGCATCATATGTTGAAGCTCGAAAAGCAAAAATAGAAGAAAAATTAATGAAAGCTACAGAAAAATCTTCTCCATCTTCTTCTAGCACAAATTTATCTCAGACTTCTGTAACTGCTACTTCATCAGAATCACCACTATTTTCACCTCAGATTATGTCTCTTCCAGATAAAAATCACTTCTTTCCCATGAAAACAAATGGATTAGATTATTCAGATTTTGATACTGATACCAGCAGTCCTTTTGATAATATGGAATTAAAAACGATCAATGATATGGAAGCTCTTGCTGAGGTACAGATATAATATAAATCCAAATTAATGTGTTACTTTTTATACTTTTGTTTTCTATCTTGCTATTTTTTTATTGATATGTGCTGTTGATTAATGTATTATTTTGTAAAAATTTAGGTTCTGCAACCTGTCACACTATCTTGGAAACCCTCATCTAATTTAGAAGCTGCAATGAAAGATTTAACTGTTGAGCAAAATAATGAAGATTTGAAAGAAACAAGCGCAACATTTAAAAATAATTCAGAAGCAGACAATATCTCTAATCCACTTACAAATCCAAAGTATCATGAAATATCATTAATAATGCAAGAATTACAAAAAGAACTGGATAGACCAAATAAAAATGTAAGAAAAATAAAATGTACTTATTATAATTCTAATAATGATTTTGAAAATGATTTGTTTTCATTCCCCACAGAATGTAGAATCTGAGTGTAATCTAGAAAGTGCTTCAACTTCTAAAAATGAATCATCAGAAAAATCAATAGATGGAAAAGATGTTTCAAGATTGATATCAGCTCTTTCTGTAGATGAAAAAAAATTAGTGAAATACTTCAGTGATATGGGATTTTCACTGAGGCGTGTTGTACATGCTATTGGTGAATTGCCAGGAGAAGAGAGCAAAAAGATATTAGAATATTTATTAGCCATACAATCTCTTGAAGATTTAGGAATTTCTGAAGAGGCTGCTATAAAAGCTCTTGCTCTTACTCAACACGATCAACAGAAAGCCAAAGAATATCATAAAAATTTACGTATCCTTCAAGACCTAGGTTTTCCTGAAGATAAAGCATCTGCAGCACTTTTAAAGAGTAATATGGACAGAGATAGTGCTCTAGATCTGTTAATATCTTAGTTCCGTTGAAATGAAATATACTGTAAATAGCTATATTGAAGAAACCTTCATACAAATACTACAAATTAACATTATGGATGAAAATAAATTAAAAATGTATGATTAGTTAAACTTTTTTCGTGCTTGTTAAATACTTTAAATGTGACTATTTTAGAAAAATGTTTATATATTTTTAAAATATAAGTTGAATTTAGAATAGAGATATTTAAATGAATCTCGTATTTTATACAAGATTTTAATTTTTATTCAAATTTATAAATCATATAAAAATAAATCTTCAATTTTTACATAGGAAGTGTAAATATATATTTCTTCAATTATGATGCAACCTGTATAATTCAAAATTGTCCATGAAATACGGAGTCTTTAAAAAATTTACAGCGCATCTAAAAAATACAGGAAAGGTTTATTCAAACTATAATTGCTATGTTAGAATTTAAATATTACCTATAGCTACACAGAATTATGATATTTGGAATTAAAAAGGTACTTTTTCCAATAGCAAAAATAATCCAGGCTTCTGTAAAAATAGGCTGATTACAGAACTGATTGACGCAAATACTGATTGGTCCATTCAAAATCAAGTTGTAGGATACAAAGGATAGTTCTTGAGAATTTACATCTTGTAAATAGTGATCATTCCGTAAATCTCGTTCCGTAATAACATCCGGTGGATCAATATTTATATCGAGTGTATGACGATACCTATGCGGAAAAAATAATGTTTAACTATTGTAACGGGAAGAAAATCAGAAGCAGCAAAAATCAATTTTACCGTGAAGCGTAAACTTTCCTAAGTGACGATTCCCATAGAGAAATGGTAACATTTTCATAATGAGTATGTACAGCGAGTAACTGTCTCGGCAATTGAACCGCCACTTCTTTGTATTCGACACTATTTCTGTCAGATATCAGCAATAATTTTATGCCAGCATCGTATCTTCGTTTGTCGTTATTTCTCGAGCTGAAGCACCTGCGAGCGCACGAAAAAATATAAGACTCTGCGAATTAAATAAAATTCTGGAAATTTCATCGATAACAACTAAATTTACCCGTATGCCAGAGCGCCACCCGCCTCCACTTGACTCGACGGCTGCGAGGTTTTTGAGAATAGCTGCAGCAGCACCGGAAGCGACAGATAATTCAAAAATAAATTCGAATCAAAGCGTATAATTGGATTAGATAGAAATCCATTCATGGGTAAAAAATTGAGCTTGTTCGAGCGAACTGATAATAATTCCAACGACGTCGATAAGGTCAACCGATTCGGTATTTCTTCAATGAGATTATTGTCAGCCAAGAGTTCGGTGAGGCGAGGTAAGGTACCTAGCCACTCGGGTAGCACGACTATTTGATTTCCAGATATCGATAAACGCTCCAGCTTCTTTAGTCTTTCTAACGCTATAAAATCATCATTTTATTATAGTAGGATAATTATTAAATATGAAAAAAATTCTTGAATCTGAGTAGAGAACTGGGCTTACAAGTTGGTAATCGTGTGATGGAGTTCTGGTCGACCGATAGCGATTGCAAGTTTTTCAAATACGCTAGGCAAGTCGGAAACTCGCTCAGTCGATTCGCGCTGATATCGAGCACGGTTAAATGCGACATTTGCCCAAGAGCATCCGGAACACGCTCGATATTATTGCCGTAGAAATACAGGTTGGTAACTTCGGAACAATCTTTCAACCACGATGGTAAACTCGTTAATTCATTGTTTTTCAAATAGATTTCTTTGATGTTGGTTCCGTGATGCCTTATCGCTTCGGGAATTTCCTTTAAACCTCGATAATTCCAATGCAAAATGTCTTTGTCTTGTATTTCTTTCACCATATCTTCTGAGTCTTTCGAGTTACACACATTTTTCGTGTCCATCTTTGTTTGTTTAATTCCACGTATAAAATAGATTGTTACTGAAAATCATCTTCAGGTCTGCAAAAATGGAAGACAATTAAATGCGAATCGTTTTTTTTCCATTGCTTTTCTTTTCGAAAATTCAGTTATGTTTATTTAAAATGAACTTCGTTTTCAAGCGCGTAATTTGTTTTGCATTCAACGGCAGTTGGCCAAGTACTGAGCTTGCAGTTCAGTCATAGTTTTCAAGTGCAAGCTCAAGTCTGGGAAAGTCGATCTTAGAATCAATGAATTTCAAGGTTACCGCGTATGCGCTTTTGAAGCTTGCAAAGCTTTCAATTTACGCCGCGAGATGTCAATTGCTCAACAATGAATGCAGTAATTTTAAATTTTTTGAAAATTTCTCAAGTTATACGAAGCGTAAAAAGGGGTAATGAAATTTAAATCAGAATAATTTATGAATAAATATTTATTAATTTACTTCAAAGGAATGAAACGTGAAGAATGAGTAGCACCAATACCAGGTCTACCGTGTTTTACTGGTATGTACTCGACAGAAAACTCTCTCAAATAATGGCCAATCATTTCAGGTTTAATTTCAACTTGATTGAATTTTTTACCATTGTAAACACCAAAGATAGATCCAACCATTTAACGTACAATTATCTTTTTTTAAGATGTGTCATTACAATTTCTGGTTTTTCATTTGGTGGAGCTTCGCTTTTTTGGCTTCGTGTAAATTCTCAACTAAAGTCATTGGCTTACGTTTTAAGCCACGCGAAAATTTGTCACATTGGTACTTGATGTATTGACATCAATCTAACTCTAAGCTCAAGCTTCGATATAAAAAACAATTTTTGACAGATGATGATGATGATGATGATGATTTTATAAAACAGCGCGAAATACAAAAAATAAATGATAATGAATGTTTCAATGAATGATCGAAATAAATAAATTATTCATTATCACTGACATGGACTAACCACGAAGAAATTATTTTAATGAAAAATAAGTTGTCATTACTTTTAATTCATTAAGATACAAATTAATAATCAGATATATGGTAAACTTGCTAGTACCCGACCACTTTTATTCGAGTATATTAGGACCTTTAGATTTAATTGTAAATTATCATAATCAAATTGCCATGTATTTAGTCCTTTACTATCAAATTAATGCATTTATTGTGTCAAAAAAGTTGATGTACCCGATAGTACCCGACCACTTTTCAATATAGCTTTTCGACGTTTAAAGTTTTATTTATGGAATCTTTTTTCGTGAATTCTGATCAAATCGAGTGTACAAGTTTTCATTGTTTATGAGACGAATCAAATTATTTTGTTGAAAATTATAAAAAAATGGACGGGTTCTAGATGATGTCGGGTACTAGCTGGTTTAGATTTTACCCTATAGTCTATCGGTTTCCAATAAGAGCATAACCTCAAATTTGAACACGCCGTATCTATACTGCCTAATGTCTACTGCTAGAATGTGAAGTTGTTGTCAACGAAAGAACAATTCAATAAGTTAAAATTCAGTATTTAACGAAATTTATTTTAGTGATTAATTATATTAAACATGGATCAAATCAGAAATGTAAGGAAAAATTTGTTGTATTACATTTTGTGTAAACATTAATTTAAAATGAACACGTGACCTTATTTATCTAATAAAACCATAAAAATTACCCATACAAATGTCATTTTTTTATTCTAGTTCAGAGACTTTTTGATGATATACAATAAGATTTCTGATACGTGTTTTACAAGTTGTGCAAATTCATTCATGACAAGAGAAGTGGAGCCTGATGAGGTATAATTACAAAACTTCTTAAAACATTTTGATTATATTGCATTTGAATGAAAAATAAATAAAATAATCTTGACAGGCTGCCTGTGTGGAATCTTGTGCAAAAAAATACATTCTGACTAATCACAGAATGATGAAAGTTTTCATAGAAGCTCAAGCTCAAATAGTACAGAGAAGAATAGAAGAAATGAATGCGGCACAACAAACAGAAGCAGCAAACAATTCTGCTCCAAATGAACTTGCATCTAATAATAATTCACTTACGAGTGTTGAAACAAAAACTTAAAGAAGTGATTTAAAATAATTGTTTTTAAATATTTTATTATCTGACAAATTGAGTATTTACGAATTTGTTGTTGAAAACACTTTCATGATACTTAGGAAATTGTTGAATAAAAATTATTTTTAAATTTACTAACATAAAGTTTATCCTTAATTTATTGAATATACTTTTAAACTATCTATAAAACACAAACAAATTCATTGCCATTATGTACTGAATTATGACATGAAGTGTCGACGAAGCATTCTATAGGTAACATCAAAGTATTCAGCATGACCCATGAACTCTTGGTATCTTGGTTCATGAAATTGGTTATCCACAGTTATGTAAACTGGTTCTCTGTAGTACGTTCCAACTTCCCATTCAGGATCATTCTTCATTAACTCTCTTTCTTCTTCTCTATTGATATTGAGTTGTTTCAAGAATCTGTATTACATAACAGACCAAAATAAGGGTATGTTTTTTAGATAAAAATTATAGACACAAAAGGCTTTTTTTGCTTACGCTCTGTCTCTTTCTGCTATCAGCATCGGTAACATGGCTTGTCTAGCACTTCGCATTTCAATTTCTTCTCTTTTGACATCTCTCATAGCATAAAAATAGCCAATGCTACCAGCGATGGTTGAAATCACATAGAGGCCAAGAGTTTTCTTGACTGAAATAATACAGTTTGAAGAAATTATCGTTTAAATGGATTATCAATAAACTTATCAATAGAATAATATAATTATATCGAAATGGTAAACATTACCTGTAAAAAATGTTTTCAATTTTTGACGTTTCCAAGTCAATGGTTCGTAACCGCCTTTTGGAGGCATATCCTGGGGATTGGTTTTTGGTGGTGTCGTTGTCGTATACATTTTTTCAAAGATTTCTTTAAAGCATCAATAATTAAATAGAAATAGTAACAATACAATACTAATTAAGAGTGAAAATGAAGACAACCCATTTTCGTCTGGTATTTTAACAGCTGAGTATAAGGCTAGGTCTTCAATTGAAAGATGTAATGCATTGGCATTCGTGCACGGTATCACTGTGCAGCCAACTAGCAATAAATTTAGTGTGACCGGAATAAATAATGAAAAAATGGGGATAGAATTTTGATATGTGTAATTTAAGAAATAAGCGCTGCTATGGATCATTAAAAAAATTAAATTGCATGATCTAAGGCATCAATTTTAAGAAAAATTACAATTGTCTTTTATGAAGCATGTAAAGGTATGGTTCTTTTCATTTAATGACAGCAGATAACGCGTCAGTGAAGTCAATATTGGTTGTGAACCATAGAATTTGGCGGATCGAGTCTTGTAGCAGAGCAGCACTTCAAAGTTGAATAGCGCCGTGGTGCTTTCAAGAACTTCGCGAGCTCTCGCTTCCACAATATTATAGTGCTGACAAGTGACACTGCTAAGTGTATACACATTACACAAGGTGCTGACGTTTTTGTGGTGGGCGCAAAGTTCAGAATCTGCCACGTGAGCGCTAGTTACCACATGCCCGAGACTCGGGAGTCCAAATACCAATGCCGCCACTCTCCGGTACTCAGTGCGTGTAAACTACCGCAACGTAACGCGTCCTCGACTTCCATTAAGGCTTCCCTCGGGCACATAGGTTATAATTTCGGATACGATTATTCAGACGAACAAGTTTGTTGATCACTAACTATTTTAGTCTCGACTGCTACATTGTTGTTGTAGTAGTATGAACTAGCATTGACAACGTTAAAAGTGCCATATAAAGTTCTCTTTGCTAATCAGTTGATTTCTTGAATACTACAATCAAAATGAGCCGCAGAAGGGCACACGATGACGACGATGGATATGGTTAGTATACATTCTTGACTTTTGGAAAATATCTTTATTCAAATTCATTGAAAACTTGTGAATCGAATCAATTTTAACGTTATTCTATGAATAATAACTTTGGATATTAACATTGTGTTTTGCTTTTACAATAGACCGAGTTTACAAGAAACGCAGGAGGGTGTCGGAAAATCAAGAAATCGAGGATCGCCTCGAGTCTCTTATTTTACGAGTTGGAGAAAAATCAACCTCTTCTCTGGAAAGTAATCTAGAAGGCCTGGCATCTGTGCTTGAAGCTGACCTTGGTTTGTTTAGAGGTAAAATTTTGCGTATTTTGACGGACTGTGCGATTAAGATGCCGGAAAAATGTACCATTTACACCACTCTTGTTGGCTTGCTGAATGCCAAAAATTTCAATTTTGGTGGTGAATTCGTTGATTATATGGTAAAACATTTCAAAGAGGCCTTGAAAGCTGGCAAATGGGAAGTTGCAAGATACTCTCTGAGATTTTTGGCTGATTTAGTTAACTGCCATGTTTTATCTTGTGGTTCTTTGATGCAAATGTTTGATAATCTACTGGATGCATCAAATGAAGATAGCGTTCCACAAGTTAGACGAGATTGGTATGTTTATGCTGTGCTATCAACTTTACCATGGGTTGGAAGAGAACTTTTCGAGAAAAAAGAACAAGAACTTGATCATCTAATGGTTACAATTGAAGTTTTCTTAAATAAACGCAGCAAGAAACATCAACCTGCTCTTAGAGTATGGTCCAGCGATACACCACATCCTCAAGAAGAATACTTAGATTGTTTATGGGCTCAAGTAAGAAAATTAAGACAAGATAATTGGGCAGAAAAACATATTCCAAGACCTTATTTAGCTTTTGATTCAATTCTGTGTGAAGCACTCCAACATAATTTACCTGTGATCATACCTCCACCACATCATGATGGGTATATTTATCCATTACCAACTGTAGTTTTTCGAATGTTTGATTACACTGATTGCCCTGCAGAAGGTCCTTTACTACCAGGTAGCCATGCTATCGAAAGATATCTTATTGAAGAGCACTTGCGTCAAATAATTGACACATATTACATTGAGAGAAAAGATTGGTATGTTTAAAATAATTTATTTTAAATTTACTCTTGATTTTATAAACAATTTTTTATTAACAATTTATTATTTGATTACTTTTTCAGTGCTGCACAACTTTTGAACTTCCCATATAAAGCCAAAATTCCTCTAGACTACTGTATTGTTGAAGTAATGTTTGGAGAACTTTTTAAACTTCCTACACCAAAACATTTGGAAGTGTGTTATGGATCAATCATGATTGAACTTTGTAAATTACAACCATCAACAATGCCTCAGGTATATTAAAACTAATGATAAATATTCATTCAAATATTTAAATAGTGTATTTAAAAATGCTAATGATAAATATTTGATGCTTTAACAACAGGTTTTAGCTCAAGCAACGGAAATCCTATTTCGTCGCATTGATAGTATGGCTACTGCAGCTTTTGATAGATTTGTATGGTGGTTTTCTTATCACTTGAGTAACTTTCAATTCAGATGGTCATGGGAAGATTGGGATTCCTGTTTACTTCGTGATGCTGAACATCCTAGACCTAAATTTATTAAAGAAGTTTTGCTCAAATCTCTAAGATTATCATACTTTCAAAGAATAAAAGATATGATGCCAGAAAGTTATGCTGAATTGTTACCAGCTTTGCCCGAACCAATTTATAAGTACACTGCAGAGGGTGCAAGTAAGATTTCATTAATTTTTTTATTTGAAGCTCTTCTAGATTTATACATGTTTTCTAATATCCATTGATTTATTAGGTTCATTACCTGGCACATCTGTAGCACATGAACTTGTTGTTTCAATAAGACGCAAGTGCACTCCAGAAGAAGCTCTGAATGTTTTGAACTCTTTACCTGGACCAGGAGAAAACGAAGAAAATTGTTCTTTTAATCCTCTGAAAATAGACGTATTTGTTCAAACTCTATTAAATTTGGGGTCAAAAAGTTTTAGTCATAGTTTTGCTGCGATTGGGAAATTTCATTATGTGTTCAAGGTATTATTCATTTATAAGATAAAACTTTTATATTAACTTTCAATTCTAATAACTTTATCTATATTAGGTTTTAGCAGAATCGGAAGAAGCTCAAATTTGTATTCTTAGAAATATGTATGCCCTATGGAAGAATCATTACCAAATGATGATTGTTTTAACAGATAAACTTCTTAAAACTGGAATAATAGAGTGTAGTGCAGTTGCAAATTGGATTTTTTCTAAAGAAATGGCTTCTGAATTTACCAAGTATGTACTCTTTACATTTAATAATTTTTTTGCAATTATTATAGTGGATGAATTTATTTCTATATTTCTTTTCTATATTTTTACAGAATTTACATTTGGGAAATTCTACATTTGACTATAAGAAAAAAAAATAAGCATGTCATAAAACTGACCAAAGAATTATCAGATGCCAGAGAAAAATTACGTCGGAATGAAAACAGATCCGGCTCATCTTCTGACGATGATGAGAAAGAAAAAGAAAGACCTTCCGAGGAGGTAGTAGAAAGAATGGAAGAAAAGTTGGAAGCTGCACAAGCTGATCAAAAGAATTTGTTTTTGATTATATTCCAAGTAAGTAAAAATAATATTTTAAATGTAGTGAAGTAATATTTTTATGAATACTAAAAATGAATTAATTTTATAGCGGTTTATAATGATTCTTTCTGAACATCTGTCAAAATGTGATACTGATGGTGTTGATTATAACACACATTGGTACAAATGGACAATTGGGAGACTTCAACAAGTTTTTATGACTGTTAGTACAAAAAATATTAATTTTATCTATTTTAATTTTTATTGATAATAAAAATATTAAAAATTTGATTTTCAGCATCATGAACAAGTTCAGAAATATTCATCAACTTTGGAAACATTACTTTTTACTTCAGACTTGGATTCTCATATTTTAGATGTATTCCATCAGTTTGTTTCTCTTCGTGCGTGATTATTCATTAATTAATTGATAATTGTCATGTGCATCTTGAATTATAGACGAAGTGTAAAATTTGTCAACTCATAATCAATTTGTAATTTTATAAAATTACGTAGCAACTTCTACTTCTTAAGATTTATGTAAGCAGAGGAAAAGATGGAATTGTATATCAAGTTCAAATTCATAAAGTCTTAACAGATTTTTTATTGTAATGGTACATTATTAATGTACATTTTTGATTCACAACATTTAATGACACTATTTTTTACCTTAAGTTCTATTAATTCTACATAGAAAAAAAGCAAATATACTGGAGAGATTTTGAGAATTATATATATATTATATTTAAGTTTCATGTGCATATGTATATATACCTTTTCTGTATTTCTTATTAATTCTGAAATTTCTTAATAAATTGTTTAAATACACCAACGATTTTCGATATTTTAAATTCCAATATTTTAGAACCCATCTTTTGGTTCTTCCAATGCTAATTCAGGTGGTGTTGTAAATATAGATCTTTTAACAAAAGGTCGTTTCCTATTTCGAAAATCAGAGTGAGATTTAATGTTTCTTTTATCAAATTGTTCTTGATAGTAGGATTTAGATAATCCTCCATATAAAGGACTTTTATCTAATTTCTGGAGAATAAAAATATTTTACTTTTTTACAAATAATATTTTAATACAAGACAATTACTACCTTAACATCGTATTCAGAATCATCGATCAAAGGTATAAAGTTAATGTCACAGAAATTATTTATGTATTCAGTAGAACAAACTGATTCTGGCATGGGATTATTGCCTATAATTTCATCCAAAGCTTCTTTACATGCTTGTATTCTAAAATATTTCATTAACAACTCTCTCTTTTTTCCTGACATAAATACAATAGTGTTTTAATATACTATATAGACAATATCATTTTTAAACAGTTACCAATTGTTTCTTTTTCAACTTGAGGAGTTACAAAAGTATCTTGTGTTTCAGTTATCCATTTTATATTAAGCAGGTCATCTTGCATCTTCAAATTTGTTTCGTTATATTTTACAATTGGATATGTCAAGTCAGAACATTTATGAACATTTTTCAACATTTTAGCTTATAATTTCTGTACCATAAAAATGTAAAAATTTAGACAATAATTATCTTTGCTTAAAATGATAGAACCCCGGGAAAGTACTGGTTAATGATTTATTGGTAAACATAACTAAGGAAACAGGTTGTCACCATAGAAACACCATGAACCATGGCACAGCAAAAGATATAAAGATTTATATATATATCTTACATCTATATATTCGATTTATATTTACCTACTTTTAGTTTTTTGAAAAAGGCAGTTTAGAAAAAATAGTTTTATTAGGAAACCATGTTGCAACAATTTCAAAATAACAACACAGAACATTTTTTTAATTTAGTAAATATGAAAAAAGTCTCAAGTGATCAATCGAGAATACATGTAAAATTATGATGAAATATTATAAACACTTTTTATTAAAAAAATTTTTTTATTCTTTTTGTATAAGAGCAAATTTTTTACGAAATACTCATATTATGTGTCTAGTCCTCAGTCATTAAAATAATTAACTGTAAAAATTATTTTACTTTACTTATTTTTGGACAAAAAAATTAACAGTAAAATCAGTTTATTGAAATCATGATTATTTTATTTTTTTATATTAATATAAAACTGCAAGCTTGCTTTTGCACTATTTTTATGCTATTTCAGCTGTACCATATGACACAACCACTACTAGTACGAATCTTCAAAAGTTAAAAGCATAATTTCTTCATTTTCTTTTGTTAAAATTTGTACGTTACCACTATCATGGGCCTTTAAATAACTTGGATCATTAGTATAAATTAAATAGTTTTTTGAATTATAAACATGTACATTGTTTATGTTGAAATTTTTATGCACAATTATAACTAATTTGTTGTGCTTAGAAATAAAATAGTACATAGATATATATTTATATATTCTTTCAATCTGATTAGAAAATCAACTACGTAACATTATTTTCTTTTGCTGGTACATCTGATGCGTTATCTTCACTTGAATCATAATTTGGTTCAGTTTTTACTTCTTCTTTTGAAAAATTTACTTCTGTGTTAGTGTTAAGATTACTAGGAGAAGAACCATTATCTTCTACTTTGACTTTAATGTCTTGTTTTTTCTCTTTGCGTTTGGGAGTATATTTTACAGGCATTTTATCTTCACGTTCATACATGAATGTAGCTCGTCGTTTTCGTTTGACTGGTGTACAGACTTTTTTGTAAAGAATTTTCATTTCTTTTACTCTTGTAGTTGGTATCGTCCAATCCATTTCACGAGAATTAATTTCTGTATTTCGCGTTGGATCTGAAGAAACATCATACTCTGGAATTTCCATTCCCAAATTTTTCATCACATTTGTTATAATTTCATCAAGTCTTCCATTTATTATAAGATCTGCTTTTTTATCCTGTTTTGGAAAATAAGTGGTTGTTATTATTTAACATTAAGTGTTTAAATGCAAAATATACTTTCTAATAACTTACATGTTTTGTTGGTTGCAAATTGCATATTACTAATCGACCACCATACTTTTTAGTATATAGAGGTAGATTTCCACTAGGAATAATTTGTAATGTAGTTCCCAAACATACACTTAAATCAGCCACACTATCAAATTAAACACATTTTAATAAATATATTCTCAAAAACTTTGAAATCAATGCAGTGGAAAAAAATGTACCTAGAATGTAGATCAGCTAATGCAAGATCACTGTCTGGTAAATTGTGTTCCCAATCTAAGATAGTATCATGCATTTTACCCCTGCAAGGTCTACCCCCTATTTGCTCTGATCTGCACACAGTTTCCAAACATTTTTTACCAACGCTTTTTGTCGGAAAATTACGTATAAATTGTCTAAAATAAAAAGATATCATCAAGTACACTGAATAATTTCATGATCATGACATTAATTATCAAAAAAAAGTGCTTCATTACTTTCCGCATTTATCACATTGCTCAACAAACATATTCCCATGTAATTCTGCTAAATATTGCCTTGGTATTCCAGATCTTAAATGTAGGCCATCTATATTTTGACTTATGATGAATTTGACTTTGTCTGAAAAATTTATTTAATAATTATTTAATATTAAAAAAAAATGTTTTAAATTTAAATTTGTTTATGATTATACTAACTTGTATCAATCAGTTTTTTTAGTGCCATGTGTACTTTTGTAGGGATTGCTTCATCAAATGATGTACTCATAGATGGTTTTAAACCTTTTTCCTCCAAAGTCCATACACCATTGGGACCACTGAATATATTTATTATTATTATAATCTTCAAAAGATTAGAAACTATGAAAATGTACTTTTAAAATATTTTTACCGAAAGTCAGGAATCCCAGCAGAAGTGCTGATTCCTGCTCCTGTATGAACAACAACATGTCTAGCTCCTTTTATCCAGTCAGCCAAAAGCTCACATTTTAGTCTCAATGTTTCATCAGTGTCAAATTTCTGAAAAATTTGAATACAAAAGTTGTCTTTAAATTCTTTAATTTTCACGAATCTTCGAAAATGATCGGTAATGAAAATTATATCGTTCGATGAACAATGATTGCCGAAAATGTTAAACCAGCGACGAAATTGAATTTATAGCGCAAGCACGCAATGTGATGAAAAAATTGTTGAAGATCGTGCTTTTAGAGCAATGATATTCAAATAAACACTTGTGAGAAGGAAAATGAATTTTTATTTATTTAACAAATTATCAACTAGTTTTGCAGTAAAAATATGAAAAGATATCAGATCTACTAAAATTGCAAAATTACATGTACAGTCGAATTGGTAATATTTGTAGACAATACACTTGCAGCGATAACGATACAACAGAAGCGTGAATATGATATAAACTGGCAACGCTCGGACGCGTTTTGGACGGCTTGTGATTGTTATTATATATATGTGCGCTGGCGCGGATTCGCCGTGCATATAACAGGTATATACACACACATGCACACGAGCATGAAAATGCAGGCTGCAGAGATTATAAAGGCTCTAATATACACGTGAAAAACGGACAAGCGCAGAGAGAGCAACAAATTAAAATGTATAGCGGAAGCGGGCAAGTCAAGTATTACGATAGGTGCGAGCCAAGAGAGCGTGCGTGCTGAAATTTGGGAGCGCGATAATAGAGGAGGATGCAGATGCAGATTTGTTTGATAAAGTTGTACGATGTACCTCTTCGAGTCCGAGAACGCCTTTGTCCTCGTAAGGCGACAGGCCCTCAGCGTAGGTGCACGACATTTTGTCGCCCACCGCCACCGCCACCGCCGAAGATCTCCGCTGCAGCTCGATGGATCCAGAGTTAAGACGCACTTGCCGTGGTCCGTCTCTCTGTCGCGCGGCGTTCACTCACAGACAGCACGGAGCACAGGCACACAGAGAGTCGAGTCGCTCGTCGGTCGCAGCAAACTCACACTGCTTCTCTCTTGTGTGTACAAAGCGTATGTATTTCGCGCGGCGACGACGACGACTACGGCGGTGGTGGCTGCTTGCTTCCCCTCACTGCGTATGTGTGTGCGTGCGCGTGTGTTGCGCGATCACTCTCCAGCCGGTATATAGATACCTATATGCTGTGCATATAATCGCCTGCTTGCGCGACGACTATACTACTACTACTACTGCGGGCTGCTACCGTCGTCGTCGTCGTTGTCGCCGCCGCCGCTGCCGTCGCCTGTCGAGAGTGCGTGTTGTACGTCGTTTCGCGCGTGCCGAGTAGAATATATATGTGTGTAGGTATCTGCAAAGTAGCTCAGCTTCTGTCTGTTTGTCTCTGTTGCGCTCGCTCCGTTGTTACGTATATGTGTGTATACAGCCAGTAAACTTATATGTGCGCGTGCGACTTGCACTTGTGTTTAACAAGCTGACTGTATTATGTATGGCACGCTTCGATGTGCATAATATCAAGCTCGATGCGGCATACGCGTGACCACTATATAATATCAGCAGTGCCTTTCGTTTATATCGTTGTTTACACAAACAAATATTTTAAATATCCACATCTACTTGTGTACAAATGCGTATGTATGCGTGCATGCGTGGGTAGAAGAAGGGTCGATGCGCTTTCTCGCGGCTAAGGCACTTCTGCACTCACCCGCGCACCAAAACCCTTTGTATGTCGAATGCTGATGGCTATTCTCTACCGGATTACGACTCGCGCGCTACATACATACATATCGCGCTCTATGTATATTTATACTTCCGCGCCCTTTTTTTTCGGAGAGCTTCGACGAGCCGATGCGCGGAGAGACACACCGTATACGATCGCGATTCGAGACGACGCTAGGGGGAGATCACATACGGCAAGGATCAGCGAGACTCAAACGTATCGCATTATATCTATATTGCGAAAGAGAGAGAAATGAACTCGACTTTACGCGTATACGAGGGCCGTGAGCACGAAAAAGCAAGCTCGATCTGCAAATATACGTATTATTATAAAGCGCGACTCTGGCACAAAAAACACGCGCGATCGTAGATATTGCACTGGCGGCTATTATCAAGCTCGTTCACTTTCGCTTTTCATCTGGTTCACTCTCTATTTCTCTCATTTATTTTCGTTAGATCGTTCTCGCGGCTATTGTATGTTGTTGCCGCGCGAACATTCCCTCCTCTCGAACGATCCGCTTATCGAAAAAATCAGTGCGGATCTCCGAGCGCTGTACTTGAATGAATAATTATTGAATAATTTTGATTACGCGCGCATTTTAAACATAATAAAGCTCGAGGTGGACTCTCGATATAATGCGCCGGTATTAAAAAGCGCTTTCAGCAATGATTACAATCCGCGGAGTGGTCGCTTTGGCTTTAAAGCTCGGCTTTTTCTATAATATATGTATTTTTAAATAGTTGTGGATATTTACAATATTTTTTATGTCACGTTAGTTTGTTTACATAGATCGTCGCAGTGCAGTATACGGGAGAAGCTACGCTGATCGGCTGGATTTAACTTATTGGACTCTAGCTTATGGTTGCTCGGAGAGCAGGTGGATCGATCGGAGATCTTTGAAGTCGCGAGACGTGCACCAATTTCGCACTTGTGTGTAACGCAGTACCGTGCGGTGGCGTGTGTTTGCGTCGGCACTCGGGTGCAGCGCGAGCTCTTGATAGTAGCGATCGCGCGAGTATCAGGCGAAAGACTGCGGATACGCCGCGAGGCCTCTGGCGTCGTCAGCGGCGGCGGCACTCGCCACTAGCAGCAGCAGCAGCAGCAGCAGCAGCAGGTCGGAGACGCGCAACGGCGCAAACTTTTGTTTATGCGCTGCACGTATGTACTACACTGGTGTGTGTACATATGCACACATACATAGGTATAGCAACGCATAGAGAGCTGGTATATAGGAGAGGCACCGACTACAGTCCTAAATTGCGAACTACTATCCGACTGCGCTTGGGCGCGCACGCATGCATTCAGTCGCTGTGTAATGTCCGTCTGCGTGCATGTGTGCGTATGTGTGTGTGCAACTCTCCGACTCGGTTCTGCTGTATACGCAGAGAGTGCGAACAGTAGACGCGGCTGCGAAATGTAGGTGGATATTGGAGCCCAAAGAGCACCGCTGCTCGTCGCCGCCACCGCGTGCGACTCGCTGTATGCGAGCTGCTGCTGTTCCGAGGCGCGACAGTGTCAAAAGCTGCCTTACTGCCGCCGTCGTCGCCGCCGCCGCAACTCCCGCGCTCGTTCGCTCGCTGCCGCCGGCTGCAGTCGGCACTCGCATTGGGCACTCGGGCGCGCATTAAGCACAAAGGAATAAGAAGAGAAGAGTAGAGTAGACGCGAGACTTCCCCCTTGTGCGTTGCGCGAGCGACTAGCGACGAGCAATTTTTACGACTCCTAACGTATAGGCTGCTGCAGCACAGAACCTTATGCCGCTACATGGCCGCAACCGCACACCGATGACTCTTCACGCTCTTCTTCTTCTTCTTCTTATCCTCTCTTTCTTCTCTTTCTTCTCTCTCTACATAGCTGTCTCTGGCGACGAATTTAGATACCCTTAAAATGCGCTTCGCCTGATACAGCTCTCTTACATGTGTATATAGCTGTGCCGAAGAGTGCGCGAATCTCTTGCCGCTCGACGCAGCAAGTGCCTATCCATGACACGTATCTAAGTATTCACGCACACGCGCGAGTCCATTACACGCAACGCGGATGGCGTATAATGTGCAGCGCGATTGGCCCCTTCTGCCAGAGTAGAGATGCTGCCGCGCTGCACACCGATTCCCGCCGCGCGTATGCAATTTCGCGCCCTTCTTTATTACACTCGCTCTTCTCCGAAAGACAGTCTGCGTCTGTCAATTTTCGCACGTCGCGTCCGTCGATACTTGGCAATGCAATATTCATATGACTTTCGTTTTGTGAATTGCCGATAGCGTATGCATTTCGATGTAGTCTCGTTGATGAATGCGTACTTGCAATTTCACTTTCATCGATTAACATTTCGAGCGAGTATATAAATCAGTAGCTCGTATTGTGCTGGATATTGGAAAAGGGGAGTCATCTACATGTGGCCGGTCAAACGCGTGCATCAATCCGTAAATAAGTGGATCAGGTGTAAAGGGTTATATAGAGATAGAAAACTAGTCGAGGAATTATCGCGTTATCGCGTCTCCGCGTTGAAAAAGAATTTGCCTCGAGAAGCGTTCTTCGATCGAGTCAGTCTGTCCTATCGTATACAAAGCTGGATTTCTCTCTGGGCGTTTCAAGCTCTCTAGGCCCTATATAATCTGCAACATGTCTCCGCGTGCAGGCATAGCATAGGCACAAACGTATAGCATCGAGCTGGCTGCTCCCAACACTGGCGTCAACTATGCTCGCCTATCCTACTAAATTCAGAAGGAACTAGGAAGGGCAGGCTTATCGATTTTCGCGCGCACGCACATTCGCGCCATATGTGTGTGTCTCTGTGTGCGCGTGTGCGTTTGTATGCGAGTGCATGGGGCTAAAGGAGTATATTGTAACGCAGACGCTATTATATATAAGTATAAAGTCAAGCTCTGGCTCGGCTTGCGGCTGCATCTCGCAGCTCTACTGCGATTGGCCTTTGGCACAAGTGCGCTGCTTCTGCTGCTGCTGTTGCTGCACGCACATTGTGTGCACCAGTACATTATGGTGTGTAGTTTTTTGTTACTTGGGCGCGCACGTGCAGAATTAACTGCGCGTCGGTGCGATATATTTATGACGCGCGTATATGTGTGGCTGCATGTAGCTCGAGGCTTTGCTCGCACACAGTCCACACGCGTATCAATAGCCCAGTATGGCCTGTAGCCCATTGGTTATCGCATACATACATATATAGTAGTAGTATAGGAATAGGAATAGCAGCACGAGAGAGGAGAGAGAGAGAAGCGGCATACGGTAGAGAGAGAGAGTTAAGAGTGGCGCGAGGATATAGGCAGTGAGCCGCAGTGTCGGTGGTGGCGGCGGCGACAAGAGGGAGAGAGAGAGAGAAACGCAGGAGAGAGAAGTTACGTGTGTATGCGTTGGGGTAGCTTCATGCCATTGGCCAAGCGAAACTTTCGCAGCCTGTATGGCTGCACATGCCGAGCGGATCTTCTTTTGCCGAAAATCAATAGCCAAGTGCTCTGCTGCTCGTCGTCGCTGGCAGCAGCAGCTCTCTCAGGACTTGTTCTCTCTCTCTCGGTCGTCATGTATGTATACGGCAGTGCACACACATGCCATAGCACATGCATACATGCGTACAACTCCATGTACGGACCCTCCGCGTTATATATTAGATGCGTCGCAGCTTCACGCCGAAGCGATGCAGCAGCAGCTACAGCGTACTTGTATATACACCAGGACCGCAACCGCCTCCCGCTGCTCACTCACACGAGTTGACGCTGTATACATTACGTATTCGAAGCGAGACAACGCCACCAACGCGCCTAGCGCGATTCTGCATATCCACCGGCCATTGTTCGACGCTGCCAAGCTCGCATCTATTCTCCCTACATCGTTGCGTCCAGATTTTCCAAAATTTCCAAACTTTCCGACGCAACGAGGAGGAGCGCGATCGAACGATGAAATACATAATTTTGCACTGCTGACACACATTAGTGGCGTAGGCGGCGCGCGATATCTATATATTTTGCAGCGAGCGCGAGTCGCATCGTTATCGCAATTGCAACGTACCCACTACATGTACTGCGTGCGCCGTTTAGTTGTACCCGCTCCTTTTTACATGTGCTTTCTCTCTCTCTCTCTCTCTCTCTCCGCCCGCACTCGTGCACCTACTCGCGCTACGGGGGCCACACAGCTGATGGCTTTGCCGCTGATAAAAATGAACAGCTGATTCATTAATATATCGGCCAACACAGCGCGCGCATATTATTTATAACGAGGCGGAGCTTGCGAGAGACGAGCTGACTGCCGCAGAGCCAGCCGGCAGGTACTATATAACGTATAGCTCCCCGTGATGTGTGTATAGCCTGTACTGTACCGCACGCGGCTGAATCGAGCCCTCAATGGACTCCTCTCGGCGCAGTCAGCTCGTCCGCACAAGCTCTCCTCTACATCATTGCATATATTTGCTTGTATGCCAAGCAATACATGGCGGTCCTAGTCGTCGTCGCACTGCAACTCTCGAGTTTGGCGCGTCGCATCGCAGCTACATCTTTGCGCGTGCTTTTACGTATACGCACGATCGATCAATACAATTCCCATTTTTCCAAAGCTCCGTTGCAACCCTCACTCGAGGCTCTACTTCTTTGGTAGATGTGCATTAACGAAAGAGGTTGAGAAGAATCGCCAATTTCAATATCTACCTGACTTGGTGACTTGGATAATCATGACAAGATCTCTCTCGTAGTAAAAAAAAGCTCAACGGAAATCTCGCACAAAAATATGAGGTGACTTTTTGAAGCGACTGAGAGCCGTAGAACGCGCAGTCCGTGAGAACTGATAGAGCTCACAAGCTAGTATGTTTTTTACTGATGGCGTGAAAACTTTACCAGGAACCAAAATTTGCATAGATTTCCACGTGAATTATTCGTGCAGTTTCCACGTGGACCATCTGATCTACGTAGGTTCTAAGTGGATCAGATGTAGTGTCCGCGTAGGTTTTTGCTGAAAATCTCCACGTGGATTTTCTATAAGCCACAAGCTTTATTAGAATTCATTTATCCTTGAGGATAAAATTTATTGAGATAAAAAAGTCAAGAATGAAATTTAACTAAATCAATAAAATTAAATTAAATTCATAAAAAGCTCTATGAAAATATTCAAAATGAAATCTTTTTCTGAGTAAAACTTCCTCACGCGTAAATTGTGATTCAGGTCGGCATTCAGGAGTTCCGTGAGTCAGCTCGTATCGCTGCTCGCTTCTGCTGCGACGAGTTTCTCTCGCGCTCCTGCCTTTGTAACTTGTAAGTAACGTCTGTACCTATGTATCGTCGTGCATCTCTGACATCTTAGTCTTTGTCGCGCTCACTTGACTCGCTCGTGCTGCGCAGGCGAGTTGCTCGCTCAAACAAAGGTACATCGCAAAACTCGCACTCTAGATCAAGAATTTTACGGCAGCTGCGTAACCGACAAAAGAAGATCGAATCGACGGCAAAGAGTGATTCAAGCGAAAAGTGTAAAATATTTTATAAGAATAAGTGACTGCGTGTTTGTGTGTGAGTGTGCAGAAAGATGTCCACGTCCAGTGATGAATCCGATGAAAGTTTCGATGGCAGAGATAAAGCAGGAGCTGAAATCGACGACGAAGACATGGATATGGATTACCATGGCCAACTGAACTTGGCAAAACTGAAGAGCTTACGGCATACGACCAATTGGGAGATCGAGACAGAGCGACATGAATTTCTCCGCCGACTTTACCCGTTGGTCAAAGATTGGAAGGGCCCACTTCCCGATCTTCGGGACATGTTTCGGCCCGAAGAAATTGATTGGCTTCTCGCAGAGTCCGTGAAGTCGGGCCACTACCATGATGAGCTAACTCCGCTCGTCAAATTTGTCATCAACACCGGCTACAAGGACAAGCCTGACTTTGATAAATATGGCATGCCACTGTTTCGTCGCACCACACCAATACATCATGCGAACAATCTTCCTAATGCTTTTATCATTTCTGATCTTCTCAGAATATACGACAGATTCGACGTGAATTACACCGACGAGTCCGGGCTCACACACTTGCACGTGGCCTGCAGATATGATTGCGACGACGCTGTCAAAAAAATCCTCGAGTTTGGGCAGGATCCCAATTGTCTCTGGCAAGAAACAGGTGATTCGCCGTTACACTTCGCTCTGGAATACAATAACGAGGAGGTATTCAGATTATTGATGAAAGCCGGAGCCGACCCGAATTTGGCCAACGCTAACGGATTGACACCTCTGCACATTATTTGCTTAAGAAATCACGATGATAACATTGTGGACGAATTTTTCAAGATAAACGACGATAAACATCAAAAGGTGCTGGTCGATGCTCGAGATGACAATGGCAAGACACCGCTACAATTAGCTGTGTCAAATCTAATGCCGCATGTGGTCGACGTACTCTTGAATCAAGGTGCTGATCTGTCTAACTTCATTTTTCCAACTGAGAGTGACTTTGCCGAGAGATCTGAACCGTGGACTGATGAAAGTTGGGATGATTTTAAATTGAGATTAGCATCTGGCGCACTGGCCGTCGTCGAAAATCTTGAGAAAAGAGGATATGAACTGGACCAAAGTGACGCCTTGACAATTATGAAATTGTTTATCAAGAATAGATTGTTCGATAAATGGGCGGATATTGAAAAATGTTGGTATGATAAGGAATTCAAGGAAAAAGCGAAAGAAATATTGATATATCCGAGGCCGTCTTTCTACGACGAATGTGACGATAATGACGAGAAGTACCTTTCGCTTGACGACCTGATCGAGTTACGACCCGAAGAGGTGGAAAAGCATTTCATCACTTACACAGACTACTTTGATTTTTGGAGAGCAGGTGATGATTTGTGCTTTCCTGACGATAAGCCTTATGGAGCTTGTGCAGTGTATCTATGCGAAAAACTATCGAGAACATTTTTTCGTCGATGGACACTGAATCCTTTGTTGGAGCTGACGTGCTACAGACTGCCAATTCTTTGCTGCGATATGATCATCAAACAACTGAAGAATCAAGATTTATGGCATATTTGCTTGGCGGCTACAGACCAAAACCAGTAATGCAGCATGTTTGAAGTATTTTTTTCAAATAAACAGTTAAAAAAATTAATTAATTTTTTTCATTTGCTTGATTCATATTTTTGATTCCTTCTTTCTGTCTAAACGTGCTTAATTTTCGGGTAAAAAAAATAAGTATTGTTTATATTTTTGACCACTTTTTCACCACTAGCAAGCGGACCTTAAGATTCCGAGGAGTTCGTATTTAACCCGATATTCTCGCGTGTCCGGTAAAAAAGTAAGCCGAATTTTCCATTTCATCTCTGAAAATCTCGCGTTTATAAGTACATGTATGATCAAATCATATTTTTTTCAGGTATACACTACGTAGTTGAATAAAACGTTTAAATTATAAATTATCGAAAGTAAAATTTATGCGTATTCTTCATAAAACTTTCAAGAACTTTGGCTACCTTAAACTTGAGAGTTATACATCATACCATTCATTGTTGTGTTAAAATTTAGATAATATCTCGTAGTTAATGCTACACAGTACCCCAATCTCATCGCGAATGAAAAAAACCTCTTCATATTAATGCTAAAATCTTTTCTTCGTTGCAGTTTGTCAGAAAATACTTTGTTAAAATACTTTGTTGAATTTCATGTAAGCCTAGATCGCGCAGCACCCGATTTTCGCTCGACATACATTTGCAATCATTTAAACCCACCACCTGCACAAGATGTAGCTATCGATTAAATAATTATCAAGTTACAATTATTAGATCAATTTTCGAAAAATTTGCGTCTGCATATTATCATTAAATTTATCAAAATCTACATTTGGTCATTTAAATACATGCTCCGTGAAAAAATTGTGTAATCGCCACCAAAAATGATTATATTATAAATTTGACGAAAATAATTAAATATTTGAAAGGGAAGATAAAAAACTGATAATTTTCAAACCCATTTTCTGAGATCTCTTGTTGTAACTCGATTATGGCATATTTTGACACTTTCGTTTCTGTATATAATTAGTAGTTTTCTAAATAATTAGTGATTATAATTGTTAATAGTAGTTTCAAGAATTTTTAATATAATTTATGTCGAATAAGTCGTTAATTGGTGTTTCACTTTGTAAAAATCATCACTCTGAAAGTACCGTACGATTCGCTAAACATCATTGCATTTAAAAATTTGCTTCATTATAGGTAAGTTGTCTGCAGTCTGCTCATGCTCATCAGCTATTTTTCTTACGTCAAAAATACATATCATTCAGTGCATATTATAACCTTTCGTTCAAAACAAGTCCACACGAAGTTTCAGGCATGCTGAGCAAATCTTGCGGTGTTGTTGTAAATGGCAATCACACAGATATTGTTGTAAATGTACACTCGTGAGTGATTCAAAATGTGCTTTTAACTTATCACCTGTTTATTTGTTACACACTTACATACTTGCGTAGGAGTTTGTTTTTAAACAAATAATACATAACCTAACTGCGTATTCTGTTTACTTTTACAGAAACCGTATTTTCATAGTCATATCGCAGTATGAAAAACTCGGATCTATTGTAACTGTTTGCCGAGACGCAGCGGTTCAAGGTTTCAACAACACTACCGTGTATGACACAAAGTAAGAAAAAAATAATTTTCGCTCATTGGCTGGATTCAACTTACAAATTATTGCTTCTTTTAGAGTAATTTTTGGAAAGGACGAGCCTGAAATTCTTTCGGCTACGCGTCACGTTGCTGAACAACTGAGTGCCGATAAGCCTTTGTTAATTTCAATTTGTTTAAAAGACTATGAAGTGACAACTGTCCGACAAATAGCTCAAGTTGTAAAGAAAATAATACATTGATAAAATGAGTGTGCTCTACGGACAGCTCGTGATAGGGCCACCTGCCAGTGGCAAGACAACATACTGTCATGAGATGGGAAAGTTTTTGGAGAACCTTGGAAGAAAAGTAGCAATAATTAACATAGGTAATAATCTTGAATTTGTGATAGTTCGTAAAAAATGCCACTTTGTATTTGATTCTATTATTCCAACATTTGTTATTAGACCCAGCAAATGAAAACATGGGTTACAAAGCAGCTGTAGATGTATGTGATTTGGTAAAACATGAAGATATTATGAAGAATAATAAATTGGGTCCAAATGGTGCTTTGGTTTATTGCATGGAATATTTAGAAAAAAATATTGATTGGTTATTGGCAAAAGTATTAAATTTAAAAGACCATTATTTACTGTTTGATTGTCCCGGTCAGGTAAGATTGTTAATAATCTCTTCTATTAGTAATTTTAGCTTTTTTAAAGTTAAATAATTTTTTCATTAATAAAATTTCTATTTATTAGGTAGAACTTTTCACTCATCATGAATCAATGAATAAAATTGTTGAGAAATTGGGAGAAAATTTGGTGAGACTTTGTGCAGTTCAGCTTATGGATTCTCATCATTGCAGTGATCCAGGTATAAGTTTTTGCTTTTCGGCATACAAAGCTTAAATTTTCATGCCTCAGTATTTAATATTAAAAAGCTACTGATAAAATATAACATATTAACATTACATTGAACTTTTTGTAGGAAAATATTTATCATCTTTAATGGTGTGTACACTATCTATGTTGCAATTAGGAATGCCTCATGTAAATGTTATGACAAAACTTGATGAAATGAAATTATTCAGCCATAAACTTGATTTCAATATCAATTTCTATACAGACGTGTTGGACCTAAAGTATCTGCTTGACAGGTTGAATGAAGATGACACAATAACTGAGTAAGTTTTATCGTAATAAAAGGACTTCTCAAATGAAATATTGAAAACTTATTCAATTTTTATTTCTTTAGGTATAGAAAATTGAATGAGTCATTTGTTTCACTCATAGAAGATTATAGCCTCGTCAGCTTTCACCCCCTTGATATTTCTAATAAAGCAATGCTACTGAATGTTAAAAATGCCATCGATAAAGCAAATGGATATGTTTTTGGAGGAAATGAACCACAAGATGTACAAGCTCTGTTAGCTTGTGCTGTTGGTGCTATTAGTGAAACAGATAGAACGGCCAGTTTAGATGCATACATGTAAGCTCAGTCTAAAACAAATAGTATTGTTTTTTACGACCACCAACTTGTGCCCAAATCTCAAGATAAAATATGACAGTTTATATTAAACATTGATTATATATATTTTTAAAAATACATGATTAACATGTTATTTTTTTGTAAATAAAAAATATTTTGTTCAGTTATCAAGTATTTGATCTTAGTGGTAAAAAATAATTTACCTCAAACTTTTACTAGTTTTATCTCATTTTAATATTTATCGATTTATCGTTTGATAAAAGAAAATGAAGTTGTAAATATTTTACATGTAAATACTTTTATGAACGACTTAGAGATATATATCATCACTGCATTCGTCACTCTTATGACACAAAAAATTCGTAAAAATTGACTTGTTATGTAATTAATCTGAAATCATCCTTAAATAATTATTTTTCCATATTTAAACTCTAAAATTGCTCCTATGGGGTGCAATGGAAACTTCAATGAGCAATTCCGACGTTAATCATCTTCCCTCATATTTGTGTTATGAGAAAAAGACAAGACACGTTATGCAGAAACTTGAAAATGTTTCAAGTAACAAGGACGCAGTTTTCATAATCAGAACTGAATTTAAAATAATTTAAGTAAAGTGTATCTATTCATAAACCAAATATAATTGCGGAAACCTTTATTTACGAATTCAATATCTATCTCCAGAGGATGACTATATTTTCAATTAAAAATGTTTTGTTAAATGTTAATGGTCTTAACAATTATACGATTAATCAGTATTTGTATTGTAACTGTGATACGCTGTAGGTATAGCTTTTACTTAAGCACATAGAAGTTTTGAATTCCATTCGAAAGTTGGCGCCGTTAGACGTTACAGGGTAGTCGGTTCGAAAAGCGCTTCGAATCGGGGTGTGGATCGTCGTGTTGTGGTGGCGTAGCAGTACAGGGGCTGCTGCTGCTGCTAGTCTGGCCTGCCCCGCACTTGTGTTCCACCCCACAAAGTCGGACTGAATGGAAGACGATCGGAGTCACGCGCACAGACCAGTAGACAGCTCTATGCTCGCAGAAAGCTGTCGTGTAGCAGCAGCAGCTTATAAACAGGCTCATTCACGAACAAACGCGCACAGCCGAGTTGAGTCAGTGCGTCTCGGACTGCCGTCGTGGATTCGCGAGCTAATGCAACGACACCAACGGTCGCTGTACGATATTCGAATCTAATCACATCCTCTCGAGCAGACGTTGTAGAGTAGTCCGGACATTGTTTCTCCGGCGCGTGTCCGCCACTATGTGTTCGCCGCAGTGCTCCGTAGGGCTCTCGTAGAGTCACTGCTCCTATACAAGGTGAATAGAGTGCTGCTCGCGTTTCTCCTACCCGGCTAGGATCATCGCATGCATCGTTCAGTGTCGTCGTAACGGTCGTAGTAGCAGCGAGCGTAGCTTATTTGGCCAAGACGGCTCCGAGCCGTGTCGCAGCCTCATGTTCCGCGCAAACAGCAATAACAGCAGCAGTAGGAGCAGCGGCAGCGGGCCCGAAGCTGCCAACGACGAGGACGACGCCAACAGCACACTCGTGAGTCATTTTCATCCCCATTATAATTAGAATGCAACGAGCAGACCAAGGGAAAAGAAACAAGCAGTCCCGAGTGCAAGCTTGCGATAGCTGTTGTTTTTTTTTGGCTCGTCTCGGTGGGTTTCTAAATGCCTTTTGTCGAGCGTATAATATAAGTATGCACGAGGCCATAATGGGGTCTCTCTCGTCTTGGATCGATGCCGCCGCTGTCCCCCTCGCGCCCTGCCCTGCTGCTACGAGTAGGTTAAACCCATGCACCCCCAGGTGCAGAGCTTCGAGGCTCCCGAATTTTCTAAGCGCAAATGAGTTCGTATAACGCTTTGTCATAGTCGAGACGCGCTCTTTATCGTATAGCCTTGACGCAGCGACTAAGCGCGCCACGCATCCTGCAGCTTTTTGCGCTGCATATCGATGTAAGCATTTAAAATACCATCCGTAGAAACTTGAGCACGACCATGCTACGCTTAAAAAAAAACGAAAAAAACAAAAATAAAAAGCGGGAAATTCGTCCCCGCGATCCGTCCGTAAAAAGCTCCTCTGCACGAGTCAAGCGGCAACGATTAGACTCGGCGATTACGCAGCCAGCTCTCGAGCACTCGATGCATCATCTACAACGAACTTTTGGAGGCTGCACATTGTTGGCCGTCGTTGCAACGGAACGAGTCGAGGCTCTCTGCCTTCTATATCGGGCCATTGCTCGCATATTATCCGGCATACTTTGTACAGTTGCCGCAGCAGGAAGTATTGGATAGTGGTTCGAGCATAATCCAAGTCCGAACTCCGATACACCCTTAATTGAATTCGTCGTTTTCCAACTAATCCTCGCGTGCCCCTTGAATATGAATTCGTATGCTCGCATGCAGAGTAGCGGGTAAGGATCGTTCGCTCGATGTCTCGTGCGGGTCGCGTGCTAACCCAGATTACGAACTCACTCTCTCTCTCTCTCTTTCTCTTTCGCCGTGTACGAGCTTGACAGTTGATACTCCTCGGCATTCAGCAATTACAAATCGAATATCGACTTTTTAGAGTTGGTCAACTTTGTTGTTTGATTTTTTTTTTGCATACAAGTTTGAAAACAAATTTCTGATGCATCGAATATGCGGCGCGCAAAATATTGTGCTCGCAACGAAATTATATTTGCTACAGCTTTATTCCTGTCCTCGTGAGCCCTTTTGTTTTTGTTTTTTTTATTGAAGAAACCAAACGTCTATCCCGGAAAGTCGATGCACATTTTCTGCTCTAATACCTTACTGTCAATGAAGTTTTGAGTTCACTACGAAAATACTTACTCTTTATATCCTTCGATTATTTATTCATCTGCTTCTATCACACGGACATGGCATATAAAATGACTTTGAATGATCCACCGCTATATTTATATCAATAATTTTCTCTCGAATTTGTTAGAGCTTAATATGTATAATATACAACGTTGGAAGTCGAAAAAATATTAACAATCGTAATTCGTAGTAGGTTTAACATGGTTAATCAGTAATTCCTATCGAAGTAAGTTGGTAAGAGCTGGAATATTAAACACTGCCTATAACTTTTGCCAATGCGGCTATGTATGTGCGCGCTGTATAGAACGTATGAAATAATAATACACTTATATGAACGAACGTATATAGGTACTTGCACGTTAACGTAAATCCGTGCGTGCTACTTCGTGACATCGTGACTTTCAGATTGGCGTTAAAGTTTTTATTTGCGACGAGAGGAAAAACAGGAAAAAAAGAACGATGTACTTGAGATTCAACGAGCTGCGCATACATCTTCTCTCTCTCTCGTAATGAAGTGGAATCGAACGTATTTTGTATACTGTTGAATTAAGCCAACGATTTAAACGATCCGCAACGACTATAGATTTAATTGCTCGAGCGTCATTTATTAAAACTACACGAGCTTATAACGCGACTCTGACATATTACAATGCGGGACGGCTAAAATACGACTCGTTTGCATATCTTAGGCACCGAGTGTTCTATGATATTCGAGTAGATAAGAACTTGTAGGAGCAGTACGAGTAGCCCTTTTTTTCTCTTTTTTATTCGTCGACACACGACAACGTATGTACGAAGAAGAACATTTACGAGTACATTGCTAGGAGCTCTCTCGCGGCCGATTGTGCTCGGGCAATCAGTGGCTCGAACTCTAGTGGCATTATACATTGTACATATCTATCTGTCTATGCGTGAATGCTGCTTGTCCGTATAGGTGAATGAATTTCTAGCTGCAACACACAGGTGTATCGACATAAGAGTCCCGGACCTATGCAGGCAGATGTACACACGTGTTTGAGAAATTCGCGCGCATACATGTATATATTTATGCATATGTGCAGATGCATGACTGCAAGAGAGAGCGAGAGCGAGCGCAGAGCATTGGAAAGGCCTCTTTTCTCTCTCTCTCTCTCTCTCTCTCTCTCTCTCTCTCTCTTTCTCGACACTCTATGCGCGCTCGCGACTCGAGAGCTTGCAGAGACCAGCCGAGAGCTTTCTAAGTATATATCAAGCGGTGTCTGGTAATACCAGCAGCAGCAGCCTCTCTCTATACAATATACATAGGGAAGCTCGTGGATCTCACGAGGGCCTCTTCATAATTGCCCGCAAAATATTGTTCCTCTTCTTCGGCTTCTTCTCTTACTCCATTTCCCGATTGAAAGTTGACGTCTCTCGCGACAATAATAACAACGACGACGACGACGAGCAAAGCGACTTGAAAATCAAAACAACCTACTCCTATATATAAGCCAACGCTAAGAAGCCTGTATATTATACACATAGTGATCGCAACTTTTCTTTATTTCTTTTGTTCGTGCGCGCTTTAATGGCAGCCGCACTTAGGTATAGACCTCGTGCAGCCTCTTTTAATTATTAAACTGTCGAGTGCGCGATACGCACGCATCCAGCAAATATCGAAAGATGTTGCATTCGCGGCTTGCCTATACAAGAATTATAAACTCTTTATTTAGTTCTATCACTTTTGTCCTGATTATTGCCTACTGAATCCAGGCGTCTATGAGCTTAATAATGACAAGCACATTTCTGTCTAGTTGCGATCGATCTATTGAGATCTTATCGATCCTCTTCTGCAATGGATGAAGCTTTAAATACATTTTGCAATTGTAAATTTACTGTATGCGTAAAAAGACAGCAATGCCAGTCGCCTATATCATACTCGTTGCCTTGCATCTGCATTCATGACATCGTGTATGTGAGCAGCACACCTATATATACGCGCTCGCGCACATTGCTTCAAGGTCAAAAATAGCCAAGTTATATTGTGAAACTGTCAAGCTTATAACGTAGTGTAGATCAATCGATGCGAATTAAAAAAAGTGACTGGATAAGTTCTAAGAATTTGAGGCATCGATAAAACTTTGCGATAAAACGAGACTAGGTACTTTCCACGCGTCTTTGCGGGTGAAAATGTAAAAAAAGGAGAAGAAAATAAATAACGAAAAGCTGCTGAAAATGCTGAAGAGTCGCCACTAATGCGACTACGCGAGCTCTGTAAATAATGAGCCAAGAGTCCTTTGGAGATACATTACGCGTACGACGCGCTCTCGAGTCTACACACGGAAAAAGGTCGACGAGCAAAGAGAATGGGTACATTTGCACGCGGATATACAGCCCAGCAAAATACATTCGTTGTTGTAGCCGTATATACGTACAAACGAGCGCACGTGTGTATACGTGTGTACAGTAAGACGAAGTATTTTTAATGTAGCGCAGACGAGCGTGTTCTAGTCTATTAGCGCGAGAAAGAGTCGAGTGCACGATAAACGTAAGCTTAATGAGATGCTGAGAGCTGCTCGCGTACCTGTGTACTTATACCAGTCTGCACGCATACGTATGTAAGCGTGTACGCGGACAGCTCCTTTATGCATACTTGCGTATTATGCGTATAACGTGTCTTTTACGCGTCTACTCGCGAGGCCGCTTCCGTTCTCCGCGCGCTGCAGATCTCGACTGAAACGAAAACTCGAGTCTTCTGCGTCGTTGTTATATACGTACCTACATGCGCCTTTGAAGCTCGCCCCTTTTGCTGTATAACTGCACTTGGCAAGCCGCTGCCACGAGAGCAAGAGAGAGAGAGAAAGAGAGACCAGTGGCCACCACGTTCTGCACCCGCGCAAAGTCCAGCGCCGGAAACGACTTGATGGTCTGAACCGACTCGAGGCTTTCCCCACAATACACTTTTGCTACTTATTATTCTAGATGCTGACACGAATCTGCATTTAATGTGTGTATTTTGGTTTCTTAGGAAAATTAGTAAGCTGTCACCCTTGTTTAAACCGGCTATTCCACCGGTAAAAACAGTTGAACTCCAATTTGATAATAACAATGAAAGGATTTGTTGATAATACTAAGAGTTATACATAATGATAAAAGTCTCTTTCTAAAGTTCTATTTTGTTTTATTCTCAAGTTCTTGAGCATAACCCATTAATTTTTGTGTTACGATATTACTTATAAAAACAGAGAAAAATAATCGAATATTTGAGATGAGTACCAACATTTTATTCCAATTTTTTATCAATAAAATCATGCTATTTCAAATTATTTAACTAAAATATAACTAAAATCAAATAAAGTTGATGAATGAGTTGATATAAACTTTAAATCAATATATATTTTTAAATACTTTTGAAAATTTACATATTCCATATAGTTGTGTTTTAGTTCTATTTTTATGTATTTCATGAAGAATTTATATAAAATTTCACGAAGAATTGATATAAATACATACACTTTAGTACACTTGAGTTTTACTTTTGGAGTTGCAGTTTAAAATTACTTTTTACATTAGAATGTTTACTTGCAAATTTCGAACGATGTTTTTTCTTCTGCATAACAAATCGATGAGGATTTATAAAACAGATTTTTATGACAATAATTTTTCACAAATGTCACCCGGATAAGTACTTACGGTACTTGTATTACAGAGTGATATTATGCGCTGAATCAATATGGGTTTTCAGCAACCCCTTTTTGAAAAATGACTTTCCACATGGGTCACAGGTGTAAGATTTTCTATTATAATGCTGTGAATAAATATGGGCATTGAGATTACCCTTGTGAGAGAATTTCTTTCCGCATATATGACATGGGTGATCGATACGATTATGCACCGAAGTAATGTGCAAGTTCAGAGTACTCTTCAATGCATAAGTCTTTCCGCATACACAACAGTTGTGAGGTTTTTTATCATAATGCACTGAATTAATATGGATTTTGAGGTAACCTTTGTGTGAGAATGTCCTACCACATTTATAACATGGGTAACTAATACGTTTATGTACCGAATCAATATGGGTTTTCAGATTTCCCCTTTGTGCAAATGAATATCCGCATAGGTCACAGGTGTGAGGTTTCGTGTTATTATGTACTGAATCAATATGGTTTTTTAGATAAAAATTGTATGGAAACGTCTTTCCACAAGTATGACAAGGGTGGTTGATAAGATTATGCACCGAATCAATATGGACTTTGAGATTACCCTTACTTGAAAATGTCTTTCCACATGTGTGACATAGGTGATCGATACGGTTATGCACAGAATCATTATGGTTTTTCAGACTAAACTTATATGCGAATGGCTTTCCACATACGTCACAGTTGTAAGGTTTCCTGTGATTATGCACCGAATCGATATGAACTTTGAGATTACCCTTGCTTGAATATGTCTTTTCACATAAATCACAGTTGTGAAGTTTTGTATTATCATGCACCGAATCAGTATGGATTTGCAGAGTTCCTTCATTAGACAATTTCTTCGAACGTTCCTCACAGTTGATAAATGGTTTACTTGTATTTACTGTAGCATGTAATTTCATATTTTGTTCGTTGAGTGTGCCATCATTAGTTTTTATAGTATCACTGAGAGATCCTTTTTTTATTACGCTCTTAGTTCCCAGTTTAACTGAGGAATCAATTGCGAAATTATCGCTAACTTTTATATCTGAATACTTATCAGATCGATAAGACCAATCGTTTCCTTCATCAGATACTGAATTCTCATTGAGTTTCACATCTTTGCTCTCAAACTCTTTATTAATCTCTTGGTTAAGTTGAAATTCGACAATTTCTCTTTGTTCTCTAAGCATATGAATCTGCTATAAAAATGAAGTCTTATGATAATTTTGTTAAATGATGATAATTCTCTCAATTACGGTTATGTGGTCAACTTACAGTATTTTCTTGCAGACATTTGTAGTATTGTGAATTTTTAGTATCAGATGCTTGGTCTCTTGTTTTACTATCGGCTTTTTTGTTAGTGTACATATCATTAGACTCTTCTTTTCTTCTGAAAATATGGATAAGGTTAAATATATGTACACTTATACGCAAATATCTTATTATTTTAATTTGCACATTAATAATTACTTGGCAGAAAAGTTGAGTGTACCACTAGATTCCATTTTACTGGATGTAAGACTATTCTACGACTAACCTTCTAAATATCTTTAATATTTGAATTAAAATGATTTAAGATTAAAAATTATAAAGTCGAATGTCGACGAGGTAATGCGAGCACAAGACACAACAGAGCAATCTAGCTTGCTCCAAGTGTTTACAAATATTGAAAAGAATTAATACCAGCAGATGAAGTCAAGGTGGTAGAAATTTTATCGGTAAACAAAATAGACAGGACGCGCGAGTACGTATAATTAGCTAAAAGTTATACTCAATATATTTAAATTATATTTGTTCAGAAATCTACGCAGTTAAAAGTGTGATATATTAGAAAAAATGCCGCAGAAAATTATACAAACGCGAAAAAAATTGTTTATTGAATAAAAGTAATTAATTTAAGCCAATATAAATTAAACCTCGCCCCAACTCTAGTTAACTAATGGAAATAACACAATAAATCACATGAACTAACACGGAAAGATTGGAACTCACTTCTGCGTTGGGCCGGAAACTAAGCGAAGCGTTTTTATTTTATCCATACCGATTTTTTCTCGAAAAAAAGATTAGTTGCTTTAATTAGAGATGAAAAATTTGGGTATTTGTTGGTTATTTGAAAAGTTTCATTAAAATAATAGGATAACTTATTACTTGATTTTCATACAGAACAATAGGATTAATACAATTTTTAATACGAGATCTTTGTTAAAATTGTTTAAAAAAATTGCAACTAAGATATTTTCGAAGAGAAAGCTACTTGCCGGTGAATTACCATCGTTTTTTTTAGTATCATAAGGAACACTTGGAATTCAAGTTATTTAAAAAATTGCTTAGCATCACCTTTGCATTTTCTCAGCGTGTTAAAATTGCTTCAATTCATTATATTTGTGACAAAAAAAAAAAGAAACTACGGAATACATCCTTTTCTAATCATTAAGCAGCGTACTCCATCAAACGATAAGACACATTTTCAATAAAGACAGTTTATAACATGCAAACTCAAAGCTGTCATCTCTGTGCACTCGGACGATATTCATGAAAGTAGTGCGCCTGAAATGATAATTATTTGCAATACACCACATTGACACATTCTCATAGAGCCGAGGAAAACTGGGAGAGGGGAACGTGTCAATTATAAAGGAGGAATATATCGCTGAAAGGTGGCAAGGTCGCGCGAGCACTCTCCTATGCTGCAGCAGAAAGCAAAGTGCGTGCAAGTAATTAAGGACGCATACGTTATATATCTATATGATGCTGGCCGCGAGGCAAGGCGAGGCTTCCACCATCGCAGCTCCCAGCAGTATGTATTATGTATAGGTGCATAGGTATTAATGTAGTTCACGAGCGAATAAGTACAGTATACTGGGCAAGCTCGCAGTAAGGACATAGTCGACGAGTGCACACGTTTTAATTTACATCGCCGCGGTTTGCTTCATGCATTTCGTTTGCTGCTTCTATATGGGAGCGCTGCACTTGCTCTGCGTGTCGGCCGCATCATCATCTTAATACGCCGCATTATAAGCGCGTAATATAGCGCCACGAAGCTCTCATTGTTGCAGCTATCCTGTGCTTTGTATATATTATATATTTTTTTTAAAGGGCTCGGCCGGGGCGCGTATGTATACATAAAATACATCTACACGAGTACTTACATCCTTGCACGCAGCCAAAGAACTATGAGAATTATAATGGAGCTACCTACGCCGCGGCAAACGCGTTACGCTTCTCCAATCTTATATACGACTCCCTGCGCGCACTTTTCCCTCTATTCCGAGCTCAAAGGATTTTAATTTTAAAACATCTCGAGCTTGTCTGACGCATGCACTGCAGCTCAACTGAATTATGGAGCTCCGACGTGAGGAATTATTTTTAATGCCAGGGCTTTTTTTTCTAACAATTATGAAGTGACAAATTCATCAAGAACTTCAATAATGCAAGTAGTTTTTTTATAATTGATAGAATTATTGCGCTTTTATTTTATCAATCGTATACGCAGGACTATATATTCGATCCTTAATTGCATCTTTAATCATCGACGATAAGCCAACTATATCGAAAGCAATACGTGCACGCATATTATAATTGAAATTTTTATCAACACAAACTACTGCACACCTTGATGCACACACGCAATAAATCATGCACCGCAAATAGTTACATAGAGGTTCGAGTATATTTTTTTTTAGCGCAATTCGAGGTAAAATAACTTTTTTTCCGCGTTTTTATTTATCGAAAAATGTTATTGTTACGTTTTACTAGTCTACGAAGTTTAATTAAGATAATTGTGCCATTGTGTGTAAGGTAGGTACGCGCGTGGCGCGAAGATTGTATATTGAGTGCCGGCGGCGCGCGTTCGCACCGTTTAAAACGCGCGTACAGCTTATACATTCGTCGAGGAACACGATGCATTTTGAAAATCGCTCTATAATCTAAGTTTGATTGCGTAAGTTTACGCGAATGAATAATTATTTTTCTCGCCTTGTGCTACACGACGGAAAATTTAGTCAATATTATTCGCGAACTATAAGAGAGATATAAATATAAATAATTGCTCCGAGCAAGTTGGAGATAATGTGTCGGACGAAGCGTTTCGTATAATGAGAGTCGCGCGCATACAGAGAAGTGTTATGTAGGACAGTAGAAGTAAATTTGCGCGCGCGCCTACTACAACTACTGCTACTACTGCTATAACAGTGATGCGAGCCTTTATATACGTGCGCAAAGTGTAAATGTGCAGCGCAGTCGTGTCTAAAAGTAGTAGGCGCGCACATTCTCGGGTGCACATCAAAAGACTCTTTCTCTCTTTCTCTTTCTCTATGTTCGTTTCTCTCTCTCTCTCTCTCTCTGCTTAGAAAATGGCCAATTTCAGTGTTACAGATGTTATGATAAGCACCCGCGCACATCTAGTCACGCGGACATGCGTGCGTAGCGCAGCGCAAGCTTAGCTCTATATATGCTGTGCGCTGGCATTAGTTTGGCCGAACGCGATGCCGACGGCTCGAAGCTCAATTTTCGAATATGTGCAGTACACTACTACTGCACCTCGTATATGAGCCAAAAAAACATATATATAATATATATAAGGCGGGCCGCAGGAGACTGCAGCTATCTCTCGCTCTCTCGAGCTTAATGGAAAAACGGCACGGCCGCTATTGTAATCGTCGAAATTGTATGTGCAGTATGCGCTCTTCTTGCGAGTGACCGACGTTTCTCTCTCTTTTTCTCTTCTTTTTTTTTCTTTTACTTGTCCCGCCAACTCGAGGATGCTGCACATGCTATTATAATAGGAGCTACATAGCGGCCCCCGACTCGACGACGAGCTATTTTTACGAGAAAAAGGTTTTTGCTCGAGCTGCAGACGCGTGGAAATTTCGTCTCGGAGCTCCGGCGTTTCTGCATTATTATCAGCTTGTATGCTATATAGGCTGTATTATGCAGCGCGTGAGAATTGTTACGAAAAAGAAAGGTCGTCGTCGTCGACGTTGCTTAGTTGCGCGCTCATCTCTTAATGCGGCTCCTAAATTGGATGGTCGCGTTGCTGCACGTGCAGCCATTGATGCATGCGCATCGAATGTGCGTTGGAGCAGCTACTCGACATTTATCACCTTATAATCGAATAGTCAGCTCTCGGAAAAATTGATCGCTCGATGTTTGCGTGCATCGGCCGCAGAACGAGAACGAAAAATAAACTCGGACCATACAGGCCCGCGTATGTATCATGGAATTGGCGAATTGCAAAGATCGGTTGCACACACGCGCGGATCCGTGCGCGTGGGTGCACGCCAATCTGCAACAACGGCAATGCAGCAGCTATCGTACGACGCTCCGACGAGAAGACGTTACACACACGCTAATTCTATTTCCAGAGTATAAATAGGCGGCGCGCGTCGCTATCGTCGAGGGCACATGCGAGAGCTCCGTATATAATAGTTATACCGCAGCATCATCATCGCAGCTGCAGCAGCATTCGCAGCAACAACAAAAAAGGCACGAGCGTTGCCAGTAACGTATGATTCGGCGCGGCTGCATTACGCGCGGATTTTCCGAGCAGACGCGCCCGCGAGCTCGTGCGGTACTCGCTGCGTTTTATACAGATAGCTGCAGGCGAAATTGATGTGCCTCGTGTGTAAAAAAATACGCGTACATAGTGCATAAGCTAGTGCTCGTGTATAGAGGAAGAGAGACTCGGGCAGAAAGACGAGCGCCGAGAGCTATGTAGCGAGCTATTCGGTCGGAGATCGAAAGAGGTAGTAGTAGGGGAGCCGGTGGTCGCGTTCTTGTGTGTGTAGGTACATCGCCTCGCGTGTACGCCGCGCACTTGCTGCTGCAGTAGCAGCGACGTCGGCAGTAGCCGTCAGTAGTCGCGTAGTGGTCGTGCGCGACGCGTCGTCGGCTGCGCCATACACTATACACCTACGCAGTCTCTCGGCGAGTCAAAGTGCATCTCGCGACGTATCGCAACAAATTCGTTCGCCGTATGGTTTTCAGCCCTCGCGGTGGTGACTGTGCTCGCGGGACACCCGGCCAGAAACGCAGAACGAGACACGGCGTGGCTGCCGCGAGATGACGAATTTGCGGCGTCGCTACGGCAGTAGCCCGCAGCATTAGTTCGCGAGTACACGCGCCCGAGGCAAGTACCTAAACACACACTTGACCGGCTCGAATGCTGTACTATTCGTTTTGAATCAAAACACGAGGATCGAGTCGTCGTTCGGTCGTCGATACGTGTAGCGTAGCTCGAGTGCGTCGCTCAGTAAATACACCGAAGCGATCGATCGCTCCATTCATGCCTTTTTGCCCGTACGTATACAATCAAGCTGCGGAGCTTCAATGAAGCGACACGAGCTCTCTTATCCCATACTGCCATTGTGCGAGTGCGGCTCGTCGACGCTCTCCCGCATAGAGACATCGCTTCGGACGTGCACGCACAGCACATCCTTATATATATACGCACGCATGCCGATGCAACGTGTACTGTGGGCCTGCACCGTCGCCGCTGCATTCGACGCTTTATAAACTCGGACATTGTCTCGATTGGGTCAACTCGCTTTTGACTCGGCATGCGGACTCGTGTCGTCTATTCATTTGGACGACGCGCGATATAGCGGCTCAACTAGAGTGAGCGAGAGAGAGGGCCGCATTACACTCGCATGTGCACTGGCAGGCTATTTTCGTCGTCGCGATCTTCGTCAACTGCGCGCCCGAGCCGATGGCAAGATCGGAATCGCGTCGAGCGGCCTCACGGAGCAACGGATTAATATTTCCTAGTTATGGCAATTGAGTATAATCTTCGAGCGCAAAAATCCTCTCGCGTGTGCACGTCGATCGATCGCAACTCTTTTGCTCCCGTACGCAGCAGCTAT